TATATATCAGCGTATGGTTGAATCTGGACCGTCCATCTACGCACAGGCAGAGGCTGGGTGATCACGACAAGACTCTAGTTCGGACCCCACATAGTGGGAGCAGTTATAATAATAATAATAATAATCATTATTATTATTAAATAAATGATAACAGAAGGCGAACGTTAAGAATCTAACGGCCGTCCCGGAATCTATGCGTAGGCCCGCTGACGGAGCCACCGACCTATCTGTAAGATTCTTCCCGTCATTCTGCGCCTCCATTTCTACATCAACAACAATAATATTTGAAATTTTATATTAATAAATTAAAAACTAATACTTCCTCAATTCCAAAACTATAGTATGAATTATACTCTCTCCGTCCAACTAGAAAGTATACATGTTTCTATTTTAGGATGTCCAATTACAAAGTAAATATTTTATTAAATACTTTATTTTTTTTCCACAAATACTCCTACTTTACATCACATCATTACTTTTACACCAAAAAACAAGGGCAAAAATGTCATTACACTACTTTTAACTACCCACTATAATTAAAATACTATTATTTCTTAAACACCGTGCCAAAAGTAATTGTATACTTTTTTTGTGGACGGAGGGAGTATTTGTTACGAGAATATTGATATTATATTGATAGTGGGTAAAAAATATGAATAAAAGACTTTTTTTGTTCTTGTGAGTGTATCAGTATAAAAAAGTAGTGACAATTATGTAATAATAATAAAAAAAATAAAGGTAATTTTACAGTGATATAGTTATTTATGAAAATGAGACTATGTTTTGAAACGAACAAAAATGGTAAATAGGACTATTGTATTGGGACGCACGGAATACTATCTTCATCTCGCAAAAACGTAACATTATTGCACGTTATATTTTTAATATTAGTATTATATTAATTTATAGTAAAAAAAAAAATATCCTTATTAGATTATGTGATATAAAAATAATGATATTTGCGTAATATATTGAAAAATTGTAAGGGTATTAATTATGTTTAGTAGACTGTACGATTATTAAATTAAAAAATGGTATACTTTTTTTTAACGGATAAAAATAAAAAAATGGTATCCTTCTCATGACACAGGGAGAGCTTATTTCCTCGATATATTATCTTTATTATATATACGAAAATTTAGATAAAATATAATTAGTAATTAATTAAGAAATATATTATTAAAAATAATTATAATATAATAAAAATAATTATAGATTAATATTAATATAATTAAATAATTTAATTAAGATTAAAAAAATCATAAATTTATGAAATTTAAAATGTGATGAAAATGTATAATTATATTTCCAAAAATAGACGCAACAACTTATGTAGAACTAGCGAAAATAAAAAATATGGACATAATATTTTATTGGTTAGTGAAAATATGTAATAAATTTTGATATTTATGTCTTTTGATTTTATTTATAAAGTAACGATATATAATGGTATTTTTGTAATTTAAGTAAAAATTAAGAATATTTTGATATTAGTTTATAAATATTCTTACTAAAATAAAAAATAAATACTTTTAAGTGAAATAAACAAAAAACGATAAAAATAATACTTTGAATTAGACGGTCAGTATATAATATGGTTAGATTGATATCTCCTTCCATCTTATAACAAATGATATCATTTTCATTTTTATTTATTTTATAACAAATATTTTGTTATTTTTTTAAAAATTACTAATTTAAAATATATTTAATAAATATAAGTTATTTTAATTAATTTTATAATATATAATATCATCCACTGTGTAAGAAGAGTATTCAAAACTCTATTTTTATCCTCGGTAAATAAATATTTTTATTTATTTATATTATATAAAATTTTACTGTTATTTATAAAATGATATTTATATTACATATAAATTTTTTTTAACTATATATATTTATTTTAAAAGCATTAACAACATTCAAATAAAAAATAATAATATAATAGTACAATTTTGATTGATAAATTGTAATTTTTTTTCTAACATTTTTTTTTTCTATAATTTTTCAATCATGTTTCTATTTATTTATTTTTTTAAAAATTCAACATTTCAATTTTTTATATAATATATTTTCTTTAAAGTACATTGATGTAACGCTGACATGGCACCGAGATTCCATTTAATTTGACATTCAATTTAGTTGTAATTTCAAATTGAAATGAACTAAACAAACCCCATTGTCGTTAATAATAATAATAATAACTTAAAAAATTTACCTTTGTCCGTACGGATGTAATGACACGTATTCTTCGGCTGTGTTTGTTTGAGAGATTTGTTAAAATTTATACAATTCATTAATTTAGTTTTATTTTTTTAAAAAAACATCAAATTAAATATTTATTTTTTTATATTATACTAAAAATTATTTTTACATTAAAAATATTATATCAACACTTATTTATATCACATTATACAATTATTTCAATTCAAAATTTTTACTATTCAAATCTCAGTTTAAAATCCAATCCCCCAAGCAAACACACCCTTCATATATATATATATAAGAACTGAGTTCCGTAAAAAAAACAATCTGACGACGTAGAAGTGAACTCGTAATCGTAAAGTCATTTTCGAACCAATAATTATTTGTGATTCTGATACTTGGGCATCTCAGTGCACTCCATGAAAGTCAAAATCAATTAGAGTTTCCCTCTTATGAGGATAGTGATTTTCTGAAAGTGTCAATAATATTTGTATTTTTCTAAGAAAAAAGTAATTAAATTAAATATTTATTTTGGAAATTAATTAAATACTATAATACTTTTATAGATAATGTGTAACATATATATATATATCTCTGAAAACAAAATTCAAATTCCCATCAAATCTTCACTTTCAATATTATAACAAAAAATAGAAATATCATATCAGTCAAAATAGTGATTACATATCATTAGTTTTTATGTTTGCTTCCATGCTAAGAATCAGTGTGTATATATATATATATATATGTTATATATATTTATTTAAATTCCACCCAACATATAGCGTAACAGTTTACAAATTAGTAGATTATTTAATAATATTAATAAAAGTAATTTAAATCAAAATACTTGCTCTCCCGTTTAATATGGGTGTATTATTGTAAACGAGAATTTAGAATTTAGGTAAAATATAATTAGTAAGTAATTAGGAAGTGTATTAGTAAAAATAATTATAAATTAAGATTAAGATAACAAAATAGTTTAATTAAAATTGAAATAAAATTTAAAATTTAAAATATGATTAAAATGTATAATTAATTTTCCAAAAAGGAAATGACAAATTATACAGGACAGACGAAAATAGAAAATATGGACAAATGATGCTGGACGGATGGAGGGAGTACATAATAATTCATTTTTATTCACAAAGCTAAAATACTTTTTTTTTTTTTTATGACGTGGAAATCCGCAGCCGCTACTCGAAGACGGAGGGAGTACATGACAATTCATTTTCATTCACAAATCCAAAATACTTTTTTTTTTAATGACGTAGAAATCCGCATCCGTTATCCGAAAGTGTGCACTGGATAAACCTCAGGCCGAACCTAATATCATGCAAACCAGATCCGACGGAAAAATCACGCTAGTTCAGAAATATTACAATTGCTACAAATAATTAAAAATTTTGATCCATCGCTAGTTCATCACATATATAGATAATATATTTTTCCATTTATTTTATAAACTAAATATCCAAAATGGGGAATAACGTATCATGGGCAGAAAAATCAATTTATTCTATTTTATTGATACATAAAGAATCCACTAATGTGTCATTTTAGTGGCCTATAAAATTATTGCCCAAATATGTAAGAATACTTCATCCAAGCATAAGTTCCTTCTCCATTTTATACATTTCAAGAAATCTTATTCCATCCCCCACACACACACACACACATATATATATATATATATATTCTGATAATTACAGATTTGTATGAATATTTAAATTATTTTTTTGAAACACTAAAAAAGTGCATCTATTTATATCTTAATTGTGTTTTGACGCATTGAAAATTGATCTATATAAATACTTGTTTATTTTTATTTTTTATTTTTGAAAAAATCTATTAATTACTTTTTACAAAATATTATACTACCCCCTTCTCCTAACACAATTATCATTTGTTTTTTCAAGTAAATTTTTAAATTTTAATATTATATTAATTTATAATAAGAAAAACAAAAATATCCTTAGCTGTATGATATAATATAAAAGTAATGAAACTAATCATCTCTTCTGTCCCTACCTTTTGCATAATTGTATTTAACATTAAAAATATCCTTATATTTGTATAATTTTTTTTTATACAAATATTCTACCTTAGAGTCTAGGAGCGAATGTAAATAGTATATTGTAAATCGTAAGGATGTTTATTATATTAAAATTATTAAATTATGAAATAATATCATAGTATTGAGAAAGAAAAAAAAAAAAAATAATATCATGGGACTACGGAAGAGCATTAAAATATTATTTAGTAAACATCAAATACAAACTCAAAATCAAATCGACCTTTCTACCTACTTACTTAATTCCACATTTTATTTAAATTAATATAATACGCGTTTATTAATTTATTTATTATTGCATAATAAAGCCACGCTAAAACGTGAAGACAAATGTAACAATACTACGAGGGGCTTTCTGCACGCCAACTCAGCATACATTAAGATGGTATATAATATGCATTACGAAATACACTTTTTTCAGTCCATTTTTTTCGAATTTTGAATGGAAATAATATTTAATATATAGTAATTACTTCGATAATAAAATATCTATTATTTAGAAATATTATAAAAAACCCCGCTTCCTTCTCACTCTCAAATTCCCATTCCCGGAAACCCCCATTTTACCCTCAGTCAACACCCCCAAAAAACACAAAACTAGCAGAAACATGCCCGACACAAAGAGGGTAAAACAGTAATTTCACAAAGAATATTCATTTTCATTTTATTATTATTTTTTCCAATTTTTATTCTCCCTTGAGTATTTCGTCCTTGGAGGCCATTCACTTGCTGTTTATCAGGTGTGTGTGTGAGTGTGTGTTCTGTATCAGCGTCTGTATATCGTCTATATATATATATATCTATAGGGCAGAAATCCAAAACCCTCAGAAAAATCCTCAAATCCCAGAAGGGGAAAAGTTGAATATGCTTTAGATGGTTGGTTGTTTTTCTCTATTTCAAAAATGGTTTTGCAAACCCTACTGGTCAAAGCTCGGGAACAGCAGCTCCGTCCCATGTTGTTCTACCTCCGGTAACGCCGAATCTCCTATTCCTCTTTCTCTCTGCGCGTCTATGAAATGGAAGGAGACAAAAAAAGAAGAAGCTATTTTGTATCGTATTTGGTTCGTGTCTGATGATTTTTGTTGTTTCCGTTTAATCGGGGAGCATCGGAAAATGTTTCTGGTTTGTTTGGAAAAAATTTTCGACTGTAACTGTCGAGCGTTTGTGGAAAACTTATTTTGTGGTTTGTTTGAAGTATTTTTTTTTTTTTTGCACGAGTTTAAATTTAAAATGGAAATATATGCGGATTTTGGGTGGTTTTTGTGGGGCTTAAGTTTTTGTGATATGCGACTGTTGGGAGTCGGATTTTGGGGAGTTTTTTATGAACATTTAACGGAAGATTTGGTACTTAATTATAGTGTTGGTTGGATTAGTAAGACAGCACTTAGTTTTCTTTCGATGCTGTTGCTGTTGTCTATATGCTAAATCTGCTGTTGTTTTTTGCTATCGTTTCATTTCCAGTGGAGAAACTGCTTTTTTAAGTAATGGGGTCGTTCTTGTTTTTAATGAAAAGGCAGAACGATTTGGTTCTTTGAATCTTATTAATCAATCAAATTAGTTAACTTAATTATTGCAGTTCTTTTGGCGCTCTGTGATTTTGTCTTTTTGTGAATTGAGTTAAGAGAGTGAATCTTTCTAATGAATCATTATCTTTTAGGGATGGTTTTGAATGATTGTTGTTGTGCCATTTCAATTTTTTTTTTGGTTGTTTTACTTTTGAAACGAGCTTTTGTTTAATGGGAAAATTCTGATGTCGAGTAATTTTGTTTTCATCTTTTTAGGGGGATTCTTTGCTCTGTCAAGGATTTTAACTTTGTGGTGATTCTGTTGTCTGCACTTTTGATTCTTGTGACGTGCAAGGAATGCTCGGTTCAAAATCAGCTGGAAACCGAGGCGTGCAGGTCCAATGTGGACAATTTTACTGACTCTTCGAATGCTTTTGATGCTAATGCTGGCTCTGAATTGGTGTCAAGATATTCTGTTGAGCAGAATAGTATTGAAAATGTATGCCCTCTTCAGAATTCATTTTGTTTTGCTTCAACATTAACTGGGATTTCAGCAAATGGAAGTGATGCTGAAGATGGTTATGGAGTTCAGTCAGAAGGTTTTCTAAGGCAGATGAGAAGTAATGTGAGCTGGTTGTCGGACGAAGTTATCTTCAAGCTCATTGGTGGAAGGAGTATTTCGTGTTCTTTCTCTGTGCAAGGTGAATTTCCTGAATTTCTGCCTAGTGACAGGAATGCCGGGAGGAACTATAAAACCGATGTTTCTTCTTGCAGAAGCCCAATGATTAACAAAAAGGCTCACTACACAAGGCCGGTAGAGAATTCTGAGACAGCAAAATCTGGCTTTTTGGATGGCCTGTCCGAACCACCTGTGGAAGTAAAACCAACTTTGCTTGATTGGGGGCATAAGAATATCTTTCAACCTTCCTTAGCTTTCTTGACATTGAAGAATAGACATGCCGACAGTGTTTTGAGCGTCTATGATCTTTACAGTAGCAACCCACAGTTTTACCCGTGCAATTTAAGTGAAATTCTGTTGGCTCCCGGTGATGCTGTGTCAATGTGCTTTGTTTTTTACCCCATTCATCTTGGATTGTCTCAGGCTCAACTAGTTTTACAGACGAGTTTTGGTGGATTTTTGATTCAGGCTAAAGGCTACGCTGTTGAGTCACCTTATCTTGTGAAAGCTCTAAGTGGCATCGATATTTCTTCCAATGGAAGGTGGAGACAGAATTTGTCTTTGTTTAATCCTTTTGATGAAGTCCTTTATGTCGATGAAGCAACTGCCTGGATATCCACTTCCTCAGGGAATGCATCTATATCTTCGTCGGTTTGCTGCATTCACGGATTGGAAGATTCTGGTGACTACAGTGTCTTAAGTGCTAAAGACTGGTTGGCTGTTCAAAGTGGACTTGGTCGACCCCTTGTTGCAATGAGACTGCCTAATGATTGGGAGATCGATCCTCAGAAAACAGAGACCATCATTGAGTTAGATATATCCAACCATTTTCAAGGGAAGATTGTTGCTGCTTTCTGTCTAAAGTTGCTCCGATCATCGGATGATGAAGCAGACACTGTGATGATTCCATTAGAGGCAGAATTAGGCCTAAACACTGCTTATACAGGCCGTATTTCGTCATCCCTGGAAGCTTTAGTTCCGTGCAATACAAGTGGGTTGATTGCTGTAGGTCTTTCTATCAGAAATGATGCTCCGTATTTGGTCAGATTTATCAAGATCGCTGAAGTAGGGGAAGGTGTAGAAAATTTTCATATTAAGTCCGTAGAAGGACTTGTTCTTTTTCCTAATACCACCACAAAGGTTGCTATTGTTAGTTATGCTCATAAGAGAACTCTTGAAATGGGAATGAACTGCAGATTATGTGTACTGATAAACGACACAAGAAATTCTCTGATCGAAATCCCTTGCAGTGATGTAATCAGTATTTGCCCTGGAAGGCAATTAGATTCCTCTGTTGGAAATGCAGAAGGGACCGATGTTGTTGATTATATAAATGGGGGAGAGAGAATTTTCGGTGGCAGAAAACAGCTGTCATCTGGGGTTAAGGTATAAAGAATTCTATCCCTTTCTTCTTCATGACAATTTTTCTTCAGTTGTTTGATGTTTTTTTATTTGTTTCAATATTTTCCTGATTAGCCATAAATTCATTTGATCGATTATACTTATGTTTGTTTAATCATTATTTGAAGGCAATGAGCGCAAGGGAAGCCGACGAATTGGTACTCAGAAACTGGAAATCCCATGCCACTGCAAGTTTCATATCTGTTCTTTATGAGAACGAGCTACTATTTCCGATGGTTTTGGTTGGGAACTACTGTTCTCAGTGGATAGCCGTTAGAAACCCGAGTAAAGAACCTGTTGTAATGCAGATTATTTTGAATTCCGGGGAAGTCATTGATAAGTGCAAGACACCCGAGGAGCCTTCACAACCCTCATCATCCAAGATTTTGGGTGGAGAAAAATCAGTTGGCCCAACGAGCTATGGTTTCTCGATTGCAAACAATGCTGTGACAGAAACTGTTATTCATCCATACGGCACTGCAAATCTTGGCCCGATCCTTTTCCATCCTTCCCATAGATGTGAGTGGCGAAGCTCGGTCTTAATTAGGAACAATCTCTCTGGTGTAGAATGGTTATCTCTGCAAGGATCTGGAGGCACAATTTCCTTAGCATTGCTCGAGGAAAATGATCCTGTGCATAGTCTAGATTTTAAGTTAAATTTGTCGACTTGGGCGAATTTTTCTTCTCCAGATGCATTACAATCTGTAGGAGGTAAATCTCACTCATGTCGCCAGCCCTTGAAAAAGGAAGCTTATGCCAAGAACATGGGAGACCTTCCGCTAGAGGTCATAAAAATGGGAGTTTCGGGGGCAGAATGTGGGTTGGATGGTTTCACGATACAGGATTGTAAAGGCTTTTTACTTCTGCCGGGAGAATCCACAAGGCTTCGAATTTCATATCAGAGCGACTTCTCGGCGGCCACTATGTACAGAGACCTTGAGCTAGTTTTGGCATCCGGCGTCGTCGTGATACCTATGAAAGCGAGTATACCGTTGTGCTTTCTTAACTTCTGCAAGAAAACAATGTTCTGGATCCGGCTGAAGAAAGCTATGCTCGTAATGCTTTTTGCGGCTTTGTTGCTGGTCTTCCTGCTGTTTACCCAAGCACCGGTTATTTCTTCTCAAGAACTTAAAGACGGCAAGAACCATTCTCCTGTGATTCGCTCCTTGAATTCTTTATACGTGCGTTTGAATCTGAAGAACAGTGGCGTGGATGAGTTCCTGAGATCGGATGCTCCTGGTGCAGCTTTGCTAATGGAACCTGCCACATGTTCCGAAGATGTTGCCCCTGTTCAAGGACATGTAAATTCGAAAGCAGCAGGTAAAAAACAAACTAAATCTTCGGTAGATATTGAGCCCGAATCAAACCTGGCGACCATGCTGTCAAGACCTTCATCAACCGAAAACCTTGATAAGCAAGACACATCCGATTCACGGAATCTGAGAGTTAGAATCGGAAAGGAGAAAGGACGTAGACGTAGGAAGAAAAAGAATTCCGGTACAGGCGTGTTACCCTTTGAAGTTTCGAGCAGTCACAGCAGCAACTCCACCCCATCCTCACCTTTGTCGCCTGTTGCATCTGCAACACCACGACGACCCCCGCCGGCATCTCCTGCTGCTGTAGAGCAGCAACCTATGGAACCCAGAAACATATTTTCCCAGAAATCTGATAGTGCTAGATGCACCGAGAGTTCTCGGATGGATAATGTCGTGGTTGAGGTTCCCTCGAGACATGGAAACAGAAATCATAGTGCTTGTGTGGAAGACAATCGTAGGTTGACGGGGAATGTGGCTGCCATCCCTGTTCTCACACCTTCTGCTACCTTTCCTAGTGCTGGTAGGGCCGTACCACCCAAGGTGACGAGTAATTCTCAATTATCGGTTTCTACATCCGCCATTGATCTGCATTCCCGAGCCCCGGGGACTAAGCTCCATAACAGAAAGACCAGTGGCCCTGAGGAGAAGATGACTTCCGAGCAGAAATATACTTATGACATATGGGGTGATCATCTTTTCGGATTCCCTTCGACTTACCAGCCAAACAAGTTATCATCTGGAATATCCTTGTCTGCCGGTGAGAACAATTCTGAGAGCTTCTTTGTAAGGGGCCCCCAAGCCCTCATGAAAAACCCTATGCTGCAACCTGCAAATTCCGATTTGGAGGGTAATGAATAATTAAGTTCTATATAAATCGTTCTCCTGCATCTCTACTGTCTCTTATTTTGGCTTCGCTGTTTATAATCTTGCCTGAAAATTGTGACAACGTAGCGAACATGAAATGGCGTAAAACTCACTTGTCGTAAACACTAGGGGTGCTTTGTAGTTTATGGGATTCATTCAACAGCATGTGCTCTAGGACCACTAATTGGGATGAATTCGGGTGTAATATGACGATCATACTTGGTAGTCGAAGCTATTTAGATCATTGTAGGTAACTTTAAAATTTTGATTTATTTGTTTTGATATTGATTGAAGTAATCTGTTTTCTTATATCTTCTGTTCTCAACACATATAAAAAATCGAATAAAGGTCATACGGAAAAGATTATCGTATCCATGTGTAGTTCAGTTCAGTTCTGTCGTTGGTAATGTATTGCAAGATTCTTGGATTCTGAATGTTTAGATGTTATTATTATCTTGTTCCACATTCATCTGGTTGGAAAAAGCAGAGGATTCGGATTGGGGAAGTCTCCCGGACTTATGATGCAAGAATGGTTTTAGAAACATGTATATTACCGAAAGAAGATTGAACTGTTTTTCGATGGCTGATTGTTAGGAGTTTGGAATGGCGACGTAAACGTGGAGTTTCTGATTCAGGTGAATTACATTCGTCGTTTCGTTTCATCTTTGATGTATTATGGTTGAGATGTTTTCATATAGCAGCGAATGAGAGAGATCTACATCTCCTCAGTTTCTCAATATGTTTTGTTTTGCGTCATCTTTTTGAGAAATGGTTGAAGTTCATTTTGATGTTTGTGTGTTCTTGAATCTTGTTTTGCTGTGCCTGTAATGCAAATGCAAATGCAATGTTGTTGATGATCGTATGTTATCTGTTCTCTGTTTTAGTTTATATGTGTTGAGTTAATTTATGCTGTGTGTAGAGATTAATTGTAAAAATTAAAATTTTATATAATATAAATAAATAAATAATATATATATATAATTAATATTATGGAAACTAAGGTGTAATATAGTGACAAAGCCTTTCGATCTCTTCGATTTAATCGAATATAATTTCTTTTTTTAATTACATAAATGTTATTTTAATTAAATATAATTTAAAAATTTTTGGCCCGATAATTTCACGTCCATAGCCGCATATATTTTAAAAAACGATGAACCAGCCGTTCAGTATTCAGGTAAGAACCGAAACCGAACCGGGTCGAAGAATCAGAACCGCCGGTTTGAAACTGGCGAATGGGCGGTTCGGGACCGGTTGGGCTCAGGATCGGATCAAGATAAACCGATCCGCCCCCTTTTATTTAAACGAATATCTTCTGAACCAACCTCGCGAGTGCAATATACACTTTCAATCTTAAACCCTAGGTAGCGGCATCGCTAGGGTTTTGGGAAAGGAGAAAGAGAATGTTGAGGAGAAACATTAGGTTGAGGAGGGAGTATCTCTATCGGAAAAGTTTAGAGGGAAAGGAGCGTCTGCTCTACGAGAAGAAGCGCAAAATTCGCGAAGCATTGGAAGGTAATTGATGTGTATGTGTGTGTGTATATATATATATATATATATATACATTTGTATATATGTATACGCCTATTGCAGCTCGAATATCATGTAAGGCATCTTGTCGATTTGATGAACTGTTGTTTTAAATATAGAGGGGAAGCCTATTCCTACGGAGCTCAGGAACGAAGAGGCGGCCCTACGACAAGAAATTGATCTCGAGGATGAACATACCGCCGGTATTCTGGAGCTCTTTTGTTTTTAATTTATCATTGGTTTTGGCTTCTTTGAATTTTTTAATACTTTTGTTTGATTCGTATAGCGAGGTTATTGTTTGTTGAATTTCTGAAGTATCGATAGGTGATGCTTTTGGATTCGTATACTGATTGGTGGTGATTCTGGTCTTGAAGACCTGGTTAACGCCTTTGTTTTTACTTGAATGCAGTTCCCCACTCAACGATTGATGATGAGTATGCAAATGCTGCTGACAGAGATCCAAAAATTTTGCTTACCACATCACGTAATCCAAGTGCTCCTCTTACACAGTTTGTCAAGGTTCTCAAATCCTAGATTCCGTTCTCTGTATGAAAAGTATGCTTGAATGTGTTTCCAATGGTGCTGATGATGGATGCTATATATTTTTAGGAATTGAAGTTTGTGTTTCCAAATGCACAGCGAATGAATCGTGGTGGTCAGGTTAGTTGAACTTTTGATTTCCCTGTTTCAATTTTTTGTCTATCTTTAATTGTGATGGTGGTACATATGATTAGTTTGGTCATCTTCTTGGTGAGATACATAGCCTAGGATTTCATTTTGGTTGATAATCCTGTAAAAATATCTTTGGATTTTTTTCCCTTGAGATTGATGCCTGCCGAGTATAGGAAAGACTTAAAAACAAAGAAAGTCTCTTCAATTTGTTACACTGAAGTGATTTATGCTCTTTTAAAGACCTCAAATATGTTTGGAATTTAGGTAATACATGTCTCAATTATTCAGGGTGTTTTGTGTGTATGTATATATATATATATTTTTTCATTTTGAAATTCTTTGTAATTGGCCTACAATGCCTGGTAGTTACTGGATTTGTATGTAGTAAAATTGATGTAAGTTCATTAATTAGAATCTGCGTGCTTCAATCAACACAATAAATGATTTTGTAAATTCCTTTGCTATTGGGACAAAAGATATCTTTTATCAGTTCCTGTAATCCTGTACGTTGTAAGCATTATGTTATATACTTATATGTATGTTGCAGGTTATATCAGAGATACTTGAAACCTGCCGGTCACATGATTTTACGGATGTTATTTTAGTTCATGAACATCGTGGGGTGCCGGATGGTATTATCATAAGCCACCTACCCTTTGGTCCAACTGCATACTTTGGATTACTCAATGTGGTGAGTGTATTTGATTTATGGTATGAATGCTTCATAATTTGAGTTTTGACCATGATACATAGTTTTACTCTCCGTATAGGTCACGAGGCATGATATCAAGGACAAGAAAGCCATTGGAACGATGCCTGAAGCTTACCCCCATTTGATTCTTAACAACTTCTCTACTAAGGTTACATTTCATTCATAAACCCATATCTTAAGTAACAGCTATATCTCCAAATTTCATGGTGGTTAGTTTCTTTGCAATAAGTACTGAATCTTATTTCTAGTATTTCTACCCTTCTAATGGGAAAAAGTAGGTTTTATTGGAGTTTATAATTGGAATTATGGATCTTTAATTTTCTAGCAAGGGTTGAGAATTCCATAACTGCTGAATATCTATGGCTCATCTTATAAATCTTCTGAAAATTAACTAATCTTTGTAAAATGTTATTAAAGACTTCGACATGGTTATGATGTAAGTGCAATCACGTCATTTGATTATTCTACTGCTCATGTCGTAATAGTTTTGGATATGTTACTTTTTGGCAGCTTGGCCAGCGGACCGCAAACATCTTGAAGTATCTTTTCCCCGTACCCAAGCCAGATACAAAGCGCATTATCACTTTTGCGAATCAGTCAGATTATATATCTTTCAGGTTGGCATTTTATATAATTTGTCGATGAAATTATGGAGCATTCTTGGCTGGCACTTATAAATTCAAGGTTACAAATGAGATTGAGGCTCGTTGATCTGTTTCTCAGTTAGGTTATTTGGCTTGGGTTCTTGGGTTAGGGCGATGAACGTGTACTTTTATCTCTGATTATACATGTGTTCGAGGTGGACGGTTATGTCTATATGTATGTATTGATTGTTCTTCTTGTACTTCCATAGGCACCATATCTATGAGAAACGTAGCCCGAAAGCAGTTGATCTAAAAGAGATTGGCCCACGCTTTGAATTGAGGCTCTATCAGGTAATATTAGGATTGGTTTTGATACTTAGGGTTTGCTGCTTATGTTTTGGTTTTTTCTTAGGGTTTTGAAATGAAATTTTGAGGTGAAAATTGGAGTTGGCTGTGATAATTTTAGGAGTAAAAATACAGAGTAAATCAAGTAAAAACAGCCTATTAGTGGGGTGTGTTTGTTTATGTTTTCTATCTTGTTCTTTTGCATTTTGCTATTTCCAGTAAAATATCTTACCCTCCTAAAAAACATCACATCTTAACACCTATTTTGTATTCAAATCTGACACCTACTTTTCATTTAAAAAATCAAACTTCCAAAAACACTCGAAAATAAAAGTCAAACACACCTTTGTCCATTTAATTTGGACAATATATATATACATATACATCACATTTTGTGGAATGTTGATTTTTGTTAGCTACGAAACTCAGAAATATGGTGTGGTGTCAGCGAATGCTGATTCATGTGGTTATATTGAATGGGTGCAGATAAAGCTGGGGACAATGGATCAAGACGAAGCGCAAACAGAATGGGTTATAAGGCCTTACATGAATACAACCAAAAAGCGCAAGTTTCTTGGGGAATGAATGGTGTACTATTCTCTTATATCATGATGATATGATTTAGTAAGTTAGAATATTATTATTGTTTATTGTCAATGATATTTATATTCATTTAATTAACTAAATACGATGCATGCAAATTTTGGTAGCCCATAAGAAATTGTGCTGAATGGACTTCTTAAGAGGTAGTCCTTGGTTGTTAGTGTGTTTTTGGTTGTATCCATCTTTTAAGTTATATATAGTTGGGACAGAGGGAGTATTATTATTATAATTTCACAAAATATTATTTAAATCAATTTTAAATAAAAAATTCAAAGTAAGATACAAATAAAACAAACAATACTCTTTAAAAATATTACAAGGGATATATATATATATATATATATGGGCCCCTCTCTAGAGATCTTCTCCTCTTTAGCTACATATTTTGTGTATTTTTTATTTTTATTGTTATATGTATGTATATTATACAGAGTAATATTCTTGAAGAATTGTGTAGTAAACACTAAAAAAAGAAAAACAGCCCGATAGTCTCAACATTAATGTGCAAAAGTAGTGTTTGTATCTATCTATCTAGTTCATCAAGCTCTTTCATGCTTGTGCAAGTCAAAAAAAAATGGTGAGCCATCTAATAATCCATCCCTTCCTCCTATTTCAAAACTAAAACGTCCAAATGGAACTAAGCAGAATTCGCATCTCCACCGAAACCAGAGTGAAGAAACCCCGTACCTGTAAGGTCGAGGTGACTAGTGTCGCCCCACATTATGATGCTCCATTTGTCCTTGTTCGACACATGAAGTGTGGTGACGGAAGTGTTGAGAACCTTCTGCGCCGCCCGCTTCTTCCCAGAGGCCCTTCTATGAAGTGCTCGTATGGTGCCGCCGTGTGAGACTACAACCACTCTTTCACCTGTTAGAATAATTACGAGTGAATGATGATGATTTTGTTACGACTTCTCACTATATAATTGTGTTTATACCTTGATGTTTCTGTGCAATCCTTTGCAAAGCTGACGTGCACCGGTCATACAGTTGGTTGAAGCTCTCCCCACCGCCCTGCATGCACAAAAAGTATCATATAATTATATTATTACATTCATAACATGTTTCTCGGGAGGGGTTACCGGGAAAATCAATATAGTGCTGATTTCCCCGGCTAGCACATTATAACTAAGCAAATAAATCCTTGTTTCAATATATGAGTTTGCATGAGCATATACTTGTCATTGTATGTGTAGTGTATTTATAAATTATATTAAAAAAATACCTTCGACACTAAGTAAAGACCTAAAACAATATACCCTTAGTTTCGATGGAAGTGACCAGCTTAGCTAAATTGGGATATTTTATAAATCATATAGATGGCAAATTGTGTATTTGGTGTATCAGAGTATGCAAAGTTTTACCTCTAGTTTTATTTCCAGGTCACGAAAAAATCATATGTGATATGTTGTTACCTGCAGTATTGTAAAGAATAAATGCCCATATGCTTATTTGCATTTTGTATTTATAGAAATGAATAATGCATGATGCATATATAGAGGTTCTATCCATGTAAGATTTTCAGGGCAGCATAACAATGGGTGGTTAAAAGTACCCAAACGTACATATAATACACTAAATTGAATGAAGGTAAAGTGTAAAATAGTGAGAACTAATAGAGAGAGAGAGAGAGAGAGAGAGAGAGAGACAGCACATACTGGAATCTCTTGGTCATCTTGATTAGAGACAAATGCTTTGTACGCAATTGGATTAACCTTTGCAATGTCACTAAAGACAACACCTTGAATGTCACCAACATGCCTTTCCCGAAAACCTGGCTCTTTGATCACCTGATTTAAAAGATCAGTACATAAGAATGATGCACTTTGCTTGGAAGCAGATATAATAGATAAAGTGGAACACATCTTTTGTTTGTTCGAGTACACGGGTGCTACTTGTAGCGCTGCAATATCAAAATATGCTTTTCATGATTTGCAGACTCACTAAGCTGAGTTTTACCTTATAAACTCGGCACCAAAAACAAAATAGTATAGTTCAATGTCGGAAAATAAACAAATGGATGCAGTCATATACTATGCTGCAAAGAAAGAAGCATATCGAATAAACAAGGCAGATAATATCAGAGAAGAGAATATGAAGATGAAATGCAAGCCATAACTGAAAGAAGAATATTGTTTTCAAGAAAATAATATAACAAAATAACAAAAGAAATGATTTATATCATCCTCATTGATCAGGTACTGTCCATACTATGCAGGAGATGTCAAAACCGACCGAGAAATTAAATTCATAAAATATGGAAATGCACTAGAAAATTTAAGCTGTTTGCTTAAACAAACCGGTGCTGTAAATTGACAGATTTATGTTAATCTTTTTCCCAGCAATAGTTGTCTGTCGAAACAAGTGTCTGCTTGCCATTAAAGATAATCGGTATAGTTCAAAGCTTTAGTTGATCTTTGATACATACCTCAGGTACCCCACAATGTTTGGCTATAACCTCTGCAGTTTCATATGCCCTTTTCAAATCAGATGAATATACTGCAGATATTTTAGGTTCCCTTGACAGCCGCTTAGCGACCTTGAGCAAGGATTAACAAATTTCAAAGAACATAAATGGTTCGAATAACTGAACTGGAGATTACAAGAAGTGTGACATACTGCAACTGCCTGCTGTCTGCCAACATCATTCAAGTCCACATCCAGTTGGCCCTGGAATAAGGAATGACAAATTACAGTAAAATGAATGTTCAAAGCTAAGCGTCAGTGGTTGAAAACATTAATTCCACAATGTATCAATCTTGAAACCCAAATTATGCGAGGAAGTTGAAAGGCGTCAACAAATTTCAATGGTAGTTGTAATGATTCAAGGTGAAGGTTTAATAGCTCAGGTAATCTTGATCTAATTCTAGTTTTTTTCATTCGGAATATATATACACACATATATCTTTCTAATTTCCGCCATGAATTGTATTTAAATCCTTCCAGATTTAGGTCTGTCTCAATAAACTGAACAATCACCTGAATTCTGTGAACAACATTCCATTCAGTTTCACCATGACGAACGATGATAATCTCCGCAAACTTGGGCGAAACAGCACCAGTCGTTCCACCATTTTCGTCGCACTCAAATCGAGGTAAAGAAGTCGAGCTAAAAGTAATGATCGATAAAAATGAACACAAATTAGTTATAGAGATCCAGTTTCAACTAAATTTCCTGGTACTCCAGCAATTTCAGTCGGAATGAAAGGAACACTCAAATGAACGAAAAGAAAGCACACTTTTCATCATCAATAACAAAATAACTGACAATCGACAATCAGTATTGAAACAAAACATTCACATCGGCGGTAAAAAGACCTTGATGTGGAATCGGCCATGGATTTGCAGCTAATCAAGCTACTGCAGCACGGCCCGATGATCTTCACCTCCCGAAGAGCGGCGATTTCTGGCAGCGGAGAACAACACGCAACGGGGGAGGAAGGGAGGAGGAATGGCGCGATGGATTTTATACTAGTCACGCTTAATGCGCTCATAGGCTGAACGGCATTTCACGCCCATGCTTGTCTTTTGTTTAGATTTTATTTAATTTCTATTATTAACAATTTTTTATTTCTTTTTAAAGTATCAAATCAAATATAAGTATTAGATTCAAAAAATATCATAATAATTTTTATTTGTATGATCTAAATAATCATTTAAATTTAAAATTTTTAATACTTGAAATCCCAAACAAAGTGTGAGTTTTCATGAAGAGAAATTAGGGTTTGTTTTTTTGTGTTTTGATTTGTAGGGAAATTTGTTTATTTGAATTTTGAGGTATAATAATATAAAAATAATATTTATAATTTCAGATGTTTTGCGGTTAAAAATTCTAAAATATTATATGAAATTATATTTTATGTTTTCATTTATTTTTATTCTTATATGTATATATTATATATATAGTATTTTTAAAATAATATTCTCCTTCCACATTTGGTGTCATTTGCAACGTTAGATACAAGATTAAATGAATGTTATAATTAGTAAATATAAAAATGATTTTAAGAGATGTACTAATAAAATAACTACAAAATAATATAATAATTATAAAGTAATATTATAAATTAAAAAATAGCAACATAAACAAAAATTTTTGAAATGGAATGAGTATCTTTTAAATATTACACTGAAATAAAATACTGAGTGAACACAAAAATAAATTTAGTTTGCATTTGCATTTGCATTTAAATTTAAATTTTTATTTAAATAATACTCTCGTCCAATTTCTATTATCATAAAGTATATCTGCACGTTTTTTTAGGTGTTTTTTTGTTATAATTTGACAAATTTGTCCTTAATTGTACGGTATAGATTAAAAATAATAAATAAATGAAAGATAAAAATATAAAATTTGTATTTAAAAAAGAAAATAAGACAATAGTTATTGGACATCCCAAACAAGAAAGTAAGACATTAGTTTATGGACGGAAGAAGTAATATATTTATACAAAAAATAATGCAAATTGAATAGTAAAAAATTTAATTAAAGATTTGATTTATGCTACTATAGTTATCTCACTATTAATTGCTCATTAAAATTCAAATGTAATTATAAATATCTGTGTTTTTCTTTAGAAAGACTATGCATTTCATAATGTATCATTTGGACTTTTTTTTGGGTGGAGTTATGATTTAAATTTATACTTATTTTTCTTTTTGAGTTGTCCTAAAAAAATATTCTCGTTTTTTTTAATAAAAAAATATTATATTTTTGTATTTTTTTTTACTATAAAAAGAAAAAATAACAACTATTATTTACTTTTATTAAAATTCGTGTCCAGTCAAATGAACACATATTTCGTGATGGAGAGGGTACATCACATAGGTATATCTAATCACAACAATTTCAAAACAAACTATGATTGTGTTCACTTGATATTTTAATATTTTATTTATATTTATAAATTTTTTTAAAAAAATATTATCTAAAATAAATTTAAGAAAAATGAAAAAGAAAAAAAAAAACATGAACATGAACATACATACACATATATATAATTTAATTTTGTTTGATTTATATAATTATTAATGATTTTATATATAGAAAATATTTTATACACATTGCAAAAACCATTATTGCAGTTGACATATGGATGGCGTCAACCATCAGGGATCATTGTAGCCTCACGGACACGCTCATTCTATCTAACAAAAAATCTAATCACGTTTATTGCCGATTATCATAAGAGTGAGAAAAGTACCATCATCTATTTATCGTTTTATTGGCTTCTTACCCCAATTTTAATTACTATTTTTGTCCCCTTTTAGCAGTCAAAGATGCGATTTTTAGGCTTCACACCATAATTGTCCAATTTTATGGGACACTAACTGAGTGCCCACTTCTTAAAACTGACAAAAATCCCCCAAAATTCGAGACAATCTTGGTAAATGTAAGCCTGCAATACTGGGTTAAGCTCAGAGACAATATCTATAAAATATACACCAACATTTTGACAGAAACAGCTGAGCCATTCATTGGGTTTGATCAACTAGTCCTATAGGTAAATTTCAAAGATTGGGATACCAAAGCTCATCAAACAGATATGGAGAACAGGGTTCTCATCCTTGCTCTTAATTTGGCCATATCCCTCTGTTTTCTAGTCCCGTCGTCGTCATCGTCGGCATACGCCGAAACTCAGAGAAAAGTGGTGACTGTGTTGAGTGTTGATGGGGGTGGGATAAGAGGGGTCATTCCTGGGGTACTTCTTGCCAATCTAGAAGCCAAACTACAGGTAAATTCTATCATACCATTTTCAGGGTTCCTTCTCATTAATTTTGTGTGCACTGAAAGAAATATGGCAAAATTTCTTACAGGCATTGGATGGGCCTAATGCAAGAATTGCAGACTACTTTGATGTAATAGCTGGGACAAGCACAGGGGGTTTGATCACTGTAATGGTCACTGCCCCTGGTAAGGATAATCGACCTTTATATGCTGCTAAAGATATTGCTGGATTCTACATAGAACACTGCCCTAAAATCTTCCCTGAGAGCAGGTAAAACTGATCTATTCTACATACTAATTTCACAGTTTTCTCCCCTGTTTTTTTAACGTGATTTATCAATTTGGTGATGATCAAAACTAATCAAGAACATTGTGTATCTAAAAATCAGCCGGAACAGCATTATAGACAGGTTAACCAATTTTTTAGGAGGGCCAAAGTATGATGGGAAGTACCTGAAATCATTGACGCAGACGCTGCTGAAGAACTTGACTCTGAGCCAGACTCTGACGGATGTGGTGATTCCATCGTTCGATATCAAGAACCTTCAGCCTGTAATCTTCAACACCAGAGAGGTAAAATATTAATGTGCTATTGAGATTAAGATTGGTATGGAAATGGTTGAAGAAAATGATGAAATGGATAAAAGCAGGGAAGAACACACGCGTTGAGGAATGCTTTGCTGTCTGATGTGTGCCTTGGCACATCTGCTGCCCCGACTTATCTTCCTCCTCACTATTTCGAGATTAGGAATCCGGAGGGGAAGTCGAAAACCTATAATCTCGTTGATGGAGGAGTTGCAGCGAACAATCCTGTGAGTGATTTATTATGGATTTGGGGGAGATGGAGACGTTATTCTTCTGATTTAGGGTTTTGAACTTTTGATTGCAGACGTTAATGGCGATTACGCACATATCGAATGAAATACTGAAAGGAAACTTCGAATTAAAAGACGTACATCCGATGGAAGGAGACCTGTTGGTTCTGTCGCTCGGCACCGGCATGCCGCAGAGGGAGGAGAAGTACAGCGCCACCGAGGTCGAAAGGTGGGGGATGCTTTCCTGGGTGTACCACAAAGGCGGAACGCCGATTATCGAAGTCTACAGCGATTCGAGCGCCGATATGGTAGACATTCACGTTTCCACGCTTTTTCGATCCTTCCGCAGGGAGCAAAATTACCTCCGAATTCAGGTAGGTTGTACATTCCTTCCGGTGAAAACGATGATGAATCGCCACAATCTGGCGTCTAATAGGCTAATTGATTTGGTAAATTGAATTGGATTGAAAAGGAGGACAGTTTGAGCGGCGACGCGGCGTCGCTGGACATGGCCACCGTGAAGAACATGCAGATGCTGGTGCAGATTGGGGAAGGGTTGCTGAAGAAGCCGGTTTGTAGGATAGATCTGGAGACCGGCAGACCGGTCCCGGTTCAAGGCGAGGGTACGAACGAAGAGGCTCTGGCCCGGTTCGCGGCGAAGCTGTCGGAGGAGAGGAAGTTCCGCCGTGGAGTATAGGGAATATGCCCTGGAGTCGAGGTCCAGTGAGTTACGAAGCACGTGACTGCCAGTAATCAGTTTTAAGAATAATTATTGGGCACGCCATGTTACATGATAATTAGATTATTTATTTATTTATTTATTTTTGCACAAATTGCCAACAGATGAAAAAAAAAAAATTTGTTCGAGAATTTTGGTGACACCTCATATACTGTTTGTGTTTTGAGTTGAATAATTGTGTAAATTAATATTGGTTGTATCTGTATATTTTTAGGATTAATGGTTGAGATCTGTTTACGCAATCAATTTACATTTATTTATATTATTCTTGAAAAAATATCACATTAAATATATATACATTTTTTACAAAAATATCAAATCAAATATAAATATTTTAATTTTTTTCAAATATTTAAAATTCTAAAATTTTCTGAAAACCTCTATCTAAACAGATATAGTTGATTCCTCGTCTTTTCTAATATGTATAATCCTTGCATTTGTTAAGTGGCCATTTTATTTGGATGAAAATCGATATTTTCTTAAAGGTGTCTTGAATAGACATTGTTGTGAGATTTTGATATAATATATATATATATATTTTTTTTTTTTCTTGCACTTGTGTTTAATAATTCCTAATTACTTAGATTCATAAGTTTCCATAATTAGTAAATGTACAACGAAATCTACATTGACTGTCTGTGTCAAATATAGAATGAGCTTCACCCCTAGCTCATTTAATATGCCATTGCAGATAGGAAATAAATTGGAAAAAATAAATGGAATTGGGAGTATGTAGCTACTAAATTTAATTTCTTTATTCTTTATTTTATTTTAAATATTACTTAAAAGATTGAATGAGATTTTCTTCAATATTCACAGTATGACTATTTACATATTCAATAAATTTTTTTTAAAAAAATTATTTATGTGGCTCTATAGTTCAAATATAAACTTTATGTAAATACATAATGGAATTTAGATAAAAGATTGTATTGAAGATTGTGTCATGTTAGAAAATGTTGATTCTATTATGATTTTGATAGATCATCAGCTCTGAAGTACTCCCTTCGTTCCAAGTATCATTCCCAAGTATCATGTCCACGCTGCCGTTTCTGTCCGTCTCGTTATTTTTTTTTGAAAAATAATTATACACTTTAATCTCATTTTAAATTTTTTAATTTTATTTATTTTTATTTTAATTAAACTAATTAGTTATCCTAATCTTAATTTATAATTATTTATATTATATAATAATTATTTTCACTGATACATTTTTAATTATCTACTGATTACACCCTTCTAAAATACTGTGTCTACAGTGTAGTAGACACGATATCTGGGACGGAGGAAATATATTTTAGCTCAAATTGTACCTGACGTATTGAGATAACTATTTAGGAGATTTAATATCTAATTCAAAATGCGGTTGTATTTGTAATTGCTAATTTATCTTCAGTGACGGATCTAATATTTTGAATTTGGTAGGTAGATAAATTAATATTATTAAATTAAAATTAATAAATATATCAACAAAAAATTACATTAGAAAAATACGAAATTTCAAATTAACAATCACTTAGACATCAAAATAGTTAAGTGTTCACGACGAGATCTCTTATATTTTGGTGTCGGCTGACAATAGCATATATACTAACTTTCGTAAACACATCTCTTTCTAGAAAAGTAACGAAACAGTCATTTAATAATTACTCTTTCATGCTATTCCGTAAGTTTTTCTTAATGATAGTTATAGTTGAAAATGATCTTTTCAAGTTTGTTCGTTGCTATTTTTCTTTGTTTCAACAAGTTTCATAGAAAGTTCATTTAAATTATTTATATCCCAAAATATTTCATCACATTAAACATTAATAATGAAATTACCTAATAATAATTCAAAAATCATCAATTTTGCTTCTCTAGAATATAATTATGCAAGTTGCAATATTTTTTATTTTTTTATTAAAAGAGGAAAATCCATTGGAGAAAAAAAAACAAGACATCAATAATTCTTTTGGTGATTATTGTCTAATATTGAAACTGATTCATGAAATAAAAATAGAATTAATATTTAAGGATATATTTGTAATTTAGTGATAATTAGTATTATTTTTAATTTTTTTTTATGAGTCAATTAACTCACCTTGCCTAATAATGCATCCGTCCTGTTTGTCTTATAAAATTTTAAGAAGAAGTAATTTTCTTGTTCTTATCTAAAGGTCATTAATTATGTGGAATCTTAAATTTTGTATAATGTGTTTTTGTTAATTAAAATTTCAGCAAAATGAATGAAATTGAGAATTGCCATTACCGATCAGTTTTGTATTTTAGTTCTATAGATTTGTCCTTATTATATATATATATTTTTTAAAAATTTCTTTTTTTAATTGAATTATACATGTACGATGATGATGTATTATTAGTACGATGATTTTTTCATACATATTATGTAACTTGACTTATTCAACAATTATTCTTAAAACCGAGCATTGTCAGTTACGTCACGTGCTTGGTAACTCACTGGACCTCGACTCCCGGGGCAGAGGCTCCACGGCGGGACTTCCTCTCCTCCGACAGCTTGGCCGCGAACCGGGCCAGAGCGTCCTCGTTCGAACCGGCACCGGGAACCGGCTCCGGTAACCCGGTCTGCAGATTTGTTCTGCTAAGCGGCTTCTTCAGCAACCTTTCCCCAATCTGCACCAGCTCCTACATGTTCTTCTCAGTGGCGATGTCGATCGACGCCGCGTCGCCTCTCAGATCGTCCTCCTTTTCAATTCAATTCGACGCCGGATTAATTGTCGCGATTCATCAGCGTTATTACCGGAAGGAATGTACAACCTACCTGAATTCGGAGGTAATTTTGCATCTTATCCGCGTATCGGAAAAGCGTGGAGACGTGGATGTCTACCATGTCGGAGCTCGAGTCGAAGAAGATTTCGATTAATGGCGATCTGCCTCTGTTGTACACCCAGGAAAGCATCCCCCACTCGGCGGCTTCGACGGCGTTGTACTTCCTCTCCCTCCGCGGCAAGCCGCATCCCAACGACACAACCAAAATTTTCCCGTCCACCAGATTCGGATGTACGTCTTTTAACTCGGACTTATCATTCAGTATTTCATTCGATATTTTCGTCATCGCTATTAACGTCTGCAATCGAAATCGATATCACATAACCTTAATTTTACCTCTTTGGTGGTGAAGATGACAGGCTGAAGGTGCTTGATATCAACCGCTGGAATCACCACATCCGTCAGAGTCTGGCTCAGAGTGAGATTCTTCAGCAGCGTTTTCGTCAATGATTTCAGGTACTTCCCATCATACTTTGGCCCTCCAAAAAACTCTCTAATTCTGTCTATAATACTGTGCCGGCTGATTATTCGATACACAATGTTCTTGATTAGTTTTGATGATTGTCTCATAACATTAAAAAACAAGGGAGGAAACTTTAACTGTGAAATTAGTGTGTAGAAATAGATCAGTTTTACCTGCGCGCTGGGAAGATGCTGGGGCCGTGTTCCATGTAGAATTCAGGAATATCTTTAGCAGCATATAAAGGTCGATTATCCTCACCAGGGGCAGCCAACATAACACTGATCAAACCCCCTGTGCTTGTCCCAGTTATTACATCAAAGTAGTCTGCAAGTCTTGCCTTAGGTCCATCCAATGCCTGTAAGAAAACTTGCCATATTTGTTTCAGTGCACACAAAAAATAAGATTAAGAAGGAACGCTGAAAATAGGTGATAGGATTTACCTGGAGTTGGGCTTCTAGATTGGCAAGAAGTACCGCAGGAATGATGCCTCTTATCCCACCCCCATCAATACTTAACACAGTCAACACTTTTCCCTTTGTTTCGGCATATGTCGATGGGATGATAAAATGGAGGGATATGACCAAATTAAGTGCTAGGATGAGAACCCTCTTCTCCATAGCTGTTTGATGTGCTTTGGTATACCAAAATTTGAGGTTTATTTATAGGGTGTTCATGTAGTGTAAACTTGTTGATCAAACCCAATTAATGACTGAGCTGTTTCTGTCAATATGTAGTGTATATTTCACCACTAGAGTAGAGTTTAAGTAGATTGATTAGGCTACTCATGTAAACAATTTGTATATATATATTTTCTTTTTTGAAAGTCTACTTAAGATTTCTAGAGTTAAAACGTGGTAATTTTAGGATGGGACCTTTAGAAAGCCTCTCAACGAGCGTGTGAGTAAGGACAAAACACGGTAGAAGGGATTTAGTTAATTTATGGAGCCAGTTTACAACCAAACACATCCCGTTTCCGTGGCTTGCATGCTGGAGTATTACAATTGATATCAAAACCAACCCGCAACACCTATAGTCGGTGAGCATAGACGTTGCATTCTTAAGTATGGGAGAATGTGATACACATGAACGTTATATTTTTAAGTGGAAGAGAATATGATACTCTTAGAGTTGAATAGTTACGTGAATATTGCATTCTTAAGTGGGGGAGAATGTAATATTACTATAGTTGATTAGAGTTTACTACTGGAAGGACTTGTGTTGACATGCCCTACTTCTATATTTTGTGAGTCAGAGTGTTACCGTAGGTATTAGAGCCGACCTGCTATAGTCTATAGTTGTTGAGTGACATAAAGCATTCTTAAGTAGGAGAGAATATGCCAACCCTAGAGTAGAGTTTAAGTGGATCATCAAGATGGGTGATCCCTGGGAAATCGCGCGTGAGTGGGGATGAAACAGGTTAAATGATTTGTGTTAACTTGTGGGCAGTCTACGATCTCGACATGTCCAACTTGTGTAGCTTGTGGGCTGGGTGGTTACATACTGTCTATATGCTTAACCAAGTATTGCAACACACATAGCTTACATTTACCAAGATTGTCCTGTCATGAATTTTGAGGGATTTCTGTTGTTTTATGAAGTGAGTAGTCAGTTAGCGTCCCACAAAATTGGAAAATTATGCCGTGAGGCCTAAAAATTGCATCTTTGGCTGTAAAAAGAGAACAATATTAGTAAATAAACTTGAGGCAAGCCCGATGTTTGAAACCAGGAAAACCATAAGTAGATGATGGTTTTTTCTCACTGTGATGATAACCAATAAACTTGTTTTGATTTTTTGTTCTTAAAAGGCAAAAACTGTAGATAGAAATTAGAATGAGCTTGTTGATTTAGTGTAGTAACATATTGGTCTTCAAATTTGTTGATGACGGCATCGAATATAGGCATCGATATAATGAGCCAACTTCATCCAGACCGCACTGCTTCGTCCTCATGACGACAAATTATTTTACAATTTTTGATCCGTCTTGCTGACATTGTTCTTATGCTTTCATCATAATAGTTCTCGCCATATCTTTTGGGTTCGAAATGCTACCATATCTTCAACAAGCTAACTATGCGCTTGTCGCAACTCATTTTTGTTTGCTTGAGCTGGCATTAGTTGTAGAGTAGGAATGGTCCCTTGGGATGCTTGGAAGTTTCGATGTTGGTTCGACGAAACGTGAAATTTACCTTCTCATGTATCACACTGTCGTGTTTATATTGTTGTAGCGAGTTTAGCACAACGTGCTTTGACTGCATTATTAGTTGGCTTAACTTTGGATGGTATCAAGAGAGTAACCGAGTTTAATTTCTTACAATTTTTTTAGATAATTTTTTGTTTAATTTAAATTTTTTTGTTTGAAATTTGAAGAAGAAAATTGGATTATAATTAGTAATTATTTAATTTCTTTGTATCATTTTTCTTGGAGGTAATCATCATTTTAAAAAGAAAATACATGTGTAGGACCTATATGTTTTGAATAGAGATAATAAGTTTCTAAATAATTGGTACAGTATATAGTTGGCAGATGTTTCCTTCGTCTCTTGCATTTCTTTTGTTTTGTTTGTTTGATAGCTGCAACATCCTTTTTCGTTTTTCCTCGTGGCTTTAATTTACTGCTTCTCATCATCACAAAGTAATCATGCATCCCATTTTCTTGTATTTCATATGCAGGCATTAATCACTTACTGTGGTTTGGTTTGAACTCCTTTTGCCGAGCTCAACATGTATGAAATGATTCGACTTGTTGAGGAAAATTGTAAGTATACATCATACTCAGACTCTTAATTAAATTTTTGCAATTCGCTTTCCTGTTCTGATGCTTTCATCATAATAGTTCCTGCCATATCTATTGGGTTCAAAATGCTGTACCATATGTTCAATGTGCTACTTATGCTTTTGTGGACTCCTTTTGTTTGCTACTTGTGGTGGCATTAGTTGTAGAGTAGAAATGGTCCATGGGGTGCTTGGAAGTTTCGATGTTGGTTCGACGAAATGTGAATTTTACCTTCCCATGGACCACTTTATTGTGTTTGTATTGTTGTGGTGTGCTTAGCGCAACATGCTTCGACTGCATTATTGGTTGGTTTGAGAATACTTGGTGAGAGTAGCTGACTTTTGATTTGTTATTAGGGACTTAGAAATGGACGTGTCTCAAATAAATTGAATAATTTCATTTTTGTGTTATCCCAATCTGTCATAAAAAAAAAGAAAAAACACTAAATGGTGTACCTCAATTCCTATCTCGTCTATTTGTTTGCCCCACAATGTGTCTATACCTGCTCATTATTATTATTATTATTATTATTATTATTATTATACGTTGATGTTAGTTTTATATATGGTGATGGTTTGAAATCATGTTTTGTTAGTTTATATCTACTGGTGTATTGTATGAACATAACTGTGTTGACATCAACTGTTGGATGAATTATTGTTATGTGCTCTCTTTCGATCAAAAAGATAAAATTATTGTTAAGTGCTCTCAGTTTATGCGTTGTATTTGTATTATATTAATTCAAAGTTTATAGTTTTGATATATATTTTGCATGTATATTTGAAGTAGTATAAGCATCCTAAATAGTAGGAGTAGTAGTATTCATTGAGTATGCTAACAGCAGCCTTATTTGTAGTGTTTTGGAGTTGGCACATGAATCTCATTTTTTAGAATAACATCTTTACGAAATAAATGGGAAATCACAAGTGATTCTTGGTATTGGGATTGCGACTTAAGGCAATGGATGTCCCAGCCCTATCCTTATTCTTCTGATTATTTATTTATTTATTTTATTTATTTTTACCTTTAATTTACGTGGATAAAATTATGAATAATTTGAGATGCAATTCATTTAATTATTAATATTGTATGTTACTATTGTTTATTTGAAATGATTTATATTCATGTATTATTTTATTTATTTTTAAGTGAACATTATTATCATTTTGTAACTCATAAAACTCAATTTAATCTTTCTTCTTTATGGTGTGTGTTCCTTTAAATTTGTTTGGTTATGGTTTGAAATTAATTTGAAATAGGGTGTTAGATTTGAGTTTTTGTTTAAATAGTATTTTGATAAGATATTTTGTGAGAGAAAATAGTGTATTTTTATTGAGAATTGTGTAAAATTATTAAGATTGATTTAGTTTGAAAGTGTAAAAGAACAAACTTTTTGATTTTATGAAACATCCTAAGATATCGATTATAAATCCAACCTCTGTACCACCAGGCCATTCTTACAGAGCACTTTTGTGATTTTTTGTTAGATAGAATAGTAGTTGGATGTGTTGCATTATGTTTAAAATGTATGCTGTTATAGTTTGAGGTCTATGTGTTTTTTAGGTGAACTATTAGTTGGTGTAATATTTTTTTATAAAATATTATGATGTTTTTAATGAAAACTATGGAAGTACGATACTGAATGTTAAATAAAAAGAACATACCTTAAATTTGTTTTTAATTCCTTTTGGACTAATAATTCATAAAAAATTTTGTAATTTTTCAAAATGGTCTGAAATTATATATTTTCGGCTAATTGGATAGAAATTTATCTGCCATAATAAAATTTAAGAACAAGTCATTTCTTTAAAATTATTACATTTGATTTGCATGTCACTCTTTCACCCTCAGATTTTTACCTTATTATTCTTGATTTTGTGAAAATACATTTCTACCCCCATCCATTACAGTCCAGCGATCTCATCAATGGAATGCAAGAAGATGGGTGCATTGTTTGTGAATTATCGAGAGTAAGAGCACCAAAATTCATCGGCAGATGTCATTCAACCAAAATCAAAATCCAGCGCTACACACCCACCCTCCCCGGGCAAACACATCCAAAGTTGCATGCTCTATTTAGTGGCAATAAAAAGCAATGAAAAAATTTCTTCTTAAGTAAGTTATAATCTTTCATTTTATTCTTTTCAATTTTATGCTATGAAATGATGAATACAACAATACTCATTGGTTAGTAACATTTGAAAACAAAATTCAGGATATGATTTTAAAAATAAGTCGCAACTATTTTTTTAGAATATTATCTATTCAAACAACATCAACATACATTTAAAACTTATTTTACATCCAAATAGTATTCTGTCTAAAGAGAAATCCCAAAATCAAAACCCTCAAAAACACACATACCAATTGTGCTAAACTCACTACAACAACACAAACACAGCAAAGCGGTCCGTGTGGTCCATGAGAAGGTAAAATTCACTTTTTGTTGAACCAAAATCAAAACTATTATGGTGAGAACTATCATGATGAACAACATAAGAACAAGCAAGCGAATTGCAAAATTTTAAGTTACAAGTAAAGTATGATGTACTCTTACGATGTTCTTGAACAAGTCGAGTCATAGTCATTTTCATTCATGTTCAGCTCAGCAAAAGGAGATCGAACCGAACTGCCGTAAGTGATTAATGCCTGCATATGAATTACAAGTAAATGGCATGCATGATTAATTTGTGAGGATGAGAAGCAGCAAATAAAAGCCCTCCCAAAAAAATAAATAAATAAAGGATGTTGCAGCTATCAAATAAACTAAAGACTACTTACAGCACTGTCAATTTCTACTCAAACATTCGAGAGAGAAATGCAAGAGACAAAGGAAACAAATGTCAACTGTACCTTCTACCAATCATTTCTATGCAAAAACACCCTAAAGAAATTAAATAATTAATTATTACCTTTTTTTTTTGAAATTTCAAAATTATAAACTAAACAAAAAATTATCTACAATAATAACAAATCAAACTCAGTTACTCTCTTAAAACCATCCAAAGTTAAGCCAACCAATAATGCAATCGAAGCACGTTGTGCTAAACTTGCTACAACAATACAAAAACAAGAAAGAGGTCTATGAAAAGGTAAGCATCCCGGGGGACCATTTCCGCTCTTATGACTAATTCCAGCACAATTAGCAAACAAAAAGAGTCGAGACGAAAGCATAATTATCACATTGAATATATGTTATACCATTTTGAACCCCAACAGATATGGCAAGAACAATGCCAGCAAGATGGATGAATTTGTAAAATAATCTGTCACCATGAGGATGAAGTAGTGCGGTCTGGATGAAGCTGGATCAATATTTCCAATTATATCAATTTTCCATGCCTTGAAAGGCCATGTCCAGATCACTGCTTGTAATTGAATATAGTCATTAATAAATTTCAAGATCCACACTTACTACACTTAATCATAATCATAACCCCCCCAAAAAAAAAAAAAAAAAAAAAAAAAAAAAAAAAAAAACTAAATGAAAATTTTATGAAATGCATTCTAGTCTTTCCAAGGAGGAGGTGACAAGATATCTATAACTACACTTGATTTGTGTGCACCAATGATTCTTGCAAAAACCATTATTGCAGTTGAAATATATATGACGTCAACCATCAGGGATCATTGTAGCTACAAGCTCATTCTATTACACATTTTACCTTCTAAGAAGAGAAAACCTAATCAAGTTTATAGTTTTCCTTCAAACATCGGACTTGCCTCAAGTTTATTACTAACTTTGTCTCCTTTTTGCAGTCAAAGATGCGATTTAGGCCTCACAGCATATTTTTCCAATTTTTTGGGACACTTTCTTTGGGAATTTCTTCCTAATTTTTACTATTTGGAATCTTTGTTACCGTAAAACAAAAAATACAGTTTTTCCTCTCGAGAAATATCATATCAAATATTATTTCAATATAAAACCTAAAGAAACACACAAATCCCCCAAAATTCAAGACACAAGGCAATCTTGGTAAATGTAACTCTATGTCTGTGTCGCAATACTGGGTAAAGCCTAGAGACCATATCGATAAAATAAAAACTGCATTTTGACAGAAACAGCTGAGCCACTCATTGGGTTTGATCAACAAGTGTACACTACACGCACACCCAATAAATAACCCTCAAGATGTAGGATACCAAAGCACATCAAACAGCTATGGAGGCGGGATACGGCAAAGGTAAGGGAAAAGTGGTGACTGTGTTGAGTATTGATGGGGGTGGGATAAGAGGGATCATTCCTGGGGTACTTCTTGCCAAACTAGAAGCCCAACTCCAGGTAAATTCTATCACACTATTTGCAGTGTTGCTTGTTAATCTTATCTTTTGTGTGCACTGAAATATATGGCAAATTTTCTTACAGGAATTGGATGGACCTGAGGCAAGACTTGCAGACTACTTTGATGTAATAGCTGGGACAAGCACAGGGGGTTTGATCAGTATTATGTTGGCTGCCCCTGGTGAGGATAATCGACCTTTATATGCTGCTAAAGATATTCCTAAATTCTACCAGGAACACTGCCCCGAAATCTTCCCACAGGGCGGGTAAAACTGATCTATTTCCTACACGCTAATTTCACAATTACAGTTCACTAATATCTCAATCATCAAAGCTAATCAAGAACCTTGTGCATCGAATAATCAGACGGAACAGCATTACAGGCAATATAAGAAATCTTTTTGGAGGGCCAATATATGATGGGAAGTACCTGAAATCATTGGCAGAGAAGCTGCTGAAGGACCTCACGCTGAGCCAGACTCTGACGGATGTGGTGATTCCCTCGTTTGATATCAAGCACCTTCAGCCTGTCATCTTCACAACCAAAGAGGTAAAAATTAAGGTTATGTGAATATAAAAACTAACATATTGTTGTAGAAATGGTTGAAGCAAATGATGAGATGAGCTGAAAACAGGGAAGAGAACTAGCGTTGAGGAATGCTCTGCTGTCTGATGTGTGCCTCGCCACATCTGCTGCTCCGACCTATCTTCCTCCTCACTATTTCGAGATTAAGAATTCAGAGGGGAAGCTGGAAACCTTTGATGTTGTTGATGGAGGAGTTGCAGCGAACAATCCAGTGAGTGATTTATTGAGCTTTTGCGGAGACGGAAGGATTGATTATTCGTCTGGTTTTAGGGTTTTGATTTTGATTGCAGACATTAATAGCGATGACGAAAATATCGGATGAAATACTGAAGGCAAAGTCCGAGACAAAAGACGTACCGAATCTGATGGAGGGGAATCTGTTGGTTGTGTCGCTGGGCACCGGCTTGCGACGGAGGGAGGAGTTGTACAACGCCGCCGACGCCGCCAAGTGGGGGATGCTTTCCTGGGTGTACAGCGGAGGCAGAACGCCATTGATCGATATCTACAGCGACTCGAGCGCCGACATGGTAGACATCCACGTCTCCACGCTTTTCCGATACGCGAATAAGACGCAAAATTATCTCCGAATTCAGGTAGGTACATTCCTTCCGGTAAAATACGGTGATGAATCGCAACAATGAATCCGTCGTCGAATTGACTAATTGAATTGAATTGTAAAGGAGGAAGATCTGAGCGGCGACGCGGCGTCAATGGACATTGCCACTAAGGACAACCTGGATAATCTGGTGCAAATTGGGGAACGCTTGCTTAAGAAGCCGGCTTGCAGGATTGATCTGGAGACCGGCTTTCCGGTTCCGCTTCCGGGCGCGGGTACGAACGAGGAGGCTCTGGCCCGGTTCGCGGTGAAGCTGTCGGAGGAGAGGAAGTCCCGCCGTGAAGGATAGGGAATGCCTGGGAGTCGAGATCCAGGAGTTACCAAGCACGTGACTTACAGTAATCGGTTATACGAATAAATACTTAATACGGAGGGGTTAGGGGGCTTATGGTTGTAAAGCACGTAAAAAAATAAACAGGCGGCATACATGGTTAAATAATACATTATTTATTTGTACTTATAAGGGGTATTATATTAATATATTCTATATATATAGTTAGAATATTGTTATGTTGATAGTTGATTTGCTGCGTAAATCAATCATATTAATAGTGTTGTATAACATCTCATGTGCTGAAATTGTGTTGTATAATGCTATAGTAACTCCGTGTGATGTCTGTTGTTATCAAACATTAAGACTTAATTGAGCTGAAAAATATGGTTATTTGTTTAGATAATTTCTATATTAAATATTCTATGGTTATAATAATAAATATATTTTAACTATTTAACAGTTGTATATATATTGTTTTATCTACATTACAAGCATTATTTATGTAGAGAAATAAATCACCATACACAATTCAGCATAGTGCAAATGGTATAGGAACAAATAGTTATATATCAATATAATACAAATGTAACACACAAAAGTATAACACATAAGATAGTATGCTTCCATTAATTTCAGCATAGAAGTAATTATAACAGGTACAAATGAATGTGTTTATTGAACACAGTAACCCACCCTGCATGATACACATTTGGAATTGAGGCCACACCAATTTTGAAAATGTGATCATGAAGGAACGAGGTCATTTAATTTCATTTGTGACATGTTCATGTCTAAGTCCCTTACAAATTATTACTCTCAACACAAACACAACAAAGTGATCCATGAGAAGGCAAAACTCGCATTTAGTCGAACCAGAACCAAAACCAAAACCAAAACCTCCAAGCATATCCCCAAGGACCATTTCTATTCTACGACTACCTCCAACTCAAGTAAAACACAAAAAGTGTCGAGACAAGCATATTTAGCACATTAGAGATATGGTAACATTTAAAACCCAACAGATATGGCAAGAACTCGGAACTATTAAGATGAAAGCATAAGAACAGGCAAGTGTATGCAAAGGGAGAATAGTACCCACAATAATCGAATGAACTCCTGTCTATACCTCAGATTCGCAAAAACACAACTATTAGTCCGGGGAAAAGAAACAACTCGTTTTGTTTTGACAAAAAGACATGTTTCTCATTCTGAAGATTGCAATGGATGTGTGCCGTAACAGTGCAAAATTTTTAGTTAAGGGTTGAGTATGATGTTTTCTTACGATTTTATTGACCAGGTCATATAAGTTTCATATATGCTCAGCACGACAAAAGGTGAACATGCCGCAGTATGTGATTAGTTCCTGCATATGAAATAGAAGCAAATGGCACGATCAATTTGTGTTGCCGGAAAATGAGGAAGAAAAAAAAAAAAAACATGTTTAGATTTTTCGTACTTACAGCACTGTCAATTTCTACTGAAACATTCGAGAAAAAGCCTTTTTCTCCTGCTCACGCCTATCAGCAACCTGTTGACAAATTCAACACTAATTGAAGAAACTAAACATACCCAGACAAGCAGTCCACTGCTTATGCAAATCTGCAAAGTTCATTACCTTCTTCATTGCAGTAGAGAGCTCTTTCTTTATACCACCTATAAACAAGGAGATTTTGATTTCTTAAAATACAAAATTAACCATGTTTTAGGTTACAACTTCTTCACAAATGGATTACGGAAAGAATGCAACATTTGATGTGAAATCCTTACCATCGTGAGGCTCCAATTCTAATGCTTTTTTAAAGCTTTGAACAGCTGCATCTACATTGTTGAGTGCCATGTGCACCTGAAAGAAAGCAGACAGAAAACTAAAAATTACTCAAATTTCTACTTTCAAATTCGTACGTACATCTTGTAGCTAAAAACCTAAATAGTGACACAGATAAGACTGAACGGAATAAATTTTTAGCAAATCTAAATTTGGATTATGTTCTGTGGCAAGGACTATTAAGTAGATAAGTCTAAAGAAAAATGCAAGAGATGCAGGAAACAACTGTCAATTTTTCATGTTAAAGCACACAAATTAAAATCAGCATTTGATATGATTTAAATTAAGGTAATTACCCACCTGGCCTTGTCGGTAGAATGCTTTTGCATTATCTTCTCCATCTCGGATTGCAAAGTCTGCATCCAGCAACGCTGCTTTGTGGTTTCCTAACTTCAACTTACACATCTGAAGAAAGGAAGAAAAGATAATTTTGCAATGTCACGGTAAATACACAGAAGTCCAAAACCATGGATGCACATATCTTTACAAGTGTATATTATTATTTTGTGGGAAAGACAGGTCACTTCTATTTCAATTAACTCAAAAGACTTCATTTGATTATAAGAGACATAGTAACTTACAGAACTATTTGTAAAGATTTGAGACTTCATTTTTCTCAGAGTTTCACTCTGTGCTGCAAAGGCATAAAAGTATGATTGCATCAGCAGATCAATATAGACTTCATGAGCATATCATTATTAAACATTGGTAAATAGCATAATCCCATGGGTGTGTGCTACACCTAGATCAATGTCTTTCATCTCCCAACATAAATCAAGGTACTTCAGGGCTTTTCGGTACTTCCTGATAGCCATCTTATAATTGTTCTTCTGTGTCATGCAAAAAGGTCAAATGCACATCAGCAAATTGAATATATATACCTAGATATATATATAATAAAAAGATGCTCAATATAAAATCAGAATACTTCAGAAGTCATACTAATATCTGTTTAAAAATTAAAAGCAGGAAATATGACAATCCAGTGTAGTATAACTATACCTTGTACCAATCATTTCCAAGGGCTTTGATAGAGTTTATGGCATTAATCATCCACGGCACATCAGTTGGTTTAGAATCAAGTTCCATTGGCCAGTCAGGGTACAAATCACCATCCATAAAGAAGTTAATTGTCCCATCATCTGCTCCCTCAGGAATTTCACCACAGTCAACAACAACAATGTCAGCAACAGGACTGTTGTCATCTTTTCTCTCAGCATACTCAATGGCACGAATCACACCCAATCCTTTGGCCACTTTACCAAAGACAACATGCTTTCCATCCAGGTGAGTAGCTTGCGTTGTAGTAATGAGAAACTGAGACCCATTGGTGTTTGGACCATTGTTGGCCATTGACAAAATCCCTTTCCTTGAATGCTTCAACTCAAAATTTTCATCTTCAAATACCTCTCCATATATGGACTCTCCTCCACCTCCCCCACCTCCAGAAGATATATCACCCCCCCGCACCATAAGACCTTTGACAACACTATTAAATTTTGAACCCTGTAATGAAAATTAAACCTCAACCAATAAGAATGAAGCAACAATCTACTAATCTTGCTTCACAAGCTATGGAAGCTGTATGGATTATAAGACACATTCAACACATAAACAAATTTAATAATCATATTGTTCAATAGTTCGACAAACCTTCTTACTCCAAGCAACAGAAAAAAGAAACACAAAAAAATCTGAAAATTACGATAAAACACACAACATAGAACCAGACAAGTTGAGTTTACCAACAAATATCATATTCACGTCAGAATAAAAAATTAAAACAAATGATAACCTTTGAATCTTCTTTTTTTTTCTTGGACGTCTATAACATAATCATACCATCACAAGTATTTTTTAGAATCATCAAATGGAGTGCTGCAAATTCTAAATAATTGAAATGGAAATCATGCAGCAAGAAACTTCAACATACAAACCACATTTTTAACAACTCATTCCATTAGATAAAATAACCAAAAGGATAACTCCGTATCCGTACAATAAGCACACAACGGCAATTTGCAAGGTGATTCAACAGTTCCAACTGTTCATCCACGATAAGGAATCGATTCTCAAATAATCTAGTCTAAATCAACAGTTAACAACAAGAACATTCAAAGCAAAACAGAGATTAAAACCTCACGCTCCACGCATACAACAAAACACATCGCTGTAAGCAACCACAAAACAAAATGCATTTCACAAAAAGCGCAGAAGTCAGTCTCATGTGTGTAAAACAACCTTATAATGCAGACGAACGCCAGTGGAAGGGCTAATGCCCTTCTCTCCAGTGCAGAGAGCTCGAAAATTCTCGGCGGTTTTAGGCACCACACTTTTGAACAACTCAATCACAATTCTCCCCTCCATTTCTCCCCCAATACTAATATCCAAATAACACCTCGGATTCGCCATCGTCTCCCAACAGAATCAACCAAATCCAAAGCACTCCTCCACCGCACCCAAAACCAATAAAAAATAAAAAAAATAGTAAAACTCAGGCCACAGAACCGCCGCGGAACCTACACGACGAACGCCGACAACCGTCTGACTAACAACAAAAACCACCGACTGAAGAAACAAACGAAGGGTTTAGAAACAGAAATGGGTAAATGGAGAGGCGTGGGAGAAGACGAAACTTATGCATGCTATATTTGTGCCAAAGAAAAAAGGTACAATCAGTAACAGCTGTCAGTACAAGCAAATTTCCGGAGCCGAAGGGTCGCTGTGTGTACGGCGTGGTCCTTTTCTTGGGAGCTCCGAGGAGTCCCAACGCCAAATGGACCCCACGGGCCATCGTAGATACAATCAGGAGCTGGGATCCCGGGAGCTGCCAAGAATCACCCGCCCTTCGCTGTGTCACGTGCACTGCACCTGCAGCTTTAAAACACCATTACTTCTGACTTAGCCTTTGCAGATTAAAGCAAAGATAGATTTACAGAGTCTCTAGCATCATTGTGTACAAAGACAACACAAGATTCTTACCAATCCCATGAATCATAAAAACTTGTATAATTTCGTGATACAAACATGGTCTTATTCAATCGACATTTCAAGCATTCATTCGTGCAATCATAAAAACTTAAATAATTTCACTGATTGCTTCCTAATTCACAGCCCTACAACTTCTCCTGATCTGTCCCTCTTGTCCAGTGATGACGCCGATCTTGCTCATCTTCACCATCGATGCCGCGAAGTCCTTCAGGAAGAGGGGAAGGGATTTGCTGTAGTTCAAAACGCAAGCAGCAGTCGTGTTGTCGGTCATCAGCACTTGGTCGGACTGTAGAACCCCGGAGTTGTTGACGAGCATCTTGAAATAGCTGTTGTCGAACTTTCTTACAGTGGCCACGTCCAGGGGAGCTAGGTTGGTGTCTGAGTTGTCTTGGTTTGGACAGATGCCGCGCAGACTGTCTAAAAGGGATGTTTCTAGCAATGGATCAGGATTGCCGGCCCCATCGAAGTTGAAAAGTCTCTGTTTGAATGTGAAACACTGAGCAAAGCCGATTGTGTGACCACCTGCATGCAACAAAACTCACCAGGTCTCAAAAACAAGAATGCTTATTTTAAAAACCCCACTGTCTAAGGTGTTTAAGTTCTTCAAATAAGTTTTTTGACGAGGAATCGACCGTATCAAAATTCAGAGGAATTTGTCTTGAGGATCACCTCTTTACTTTCATCAAAATTTCTAATGTATGGTTATTCTAATTCGAACTTAGAAGATTCTATCTTCAGGTTCAAGAAATCAATTTCAAATATATTACAGTTTCCCGGAGAACAATTGGCAGCAGCGAACTTCAACTAAAACCATGGAGAATATAGGAAATTATACAAGGATGAAGCAATTGATTTCATACCAGACAGAATTACGACATCTTTCAAATTGAGGCCCTTGGCGACAAACTTTGAAGTGATATTTTCCAAGGGTTCAAAGGGCGATGGGAGGTCTGTGTTGGCAGCAGTCTCATTTGCAGTTAGGCCATCTCGACGGCCCAAGGGGACAGGCCAAAAAGGCCCTCCGCTCTAATGATATAAGAGGGAGGGAATATCAGTAACATCAAATAAGCATAGTCAAGTGGAAATTAATAAATAAATGACTTCAAATAATCGGTAGGTATGTTTACCAGAAAGACAGCATCCCGGGTGGCAAGTGTTAATATATCAGTACAAGAAACAGTGGATGGGCAAGCTTTCTCAACATCTGCTTTTATTTGGTCAATAACTTCAAATCCACGGACAGAATTCCGATTGGGGAGTGCATTCTTCTCTCCCCTTAAGTTGCTGGTATCATCCAGTAAAATGGATCCTTCACAACCCTACACTCCACAAACATGAAACAAAATGCAATGAGATAATATTGCAGGCTCGTTTAGTTACAAATTCAAGAGCCAAATTGATACGAGGATAATGAAATACTGCATGGCAGATTAGTAAAAGAAATACTGCATGGGAGATTAGTGAGCTAATGTAGTTACAAGAACAAAGCAGTCATGGAAGTGCAAGCGCAAAAGAGAAGCAGCAATCCTTGTTTCATTTGCTATGGCAGACCAGACTCCATTTCTGATAATCCTTGTCAAGTTGGGACAAGTATTATCATAGAATTTATAATCAAGTTGGCCATTCCCAAACGTGAACATAAACATGAGGCAAAGAGAAGAAATAATTGAAAATGCATAAGCATTTTGAGCCATTTTCTCAGAGGTAATTGGACAAGTAAAATTTCCTATAATGATAGGGCTCACATGTAGCAGTGGCCGCAATTTATAGGAGAATGCACCCATAAGTTCACCGTTGTAGCTGGCCCACAACTTGAGTACATTCAGCTTGTAATAAGTGAGAGTCAACCAGGATAAACTTACTCAAGCTTGATGTCAAGAAGAGATTCGAGGTTCTAACTTAAAACCAATTAGTATTAAGTGGAGTAATCCTTCACTTTTGTAAGGTAAGGGAGCCCCAACACTAATTCCACCATGGAATACTCAACACTCCCCGCCAACATCAATTCTAATGTAGGATACTCAACACTCCCCGTTCGAGATGATATCATCTCGAAAATCCTAACCAAAATCAATACCCAATACGGACATCAGGACTCTGGTACCATTATAGATGATATTAAATGACCGTCTAAACTTTTAAATAAAACAGTCATTTAACATCATCTAATACTTGAGAATCTAAATTTTTATATTCAAAAGCCCACAAGTCCTATTGCTTTTAACTTTTAGTAATCTTATATAAATAATAATAGGTTAAAGAAACTATATATAAATTTTCATGATAGCATGTCAATTTATGATAAATAAATTAATCCTCATCACATATACAATATTTCAAGTTTTGTCCATATATCTAGGGTTTAGATTATAAAGTTTTGGGGAAATTTTACAAAGTCATATAAGACGTCCTTTCAGCCGAGTTAAGCAAATGTCCATAAAATTTTAGCGAGCAAAAGAATCCATCCAGCTCCACCTCATAAACTAGGAGAATTCTCAAGTTAACACTTTTGTTTGTGGGTTTCAGACCCAAATTTTACTATTAACTAATCCCCACAACCCCCCCCCCCCTCCCCCCCCAAAAAAAAAATATATATATATATCAAATCAAATGTCTATTTTCCATTTTTTATATTACATTAAAACTCAATTTTATATATTCAAAATATCACATAAACACCTATTTATATGACATCAAAATGGACATTTTATATTCAAGCAAGTCAAATCAATATAATAAACACTAATTCATCCACTGTGAATCAATTATAAGGTAATGATGGTGGTATCTTAACAGGAATCAAACAAGTTCTCCACCCAAATTCCAAATCTACATCAATACTTTAGGTCTTACTCATCCTTTTATTATCCATGTTTTGCATCTGAGCCATGGATACAGACTTAGAGAGGAAGGCGAAAATGTCATTGATACCATTCAGACTCGAGCATGAAGGATTGTGATATCGTCGATAAACAACTTTATAAAATCATAACTAAGATCATTGTTGTAGCATATTCTGCACTCTCCAACTAATTTCTAAGCCATCAATCTTCCCACTTGCATCAAAGTCCGTTGTGCATGCATTGAAGGAACTATGGGAAATAGGAGCACGTTGTGATACTGTTAATAAACAACTTCATAAAATCACAACCAAGATTGTTGTTTTGGCAAATTTGCACTCTCCAAATACTTTCTAAGCCACTAATCTTCCCACTATAGTCATGGGTGCCAGAATTAAACAAATTATCGCAAACATGGGGCCCTCCATTCCATGCTCGTCTGATGAAGTGGGTAGTTAATAATATAACTAATGATGCCCACTGAATTGACAAAAACTATGCCACTCCATTTTACAACCTACATACTTCTATTGCTTTCAAGAAAACAATCAAACTTCTGCACTTTATAATACAATAGCCTGCCCCGCCTCATTCACAGCGTTTATTTCTTGCTAGCATTGCAAAATCTTCCAGGGTCATATAGTGAAACAGGATTGCTCTGTATGAAGAAATTCTTACTGCTAAAGTATGAAATATGGATAAGTTAATAGATGTAAGCTATCCTATCATCCTAAAAGGCACAATCCAAAAAATACATATTAAACCACAAAACATTACATTGTCAAACAAAATCCACTCAATACTTAAACAAACTCAAGAAATATATTATTTATACCACATTTTTAGAAATTAATCAGTTATCAGTCTAATTTATAGCCGACAGCACACTACCATTGGGTGTAGCCTGCTTACCTTTCTCTAAACGCAAGTGACCTTAAGTAAATCAAACACTAATCGGATTTCCACTCAAGTAAGTGCTGATTATAGTGACGCAACCTATGCCAAACATGCCCAAAAGCTGCCTCCATATAAGTAATTTAACACAGTGCACAGTGATGTCATCCATTGGCAGACACAAATTCATACTGGACAATGTTTGGGGACGCTGGATCTGGCCAAATATCTCAAACTACCAACAAATGAGTGGAGCGCAACTCTATGCAAACAAGACAAATTTGAACAATCCCAAAGAAAGTGGAAACGTACCCAAAAGTCCAGCCGCCATGAAGCGCACTCATTGCCGATGGCTACGATCTTTAATTTCTGTGCACGCTCGATCAAAGAACTAGGGTTCCGATCGGATATCGGAGCCGACGGAGCGACAGTTCCCGGAATTTCGGTACTAATTTGAGTGAAAATGCGTTTTGTTCACTCATGATACCAAAGACCTCAACGATTTTCATAAAATCGCATTTACCCCCACGCATCCATCAAACCCGGACCTTGCAAGCGAAATTTTGTCTTTCGTTTTACTATTACAAACCCTTGTTTTTTTTAAAAAAAGAATAATATATCAAATTAAAAATTTATTTTATATTTATTATATTATATTAAAAAATAATTTTATATTTAAATATGATATCAATATATATTTATATCATATTAAATAACTATTTTAATTTAAAATTTTAATATTTAAAATAAAATTTAAAATCAAAATCTTATACTCCCTCCGTCCCATTAGAAGGGTGGCGTTTGCTTTTTGCACGTAGATTTTTTAATATTAGTATTATATTGGATTATAGTAAAAAAATAAAAATACCCTTAGTATGGTGTGATATAAAAGTAATGGCATTTGCTTAAGTTGAAAGAGTATTTATTATGTCATACATAGTATAATTACTAAAATAATAACCTTGGACGACGAAAATAAAAAATGGTAACCTTTCACTTGGATGGATGGAATAAAATAATATTTAAAAAAAAATCTTGCGAGGAAGGTTATAAAGAGTTTTGCTTAATATCGCCCTAATAAGTTCATCCTTATTATTTTTCTACTCCTTCTAGTTTATTGTTTAAATTTATAATAATAGTTTAAATTATAAATATATTATTTAACATAATACAAAATTTTACACTAAATATTATTCTATTATTTATTTTGAATTATTATATAATAATATACTTTAAATTAAATTTATTTATATATATATATAAAATAATTGTGAGTGTAAATTTTAAATTAAAATAATTATTTGTAATATAGATTATGTATTAATACAATATTATGAATATAAAATTAAATTTTAGTATGATATAATAAATAAAATAAATATTTTATTTTTATATTTTTGAATTTTTTTTTAATAATAAAAATAGTTATATCAAAACTAAGTATTTTAAAATACTTCTCTATCAAGAAAAAATAATTTATTTGGGTCCGACTATAACAGTAAAAATTAGTATTATTTTATTAAAAAAAGTAATAAGAATAAAAAAATTACTAAAGGTAGTTTTGAAAATCTATTTAATAATTAATAATGTTGAAAAATATAATAAAGTGAATAGCAATTATAGTAAATAAATATTAAATAAATAATAATAATTAAATATTAAAATTTTATTAAAACTAATAATAAATTAAATTTATTGGTAAGAGAAATATATTTGAGGACGAAGAAAATAAATTCTTATTTTTTTTACTTTTTCTTCTCCGTTTTTCTTTTTCTAATTTGGGTTCGGGGCAATGATATGTTTCTTTTGATAAGTTTGGTAAAATTTTGGTTTGAGTTTGATATTAAAATAATGTTTAATGGGATATTTGTAGGAAAAAAAAATGTATTTTTTTCGAAAAACGCAGAGTCCAAAATAGTAAAATTTAAAAACTTTTTAAATCTATTTTTCACTTTTTGAATTACATGAAAACTGATAAAGTACAGTAAAATATCGAACCTTTAAACGTTTGAAAACTAGTTCTGCTAAATAGTGTAAATGTATCGTACACACGGTGCAAGCAACGAGATAAAAATACAACCAAAAAATCTGGTATTGCATCATCAAACCAAGCTGCAAGAAGATTAGAAGACATTGATTCATATCCCGCAAAGAATGGCTTGGTGCGGGAGTGAATTCGGCTTTGCCAAACTTAATTTTTAGATTATTAGACTTCGAATGTATGGATTTTCCACGAAAAAAAAAAAAAAAAATAATAATAATAATAATAATAATAATAAAAAATTGATTCATAAATAATCAAGTGAATTGTTTATATACATTTGATTAAAAATACAAATCGAATAACTGATCCATCGATCAATTTTCAGCTCCTATGAAACACACACTCATAATTACAACACTTGGTGGTCTGCATTGAAATGTCCTGTGACAATGCTAAATTGAATGCTTCGAGACGTACTTCTTGCCTATCCTCGCTGAGGAGAAACAATCGAGCGCAAAGCTGTAATCACGAAAAATAATAAAACTGAATTTAAATATATTATGAGAAAAATAAATATTTAAATATATTCTTTTCTTTCGGTCAGACAAATGTAACCCAATCATTTGGGATAGATTTGAAATTTGTCTATGAAGTGTAATATTTTGTATGCATAATTATATATTTTATATAATATATTAGCTTCTTTTTTTAAAAAAAAAAAAATAACGTTAATAAATTGTACCAAAACTAATGTGAAAACACGCTGTAAAATATAATATACGATTTAATGCAATATAAATAGATATTGGCTTTTGATATTTTAAAATAAAATATATTTTGATATAATATATCGAACTGATCAATTTTAAAAACACAAGTAAACAGAGCTTAAGTCGCAGAGACTATGGCAAGAGGAAACTTACTTATAGCCTAGCTTCTCTTGCCTCATCTGCGAGTCGAGAGCCGTCTCCTCGGGAGATCGGTTCGATCTACGTCTCCATAGATCCTTTCGCAGCCATACATTGTCCTGTTGTATATTGATCGTCAAAATAAGGAGAGAATAGCTGCAAGATGAATAAAAAGAAAAATGAAAGATCACCATTGATATTGTGTACTTAAGTGGCTGTGCGCCGCCGTAGTCGGGCTGGTGCGATTGGCTTACGAATGGATGGTCGAGTAATTTACTCGCGGACGGCCTCTCGGCCGGCATTGCAAGAAATCCTTGCCATCTTCTGATAGTTCTTGAGGTATTTTTGGAGTCTCTTTTAAGGCTTTGAACAATGCTGCAGGCTGAAGAAGATCATTGTAAGAATCTACTTCACCATACTACATTTGAATATTGGAAAAATATTTCGATAATTAGAGTTGTAATATAAACAAACAATTTGCAACTGAGGCTTATTTGAACTCGTTAGGAGCTTGTTCGTGAAGCTAACTGAGTTCAACATAAATACAAATTTTTATTTTCAAATTTCAAATTTTATTTCAAAAATTAATAAAAATTTTGGTAGATAGAATTAAAAAGAATGTCTTAACATGTGCAGACAAATCGAATTGAACTTAAATGAAAAGATTTGCTTAGTGAGTTAAACTCAAATAAAAATTTCAGCTCGTTTATTTTGATGAATAAATTCGAGCTAAGCTCAAGATCCTTACAAGTTGAGTTCAAATATGAAAAAGTTTCGATTAGACTCGTTAGCAGCTCCGTAAACGACATTTTCTTAGAATGAAAAGTACGAGAAAAATGAGCATACCCCTTCATACTCACTCCATGGAGGCTTTCCGCGAAGCATTTCGATTATCGTACAGCCCAAACTCCAAATATCAATGGCTAATGCAGCGTCAGAGTTCGGATCGAGCTTCTTCGAAGACTGCAGGAGCTGTAAGGAGTGAACAAAAATGTTTCATATGAGCTGCAATGGCTAGGACAGCAGTTTGTTTAAGATTGCAACATCCTCTTACCTCCGGAGCCATCCAATATGGACTCCCCTTTAACGACAGATTCCCCGTTTGCGCTGTCAGCTGCGACATAAAATTCAATTATTTCGAATGTGTAAGAATCTGAAGTAAACATAGGACAAAGCACATCTGCTCTTACATGTTTCGCCATCCCGAAATCAGCGAGTTTGACGACTCCATTCGCGTCGACAAGTAAATTCGCGCCTTTTATGTCCCTAGTTAGGACGAAAACTTCGTGTCCTAATGTAACTAAACTTTGAAAGAAATAAATTTCGTATTTTTTTGTCGAAAGAAATAAATTTCACCTGTGAATGGTTTTTTTGCTATGTAAGTAAGCCAATCCGCAGAGAATATGGCGAGTAAAGCTTCGAACAACGGATTCTGTCATGGCGCCGCGGTGATCGCGAATGAATTTATTGATCAAGCCGGGATGGACGTATTCCAAGTATATGTAGAACTTGTTGCCAATCTGCGACATCTTTTGAGCTTCGATGATTCTTGCAAGAACGTGAAAAAAATGTGAATGTTGTTAGAGTTTTGTGAATTACGCACAATTTCGCTACCGTAGTATTCTACGATGTTCGGATGTTTAAGCTGCCTTAGAACCTTAATTTCCTGAAAAGAGTGTGCAAGAACATGGTAAGAATTTGATCGACAAGGAAGTCGAATGTATTTTCGTAAAGGATCGAATTCTCGGATAGTGTTGAATCGCGACCTGCTCCAACTGTCTTAAGCACTCGGCAGATTTCGAATCATCCGGTGAAATTTCGACTACTTTCATTGCACACAAGGCTCCCGTTAAATGCAAGGAGGCATTTGATGTAATATTTTGTGAGATAGAAAAAAATATTATCGATGAATAATGTCAAAAGTTCTAAAAGTGTCTGTACGTGTTGGTAGCAACATAGACATTTCCAAATGTTCCCCTTCCTATAAGCTTTCCTTTCCGCCATTGCAATCTGATCGGCGCAGCGTCGACTTCGCTCCGCGCCGGAGAAATTGGAGCCGGTGGGTCGGGATTAGTGAAATTGGCCCCCGGGGGGCGAGGGAGGGGGTGCACGGCGGCCGGAAAGTTAGTCTCCCACGGCGGCAATGGGGAATCGGACAATGTTTTGGGAAGCAACGGCAATGGCGTCAGGCCTGGATTTGTATCTGCATTAGGTATCTCTGGTGCAGACATGGTTTTGAGAAGTGGTGGATGATTTTTGTAGTGATTCCGACAGAATTCGGGGCTCGAGCTTGTAAGAGTAATGGTGAAGTTGAAGCTCTCTGAGGATTTCGATTTTGGCTTTAATGTCTGAGCTTTGGAATGCTCTGCATTTCTGTGTGGATCATAACCTGTCAATTTTCTGGTGAATTGAAGAGCAAATCGATTCGATTGCGGATTTTTGTGTAATTTGGGGGAAATTGGGGCAAGAAATTTGGTAACGTTCGGACAGCGTTTGAGTTTTTTTACCTCTTAAATAGGTTGCCGCCATGAATGGCTTCTGTGTAGAGTCTGTCTCCGTCGTCGGAAGACAGTTCGGCGGCGGGAGGGGGACGGCGGCGGACGGCGTTAGCGCGCGCAATTCCGGCAGCGGCAGCGGCTGAGGCGGCGGCGGAGTGGATTTGGAATAATTGGAATGCGCGGCGGAGAGCCGCACGTGATCGGCGTTCCTGGACACGTGCCGGAGTTGCCTCGGGGGATTCCGCTGCGACGAAAACGAGGTGGATCTCGACGACCGGCGGTCGCCGGCGGCGGTTTCGTCGTGCGACGGTGACTTGGAGGAAAACGCAGTGTACAACCAATTCATATAATTGAACGACGCCGCAATCTCCGATAAGTAAATCTCTCTTTCTCGATCAGCCGCCGTGCCGGAGAAATGCGCCGGCGGAATGCCGGCTGCCGGAGAAAATGCAGGACGGAGGGGTAATGTGGGATAGGATCCTTTGAATTTGTTTTTTCCCTCCAAAAAAGACGGAACGTTGAGGTCCAACAAAAATCGGCGACGAATATATTCAGAACCACCGTATGTATATTTCTATATATGTGGATGTGGTACGTATTGGGATAGTTTGGCCACTACCCTAATTTGCTTTTTTTTTTCTTCTATAATTTATTTTTGTGGATAAATTTTTAAATATTAATTTATTGTATAAAAGAAATTATATATCATTTATTGTATAATATAAAAGTAATGATATTTATATGATATATTATAAATTGTAAAAATATTTTATGTTAGATATGTAGTATAATTATAATTACTAAATTAAGAAAAAAAACTTTTGTTTAGAAATGAATAAAATGAAAAATGATATACTTATTATTATGAAATAGAAAAAGTATATTACTTATAAATATATTGTTTATTAGTATCAATATATTTTATGTATAATATATATATATATATATATTTGTACTAAAATAACATATGTTGTTTTGATTATTTCTTGTTTTATATTTATTTAAGTATGTATTACTCTTTTCAGTCATAAAAAAATATATGCGACAAAAATGGGTTTAGGGTTTGTTTGTCTAATTTTTTTATTTGAAGAATTGTTTTTAGGATGTGTTTGTTTGGAGGATTGGATTTTAAATATACTATTTATTTTATTTTTTTTTTCAAAAATATTAAATCAAACACTTAATTATATCACATTATACAACTATTCAAATTCAAAATTTTTATTATTCAAATTCCAAACAAACACACCCTAATATAAAATATAAAAAACGTATTAATAATATTTTATTTGTCCCATAACAAAATATTTATTTTTCCATTTTAGTTCGTCCCATAACAAAGTATCAATTTCCTTTTTTAGTAACTGTACTATCTACCTAACATTACAAATACCCTTGCAACTTACAATATATTACACAAATGTCATTACTTTATATCACACATACTAATAAGTTTATTTTAGTCATTTTTACTTTATTCATACTATATCCCAATATAATACTAATATTTTTAAAACTACTTGCAAAAAACAAATAAATATTTAGTTACAAAACGCATTTAGTTACGAAACGAAGGGAGTATAAAAAATAAAATTTTATTTTAATATTATTTTCTGTGAAATAAAAATGTATAATAAATCATTTAAAAAAAACTATTAAGCAAACAAATTTTTACCTTTCTTAGTAAAACATTATACTACTATTTTTATCTTTCTTATTACTATAAAAGATAAAAAAATAAAAAATATAAGCTTTATTAAAACTCGTATTAAAAAATATAAACATATTTTTACACACTACATTAAAATCATAGTGGGTGTGTTTAAATGTAACATTATATTTTCGTGTAATAAAATAAATAAAAAATAATGTTTGATTTGATTTTTTTTTTTAAAAAAAAAAACTAAAATAGTAAAATCATGATAAAATTCACGAATAAACAAACCCACTATTATTTGGGTTCATTATAATTTTTTTAAATAGAATTTACTAGAGTTTTGTAATATTTTTTAGAAAATTAAATTAAACAAAAACAAGCATTTTTATATATTAGTTGATAATATTGAAGTAAAAGAGGTAGCATTTATTTATTTTGATATGTACTCCTTCATTCCATTTTAATTGAATTGTTTTTCTTTGTTTCACTTATACTTAAATTGATATGTTTTTATTTGTGTTAAAATTTATTAAATCAAAACGTCATATTTAACATATACATCCTCCGTCCAAAGTTACAAATAAATGTTTATCTTTTGCGCAGAGCTTACAAAATAATAATATTTTTATCATAGTTAGTTAAAAAAAAAATGCAAGAACATTGTTACTCTTGTCTTATAGTGGTATTTATGAAAAAAAAAATTGGATAAGTTTGAAATTGTTACTTTATAATCATAATTGAACAATTCAAAATAAAGAAATATTTATACTTTGTGAGTATACTGATGGAATATAAAATAATTAATTAATTTCATAACATATAATATCATACATATATTCAAAATTATTTTATTTCTATCCCTCTTTCATAAATAAATATATTTATATACATTAAAACTCTTTATTTTTTATAAAATTATTTTATCTTAACTATAAATAAATAATAAAATTTTATCATCTACAAAATAATATCTATATTCATATATTTTATTAAAATATACTTGATATTTAAATATATATTTTAAATGTATTTTAATCGTATATATTAATTATTATTTTAAAATTACCATAATATCGTTCATATAAAAAAATTTAATATCTTAATTAAATATTATTAACTAATTAAATTTTATTATCTTAAATATTATGTAATGATCATTATATCTCAATAAAACATATATAATATGATATCATTTTTCATAAATAAAATAATATATAATTTTCGCTCGGGAATATTGCATTTCCACGAGCGTGATTTATTTATAATTAATATAAATTATTTTTATAGTAAAATAAAGAGTTGTAAATATAATTAAAAATATTTATTTATTAAGAAAATATAGAAATAATTTTTTTTTTAACAAAATTAATGAATTGTTCTGAGAATAAAAAATATCATTTATTAGTTTTATAATTTTTTATCTAAAAAATACTAGTAATATATTGTACATTATTTTATTTAGATATAATTTTGAAAATATCTAAAAAATATTTTTAATTATATAAATATTATTCCCTGTCTTTTTTCTTTTTTTTTTTTAAAAATCATAGTTAAAAATTTTAAGAGTGATATAATTAATAAATAATTAAATACAATATAAATAACTATAAATTCATATTTAGATAATTAATCAATCTAATTGAAACTTAAAAATTATAGATTGAAAATACGCCTTTGCTTTGTGTAAATATATATATATATATATATATGTGAGTGTGCATCTATCTATATACGTTGAAGTATGGGGGAATGTAGAAGTAAGAAGAAATTATATGGAGTGTGTTTCATTGAGTTTGGATTAAACAGATTTAATTTAATATTTATATTGAAATTTTATAAATTCTTTTTAATATAGAGTTCACATGTTAAAATTTTAAAATTAAACCCAAGAAATATGTATTGCTCTTCGTTAACAATGTACTTAAGAAAACTGTCCCTTTCAATTTTCAAAGTTTCATTAAAAAATAAAAAATGATAAATTACGTACACGTGGCGTTTCCCAATATTTTTCCTTCCTCTCTCTCCTTTGTATGCTAATCTCCGGCCTAAAATTTGCTGCACCAAATATTAATTATTGATGTTAGTAACTTAAAAAACCGAAAAACAAAAAAATAAAAATGTGTTAGAAAATGAATAAAATATTTTTCCTACCAAGAAAGTGGTAATTAATTAAACAAAATTTTTGACCGAAACGAGAACACTAAATTATCTATAATGAAGATGTGATCCAGATCTAGTTTGAAATACCCATTCAAAAAATAATAATAATAAAATTATATCACAATTTTTTAAACCTAAAACATATCAAAACACGTAATCGTAATACGACGGGGATCTATAAAAGTCAATTTATTGGCACACTTCCTAAGGAATGTAGCTATAAATTTGCTATTTACACGCTATTACCAAACATTTTAAAATCACATCACATTATATGTGTACATTCGTTTCTATTAAAATCATTCCATCAAATAATTACTCTTTTTTTAAATAGATATTACATCAGATATCCTAATTTCAAATATCCTCTACAGGCACATCTAAACGAAGCCAAAATATTTTCTTAGGTCTTCAACCTCACATAGAATAACTGTTCCAGAGAAGTCAAAAACATGGTGTTCATGCTTACGTGAAAAGTTGAAGCATGAACACGTCCGCGACACAATATAGGCAATGAATGGTACTGAAGACAATAAAAGAAAATCCTTTATAGCCCATAGACGACCTGATCTTATTCACGTGCAGTCTTTTTCTTGTTCTAGGGTTCTTTGCTATAAACTGGTTTGATGCATTTACTCTTCACTGCTCAACAAAATGCCAAAAAAAAAACAAAGAGATATTCTCTTCTATTAATCAAAGATGTCCTAAATGAGACAAGACAAGACCCAATCTTGTTTCTTTCTGCAACCTAGAGCAGGAGGAATAATGGAATATATATGTATAGCCGGTTAAGCATTTTATGGTGTGAAGGGATCAATCGGGCATGAAATTAAATATGCGCAGGTAAGAAAAATAAAAGGTAGATAGGAATTGGTACCTGGATGAAGAAGTAGTTGAAATTAAGAATGAAAGCTCAGCGGGCAGGTGAAGATCTGAAGTAATTCCAATGAAGCGCTGGAGTTTGATTAGCAAGACGGATCAATGCTCCCGGCCCCTTCGCTCTTGGCTATCAATGGCTGCTGTTGTGATTCTGAGGCGTGTAATTGAGGCAATTGCTGCTGCTGCATCAAAAGCTCGTGTTGCTGAATCTGGAGCTGCTGAGACTGAGAATGAGAATGAGATTGGGAATGTGAATTCGAACTCTCCTGCACATTTGTAGGCTGCTGCTGGATTTGATGATAAGGTAGTGCTTCGAAAGATGAACCTAAGGCCAAAGAAGGTTGCATACCACCGCCTGGAATTTGATTGAATCCACCACTGTCATCTATTAATCCACTGTTGAATCTAACCAGATCATTCTGTTGCTGCTGCTGTTGTCCGTATGTTCTTAGCATTTCTTGCTCTCTGGCGGCAGCCACTGCCGCTAATTGTTGCGCCTCTAGATACTGCTGCTGCTGTGGATCTCGAATCATGAACTGGCCACCGTGTGGGACGCCTGTTGGCAGCCCGGCCATCGGCTGAGAGGTGTACGGTATTACCGGATAAGGTGATTGCCCGTAATTCTGATGCTGCTGGATGAAGCTGCTCGGATGGTTGAAGATTGGTAACATGGCGGAAGGTCCGATGTAGGTGGCTAATTCCTTCTTGGCGTTTTCGAGGGCGTGCTGGACTTGCTTTAGATCGTTCTGGAGGAGGGAGATGAGGCCGACGCAGCCGTAGACGGGGTCACGGAGACGGTACTCTGCTTCGTAGGCTAAGGAATTCACGGCGTCCTCGCGCTGGCTGGCGTTGAGTTCGTTGAGAAGCTTTGTCACGTTGCTGGCGCCGAACACTCTGTGTACGTTGGTGAATTTCTGAGGATTGTCCGGCGGGAAATATGGTGCAAAGACGCACTCCTGCGTGCACTTTCGACGGAGGCATTTGCACGCAGCACATGGAGAGTTTGACGACGACATTTTCCCCTCTTCTCCAACAATTGTTCAACTGCAGACATTGATCAATAATCACGCATCTTGTTAAATCTTAAATGATAGTAGCTTTAATTGCTAACTACAAGGTTTTAAATCTGAAGAATCACTCGATTCAATGGCTAAAATTTATTGACAGAAAGCAGCACATGCGCAGCGTATCAAAAAAATATCGGTTGCTTTGTAAATGTGTGCTCAAAGGATGTGTGATATTCAGCGAAACTTGTTCAAATTAAGAGGAGTGAACTGTGAAGCAATTAAAGACTGCGGATTTCGAAGTCGGCATTGAAAGTCAAATAACTCGATTAAAATAATGTCTGCTATTTTATACACGGAAAGTCAGAAGGTGAATGAGAAACCAAACAAGAACAGGAGCTCAACAAGAAAATTTGTAGATAATATGAAGGCAAACACAACGAACAGTTTTATGTCACGAGAGAGAATACGAAATGATAACTGCAAAGCTTCAAGAAGAGACGATTTTGAATAACTGAACTATCTAAAACTGCATCATCTTCGAAAGGAAGGCAAACTTTGGTGTGGAGGTGAAGATTTCCAGATTCGAAATAAGAAACTAAACACTAAACATTAAACAATACACTCATCTCTTTACTTTACGTTCAATCCACACGTCGAGATCTTTCCTTGTCCCCAACCAAACCTCATCTCACATTCAAAAACACGAAATATATATATATATATATGTATGTACATAAATGAATAAATAAATAAATCCAAATTCCTGACCTTTTGCTACAAAACAAAGCCTACTCGAAACCGCTCTCTCCGGAACATTATCAAATCTGAAACAAAAACACAAACGCGCACGCGCACAGAAAAATCGATCAACCGCAACCAAAAAAAAGGAAAAAAAAACGAATGAAAACTACCTTCAATAATAGACAAACCTAGTGGAAACAGGAAGAGAATCGTACCTTCGATGATTTATCGGAGAGAGAGTCTGCCTAGGGTTGGAGGTCGCGAAACTGTCGATCCGATCTTCAATTTCGGCGATCCCGAAGAAATGAAGACAAAATGGAAATCGGATAAAAATATAAATATTTTTTCGATCGAGCAAAACTTGGATGGATTCTGGTTGAAAGCAATGGCGACGAAAAAAAAATAATAATCCGAAAAAAAATAAAATTCAGGAAAGAGATCGAGACACAAGGGGAGATGAAAATGGCTGCGTCTGCGTCGTATTTATATGTGCCTTCGCCTGCGCTGTGTATGTAATGCTTAGGCGTGTGGCTGTATCTATAGTGTGTGTATATATGGAAGTTTCCTGGCGAGTCGTGTCCCTCCACGTGTCGGAGATGGATGAATCTGATCCGTCCGATTATGAATTGGTTGTATATATCTTACACGTAGCATGTTGAATGCACGGTCTTAATTGATTAAATTAATTCATTCTTACCCGTATTGAGTTATTTTTGTGACTGTATTTATTAATTTTAAAATTGGCATATTTAATAATTTTTATAAAATACTATCTTTCATACAGAATACTATTTTTTTATTTTTTCTTTTTATGTAAATGTGGGTTTTATAATATTTATAAAAAAAACCTAATATATATTAGTTATTAAAAGAAATTTAATATATATTTAATTATTTTAAAAATTATTATCTTAATAAAATATATCATATAAATATAATTTTGTAAAAAATAATATTTTATATAATATAATTAAATAAAAAAATTATTTATTTATAATTATATAAATTAATTTTAAAAAATTTAAATATAGGTAAAATTATTTATTTATTTCAAAAATATATATAAATAAAAAAAATTTGGACTTTCTAGTGTCTGAATATTATCACCAATCGCAATATCATTATTATTAGATATATTAAATTTTAAATTAAATTTTATATTTTTATTTATTTATTTAATTTTAATTTTAAAACTAAACCCTAACAAATTTTTTTCTATTTCAATCTTCATTTTTTTTTCTCACTGGCACTTCTACCCATTAAAATTTAATTTATTTTTTTATTTTTTTGTCTTTACTTGTACAAAGATTTTGCAATGAAAAATATATTTGGAGATCAAAGTATTACTATTAGTGTTGTTATTGTTATTATTATTATACTATTGGTTTTATAATAATTATGATATTATTTATTTTTTTATTGATGATATACTTGGTGTTTAAATTTTTTTATTGGATATAGATTAAAATAATTTTTTATTATATTTATCATTAGTACTATTTTAAAAATAGATTTAATAGCATATTTATAGGCCTATAATTTATAATTTATTTTTTTTTGGCTCAGGGCCTAAAAAAATTGCGAGAGCCTATTCAAAACTCAATATCTTTAGATGATCGTATACACATACAAATAGCAAACAATTTATATTCAATACGTTTTGATAAAATAACTTCAAAATATTTAGACAATGAGGTTATGGTTCAAACACCGACGCTTTCAAGTCCACTTGCTATACATGATTCGTCTAGAGTGATTTGTCTTGTCAGTCCTAGTTTGTAGAGTATTAAATTCGGTCGAAAATTTATCCAATATGCATTTTCGGTAACGACTGCAGATTCCTACCATGTAAAAAAAAAAAAAAAAAAAAAAAAAGAAGACAATTCTATGTATATACAAATAGTACATAAATAAGTATATAATTAATATTTAATCATCAATATATTCATATAATAAACAAAAAGTACATAGTTCATATACATTCAAGTTTTGTTAAAATAACTCAAAATGTTTAAACAATACTACATACATAAATATAAATAACATATAATTCATATTCAATTAGCAATTTATGTAAACACAAATAGCACATTAAAAACACATCAAAGCAACCCTTTAAAACTTAAATATATGTAAAATTATTAAATTATCACTAATTATAAAATCTGGACCATTAATTTAATCCTATAATTCATATTAAACTGGTAAGATGCTGACAGTTCATACTGTCAAAACCCTAACTATAGTCTTTAATTTATTTTTTTATTCAAGTATAATATTAAAACTCAAATATTTCTATTTATACATATAATATAAATTCCAATCACAGGTAATCTACATACTAATCATTTACATTATAATTTTTGGAAAAGATTCATAATTAATAATAACAACACAACAACATATTTTTAGCCAAAAATAAAGATAAAAAAAGAAAAGAAGATGCAAATTAGATATAGATATGGACAATTTAGGAAAATAATTAAATAAATATGGTGTGTTTATTTTGTGATTTTTTTATTGTTTAAAATAGTGGATTAAATTTAATATATTATGAGAAAAAATGATAAATTTTAACAACAAATCATAAATTGAATAATATAAAATTATAGGGCGTTTTTCTTTTTTCTTTTTAATAAAAATATACTATTTTTTCTTATAAAATACTATATTTAGATATTATTTAAATTAAAAATTCAAATCTGCACTTAATTTCAAATTAGAATCAAACAAACCATAAACTTTTTAATTAAAAATTAACAGGGGCATATGTGCATAAAATCATGATAACCTTTATTCATAATCACTAATATCTAATAAAAAAAAAAAAAAAATCACAAATTTGAAACACTGAACGAACAAAGCAAATATAATCATTATAAAAAAATTAATTAAATAAAAGATAACTAAATTAGTATGGAAAATGAATTTGTAAACTGCTTGCATGGTATTGGGTCGTGGGTTCCTCTACTTGAGAAATAAAACTTAACTATAATAAATAGTATTAATATTAATTTGATTATTTGAAAAAAAAAAATCATAATTAAATAATATAATATGATAAATTAGCTTATTCTATAGAATATTATAAATAAAATTTAAATTTTAAAATAAAATTATATTAAAATTAAATTTAATCTAATTTACTATTAATACATCCGTATGACTTGCTAATTCAAAGGAATTAAAACCATGTAATTAATTAATCATGCAAATAATCAAATTTGAAAGTGAGAAATAATTAATTCGACACACTTTGTGAGTAACGATTCGGAAAAAAACGATCTGGAATTGGACGGACGAGCGTGTTCTTGGTGGGACACGTGGAGGGACAGGATTTGCCAGACTGCTTCCGTCTCCAACAACTTCCATGTATCTCTCTATCTACGTTCTACATACACTATAGATACAGGCACTCAGATATGCATTACAATTTACATACACAGTGGCGAAGGAGAAGGCGATGGCGAAGGTACCTATAAATACGACGCAGCCTAATTCTTCCCCGATTTTCGTCGCCATTGCAATCCATCCACATTTTTCTGATTAAATTTGAAAGATCTTTATCCGATTTCTATTCTATCTTCGTTTCTTCGGGATCGCGAAAGATCGGATCGAGAGTTTCTCGACCTCCAAACCCTAGGCAGTAGCTCTCTCTCCGAGAAATTGAAGGTAGGATTCTCCTGTTTCCACTCGGTTTGTCTTTCGTTGAAATTTGGAAGTCGTTTATCCGTTTTCTTTTCGTTGTTGTTGTAGTGATGGATTTTGATATCGTATGCGCGCGCGTCTGTTTGAGTTCTTGCTTTGTAGATGTAATGAATGGTGAGGATAGAGCGATTTCGAGTAGATTTTATTTTGTAGTAGAGAGTATGACTGTATGAGGTCGTGTTTTCGTGAGATGAGGTTTGGCTGGGATAATTAGGAAAGATCTTGACGTGTGGACTGAACGTAAAGTAAAGAAATCAGTACATCGATTGTGTTCATTTTCTTCTTGAATCTGGAAATCTTGTAATCCACACACAAGTTTTTTCTTGCTTTGGAAGATGATGCACTTCGAGATGGAGATAGAACATTCTCACTTCGCCGAAATAGCGGTTCAGTTTCTCGAAATCTTGCACTCGTCGTCTCTTCTTGAAATTTTGCAGTTACTATTTCTTCTTCTCTTTACGCTCAACTGTTCCTTATTTTTGCGTTTGTATCCTCTACGAATTCTTACGATGAGTTCCTGTTCTTGTGACAGGCATAACTCTAATTACGTTATTTGATTTCAATGTCGGCTTCAAAATCCCCAATCTCAATCTCAACTCTTAATTCTCTGCATATTTTTTAATGCATAGTTACTAAATCCAGTAATTTTTGAGAATTCATGTCCTTATTATCATCAAAGTCACTGCCATCTAACAACACGCGTGATTAATGCTCCGGTCCGCAGTTTTCATCGTTGAAGAAGAACACCAAAAATGCCGTCAAGAAGCTCTGGCAATCCTCCATGCGCAGCGTGCAAGTGCCAACGCCGAAAGTGCACTCCGGAATGCGTGTTCGCACCGTATTTTCCACCGGACAATACTCAGAAATTCATGAACGTACACAAAGTATTCGGAGCCAGCAATGTGTCCAAGATTCTCCAAGCTCTCGACGCCCGCCATCGCCAAAACGCAGTGAATTCCTTAGCCTACGAGGCAGAGAGTCGTCTCCAAGACCCTGTCTACGGCTGCGTCGGCTTCATCTCCGAGCTGCAAAGAAATCTAAAGATAGTGACTCAGGCTGTGGAAAGCGCCAAGATGGAATTAGCCACTTATGTCGGACCCTCCGCCATGTTCCCGGACCTCATTCAACAACAACAGCACCAGCAGCAGTATAATTATGGGCAATCAGCTTACCCTGCAATGAATACAGTCCCCATGGCTACTCCACAGAGTGGTCAGGGACAGTACATTCAGGATCCACAGCAGCAGTATCTGGAGGCGCAACAATCAGCTGCCATGGCCGCCGCCGCAGCCAGAGAGCAAGAAATGTTCAACGCATACATCCAGCAGCAGAATGATCTGATGAGATACAACAGTGGATTCATCGATGACAGGTCTAGTGCAGTTACCGTAGCTGATTTCAATCAGATGCCAACTGCAACTGCAGTCGATGCTATGCCGCAACCTTCTTTGCAATTAGGTTCTGCCATGGAAGCTCACCCGTACCATCAATTCCAGCATTCAAATCTCCAGGAGAGTACAGATTCCAATTCCTATTCCCTTTTCCATTCTCAATCTCAACCTCAATCTTTTTCCCAGTTCCAGATTCAGCAACAAGACCTCTTTCTGCAGCAGCTGCAGCAACAACAATTAGCTCAACTACACGCACAGCAGCAACTATCGAGAGCCAATAGAGATGGGCCCGGACCTGGACCCGGACCCGAACCCGGCTTTGATCAATCCTGAGAATCCATTCCATCCAGAATCTCGAAACTTCAACTGCCCTTCAGAGCTTTATTCTTTAATTCAGCAGCTTCTTCATCCAGGTAAGTTCCCATCACTCATCACAGCTTTTGTCTTGTGTCATGTCTGATTGGTTGCTTCAGCACCACATTAATTGCTTAACAAGAATAGGGGCTACAGACTATACATTGCCATATATTTTCTCATTTATATGAACTACGAACCTACAGTTACAATTCCCTAACTCGTGGTAGAGTTTCTCATTATAGTTATTATATTTTAATTTTTATAGTTATATAAATTTTATTAAATATGATAATATATAATTATAATAATATTTTATTTTATTTTATTTATAATTAGTACTAGTTTTATTATAAAATAATTAATATTATATATTATATGTAAATTAATTATATTTTTATAAATAAAAATATTTTTTTTGGTCGATTCACACATATACATATAAAATAAATGGAGGGGATATTATTAAATAATTATTAATAAGATAAACATATAACAATTTATAAAATATATAATATATAAATTTATAAACAATCCAATCCTATTTATCAAAATTCATTTAATTCAATACATAAAATTTATTAATCTCTGGTAGACGTAGACGTCTAAATAGACCCCAAATAGACCTGAATCACTTCATTATAAATTGGTACAGCAAATTTTAGGCCGGAGATGTACAAAGGAGAGGAGAAGAGACGTAAATTATATCTAGTATTTTCTTTAATTTCTTCACATTTATTTTTTTCTTGAGAAGTACTCTCTTTCTCTTTATATTCCCATATTTTTTTGCTATATTATTTTAAAACTTTTATTATAAAATTCATTATATTTATTATTAATATATCTACACATACATTTTATAGATTTTACATTCAATTATTTTCTAAATACAAATAAAAACAATATTTGAAACATGATGTATGGTGACAACGCTAGCTGCAAACTTAAAAGATATTTGTTATGGTTCAAAATATTTTTCGGTGATTCACAGGGCAAGCTAGCCCTATCGAAAATCGAGTGAATTCTTCGATCTCTTTAAAAAAAGATCCGGAACCTTATTCGCATAAATAATAAATCCAAAATAGAGAATCTTATTCGCATAAGTAATAAATCCAAAATAGAGAAAAGTGGGACAAAGATAAATGAGAAGAAAGCAAGAAAGTAAATACTTAGAAGATGGGAGAAATAAACACGAAATTAAAGAAAATTAGAAAGAAAAGTAAAGAAGGCAAAATGAACAAACAAGTAAATAAAATAAAAGGAAGTAAAATTGCATATAAATTAAGGGTGTGTTTCTTTTGGCTGAGTTTGAAAAAAATTAGTTTGAGTTTGATATTAAAATAACGTTTGATAGGATGTTTTGTGAGAGTTCAGGGAAATATTGGTAAAGAAACATACCTTAGAATTGTGTGGGAAGAGAGTGAGAGAAAGGTTTTCATGTATCTCCTTGATTTATATAGTACTCCCTCCGTCATGCAACTGTGTGCTTATTTAACCGGACACAAGTTTTAATAAAAGTGAGTAATAAATTATTACACAAAATGTCTAATTATTTTATCATTTTCAAATATTCAAAATTAACATCTAATTTAGCTTAATTATTATTATATTCTATTATTTACTAACATAATATGCAGTTTTGTAAAAAAATATACCCCTTCTGTCCAACTAGAAAGTATAAATATTTTGGGACGTTCAATTACAAAGTAAATATTTCATTAAATACCTCACTTTTTTCCACAAATACCCTTATTTGACATCACATCATTACTTTTACACCAAAAAATAAGGGCAAAAATGTCATTTTATTACTTTTAAGTACGCATTATAATTAAAATACTATTATTTCTTAAACACCGGGCCAAAAATAAATATTTATTTTGTGTGTGGACGGAGGAAATATATTTTCTTTTAAAAAAATAATACATTATACATATTTATTATTTTTATATTACTTAAATAATTCTTATATAATTCATATAAAATATATATATATATATTCAAATTATTTGACAAAACAAATACATCCTTATAGCATAGATGAGATGCGTGTTTTCATCCTTAATAATAATAATAAAATAAATATTAAACTCTTGGAGTGGTCTTCAAAGCTTTATGCATATTAAAAGAACAAAGTGAAATTGGTTAAATTGTACAAAATTCATATGTGATTTCGAAAAATTGTGTTAAATTCTTTGTAATTTTAAAATTGCGTCAAACTCTCTCGTGGTTTCATAAACCTTGCATATAATCCCTCGACAGTTCTTATTTAACGGTATTTGACCTAAATGCGCCCAAACTGCGGATAAATTTTAAAATCTCAATTTCTAAACCCCTAAAATTACATATATATATATATATATTTAGTCTAAAAACAGTAAAAATAAGCTCTTAAAATCCGATAAAAATAACAATTTTTTAGTATATTTACTATTTTTTTAGACTAATTATATAAAAAAAATGAATATATTTGTAATTTTAGAGGTTTAGAAATTGAAATTCTAAAATTTATTCGTAGTTTGGACATATTTAGGTCAAATACCGTTAAATAACGACCGTTCAAGGGTTAGACGCAGAGTTTATAAAACTACGAGGAAGTTTGATGCAGTTTTAGAAGTATAAGAAATTTGACGCAAATTCATAAAATCATAGTAGTTTTTTTGCAATTTAGGCGCCTTAATTTACTTGTGATTTGGAATTTTTCTATAATTAAAAATTGAATCACACTTTTTTATATTTTTTAAAATATTGCATCAAACCTCGTGTCGTTTACATTTAACAGATCGTACATGACACATACCAATAATATGAATTTCAAAGTCAGTACACTTTATCGATACAATATTATTGGTGCATGATGTCTACACTTTGTTAAGTGTAGGCGATGAACTTTGATGCAAACATTCAAAAAAACATATAAAAAATGTCACTCAATTTTTAAACTATTAGATAAAAATAAGCAAAGGTTTCAAACAATAATAGATGGATTTTGGACAATTTCACCAAAATACAATAAAAACAAAATATAAGTTCAGTAAGGAATAACCTAGTGGTGTGGGGTTGGACTTCTTGATGCCTCAAATCACCTGTCACATATAGTTCGCCTAGTGTGACTTGCCTATCGGGCCTAGCTTGCAAGGTATTAGGTTCAGCCGAGGTTTACCCAATGCGCACTTTCGGATAACGGCTGCCGATTTCACGTCATCAATATATATATATATATATATAAAGTTGTGGATTGTCCAAATTGTCAATGTATGTTGGTTTTATTTGTCGCACAAAGATTATCTAGTATGATTTTTCCTATAGACATAATTTACAGGTTATTATCTTTGACTTTGCAATTTTACTTTAAAATAATAATAATAATAAACAACTTAAACTAACTGTGCATATATATATATTTATATAATTTTCTTGGTACTCATTCACATGGTTGAGCTTGACACAAATATTTTTCCTTTAATTAAATAAATTCCTTTATTGCCTTCAAAATAAAATAAGTTCATCACATATGCTCTGGAATTTATATAATATGCCTATGTATGTATTTATATTTATATTTATATATTGTAATTCGAATCCCTTTTGTGGGAAGCAACAAATATTATTATTATTATTATTACTTTTCTTGCCTTTTAATTTTTCTCTGCCATTTTTTATTTTATTTTATTTGTGTGACTGCTTTGTAATTTTCTGTAGATAGTCATAGTCAATATTATTTTATGCCAAAAATACTACTTTAGTTATTGGACTTATTTTGTTGGGCCTGGCCCAGTGGATCAAATCTTTGCCTGCTAGTTTCTATATATGTATTCAATCACTTTAAAACATTAAAAAATCATAGTATAAATCAATGTAGTAGATTGATTATAAATCAAGAATATAGACTATAGTACCAAAATTCAAATGGACAATGAAAATGACTGTCATTGTATTTTTTAAAACTCTTTTTTGTTATGCTCTAGGAGTGCGTTTATTTTAAAGATTGAATTATAATACTTAGATTATTTATATGAATTTAAACAATCATGAGATTATTTATTATGATGTTTACTTTATTCAATTATATATAATATAACAATAAATTTTAGTACAATATTACTAGGATAAATTAATCCTACAAATATATGATTAATTATCCTTAATTAGCATATTAGTATAACGGATTTTAATCAATATCGAATTTTAATCTATTGTAATAAATATATGATCAGAGTGTATAAAATAATATTATATATCTTAATCATTCAAAATAAACACACTCTAAAAGTATAAATCGATCTAATTTTGATCGATATGTATTAATTTTCAATGTATTAAATACCTATCAATAACTTTTAGATAATTTTAATCATCTTCGCTATTGTCACGCGAACTCTTCACCAAATTCAAATGCTCGAGTGGGGATCTTGACCTTGATTCAAAACTCGACCCCAACTCAATGTTCTTCGATAATTCCACATTTCTTAGCCACGAGTAACCATTTGTGCTTGCCAATGAATTTGGGAGTTTTCGGACATAAATTCGATATTTCTGATATAGAAATATATATATGCATACATTAATTGCAATCCCATTTGAGATTAATATTATAGAATGAATTTTCTTAGAAAAATGAATCAAGCTAAGCTTAATCCATATATACTACCTACCTGTAAATGGCTTTTAACTTGGTCATTAGTAAGGCCCTCGACATCCATAAGCGCTCTTATATGTTTCGGTGTCGCTACTGAAAAAGAGAAAGTAAAAATTTACACATACGATTTATTTATATTGTTATACTATTCATTAAAAAAAAAAAAAGAAAAGCGAAAGAAAAAGTTCTTTATTTAAAAATATGGTATAAAATATCATATTCTATTTATATAGTATCAAATACATAGTTTTTATTCAACTTTTTTAAAAATTTAAATCAACCTAATAAAACTCCAAAATGCTACCTTATGTAAATTATAGTCTAATTACTCAATTTCTTACTATTTTATTTTATTTTTTTTTAAAATTATGAAACTCTTATATCAAATTATTCCTTTCTATTTTAGGATTCTGTATTAAATTGTGGACTATAGCATGTCATAAAATATAATTGGTTTATTAATTATAAAAAATAAAACTTATGTTGTAAAATATTCGAATTCATATTAAAAATAATTAACAATAATATATTGTATATAAAGAATTAAAATTGTAATTTTCTAAAAATAAAAGTCACTTACTATTTGGTCCGCCGAGTCGCTGCAGAGCGTTGACAAATCTATTGTGCAACTGCGGCGACCAGCACCGCCGCACCTTCTTCCGCTGCGACGCCGCCGCCGCCGCCGCTCCATGCCGGAAGCTGGAGCCGCCGTCGAACGGTAATCCAATTGGTGGCGGCACTATTTGATCAATTTTCTCACTATTGAAAAATGACATAATTGCCCCTCTAGTCGTCTTATTGTTGTTGTGGCCGCTCTAAGTAGAACATTGTCAATAATAATTATAAAATTGACGGACGAAAGAAATAATAGTAATTGTCAAATTGTATGTTCAAATCTTTGATTATATTATTAAAAAAAAAATAAAAACATAAATTTAGATCACAAGCAATAAATTCACATCTTATCAACTGCAAAACGACGTCGTATCTAATCTCCAAAACATTTATAAAAAATTACTAATAAAACTTACTGATAATGATCTCAGGGACAGAATGGTACTTTCATCGTATTGAATGGGAGTAGTCCGTAGCTGCACTGAACTATCGTCACTCCTATTCATAGTATTCTCCATGTCAAATGTCGATTCTGCCCTCCCCTGCTTGAATCCTTCCCTCGCTGTCCTTTGTTTCTCCTTCTCCATCTCAAGTCTCTCCGCCGCTGCAAAATCACCAAAACCATTTCAATAAAACATTAATATATATATATATATATAGAGAGAGAGAAACCTTGTTGTAAGAGATTCATGGAAAATGGCAGGTGAGGGTTGAAATTAGCATGGATCTTTTTGATTTCTTGTTGAAGAGAGTGGACATAAAAATCAAGTCTTGATAACTTCATGGGAATGTCAGAAATCATTGAGATTTCCATTAAAATATCTGAAACAACCTGAGGAACATAATAAGCTGATGATGAAGATGAAGATGAAGATGCACCTGCACCTGCACCTGCACTAGACCCCACCATCATCAGACACCACTGTTAGCATGTATGTATGTATGCATATGTCCTAATTAAATAGATTTTGATCTCACTCCACAGTTGATACATATTCATTTCTCATCATATATCAATATATATAGACATATCATCGACCATAAGTGCATACTGTAATGAGGGACAATATAGGGAATTAGAAATTAATGAAAATAAATGCCCTCTTGTGAACTTTCTTTAGTTTTGAAATTTTAGACATTTTTTAAAATAGTAAAAATATTATATATGTGATGTAATATTATGTGAAAAGAATATAATATTTCATATAAGTTTTAAAAAATACATATATTATTGGTAAATAGTATCAAAAATTTTATTTTCTTTCACATATGTCGTATTCAGATAATTTGGTGGATGCCTTTTGTATGTGTCTATGTTTTTTTTTTTTTTTTTGCCCTCAGATTTTGACAGGTTTAGTGCAATTTTGGAATCTTCTTTTACTGTTTTGAGGGTGTTTTTTTATAATTATTTTATTTATAAAGGGTTGTTTTATTTGAAGATTTATGTTTGAAGGGCATCACTGCAATTTTATTTTGTGAGGGTAAAATGGTATTTTGCTTAAATATGTTTTTAAATTATTGGGATTGCATTATAATATTTTGGTAATGTAAATTAATGAAAAGAGGATTTGAGATTAGAGTGATTGGATTCTTAGTGATAATGAAATCTATTATAGATTAATTGTTTTCAATGAAATGATTTCTTTATATTTGTCAAATACGATTGCCAATATTTTTGGTCTTAAAATTTAAGAATGGAAAATTTTTGTAATATCACATGTTTAATTTTTTGTTTGTGTAGATTTCTGTTTTAAAATTAGAAAAGTGCATTTAAAAGATCCAGATAATATATATTCATAACAAAATCTATTCAAATTATGCATTATACAATTGCAGAGACCCATCCCATATATTTATTAAATTCTTAAATTTAATAAATTTGAAGTAAATTCAATTGGGATTCTACAGATGTATCAAATTGATTTTGTAATTTTGTAAGAAGTCCATGTTAGTTCATCTTCAATCTTACGATAATTTAATCCAAATTGTTGTCCTGCTGAGTCAGATTATACAACATTCAGGTAACTTGAATGAATAGTTAATTGGTTGAATTGTGATGAATAAATGGTAAGTATGCAATAATAATATGCACTTTTTTTTTTTTTTTTTAATTTCATATACTTTTTCTGTCCCATATTTATATATCTATTTTTTTTGTACGGAGTTTTAAAAATACTAGTATTATATTAGAATAAAGTAGAAATAAAGATAAAAAGACTAAATTAACCCAATTAGTATAAAAGTAATGGCATTTGTGTAATATATTGTAAATTGGAAGGGTATTTATAATATTAGGTATATAGTACAATTACTAAAAAGAAAAATAAATACGGATAAACCAATATAAAAAAATGGATAGATTGTTAATGGACGGATAAAGTATAAATTTACAAACTAGGAAAATGAAAGGTTGCATATGATTTGAATTTTCAACCTTTCCAATAATCACACTTTCTACTCATAATTCAATAAAGATTAATTATTTATTTTACAAAATATCATATCGTACAATTATTACCTCTTAATTAGTAATATTGATGAAATTCAATTTTAATTACTTCCTTTCCTTTTCTTTTTTTAATTACTTCATCTTCTCTCTTTTATATGTGGGTTGGGTGTGAACATTTAGTAAAAAGAAATTTTATGTTTTTTTTATTAAAATAATCCTAAGAATCATATAGTGACAAAAAAAAATCAAATAAATAAAATCCAAAAGTAGAGAGAGAGAGAGAGAGAGAGAGAGTGAGTGATTTTATTTAAATTTAAAGTTGAATTCTTATAAAATTTTGATTAAAATAGAGCACTATTGCCATATTTATAGAAACCTACAGAATATTTCAGGGTATTTATCAAGGGCAAACAAATCCATCCCCAGAATAAAAGTACAGATTCTCATGACAACATAGTCCATCCATGCCCTAAAAATATTATAATAATAAAAATTAAAAAAATTAAAACAATAATAATAATAATACTTGAATTTGGTCAAAAATTCAGGACAACAAACAATTCATTAGTAGGAGGAGATAAGATAAGAATCTTTGTTGATGATAAGCCTAAGAATTTTTGCTTGTTTTATTTCTAATATTACAAAGACAGAAAGATGCTGACTTAAACATCAAGAAGTCTTCAAAATCCTTTTATATAATTAATTATATCTCACACATCTAAATCATTTCCTATTCAAATATTCCAGTGGCTAAAACCAAAACATAGTCAGGGAAAAAGATAGACAACAACAATAAACTACTTGTATAAATGTACAGATTAGAGTTATGGTGAGCAAATAGGGTATGCAAAAATTCTTCTAGGTACAAATATAGTGCTGCATTGCAAGAAATTGCAATAATCTATCTTCTAACATAGAATGATGATAAGGAATTTGCACGAATAAACTTTTAATCCTACTGAGAGAAAAAAAAAGAAAGAAGTCCATTGATTCCTAATAATCCTGAGGGAGGTTCATAAATTGTATTCCTACAGCATAAATGGCCGTAAAGCAGGGGCATCGATCCTTCAATTCTATATATGTATCTATCTTATTAAAAGGGACGGTTCACCAGCATAATTTCAAGCAAAATATCGATAGGAACTTCTCAAAATTGTGCCCAATTACAGAATATTTACTCAGAAGCACCATCAAGGGCATATGTTTTCGGCAAACCTTTTTTGTGAAGTTCCATTCATAGGTATGCATCGGATGTGATGATTCATGCAAGGTCCGCTAGAATGCAGCGCAGCTGTTATACCCCTAATAAACAGAGGAAATCGATTTCTAACAATCATCAATTGTGTTTCTAAGTAATGCTCTAACTATGAATCACGAACCATCTTTTTAATTTCGCGAAGTAAGAACATCTACCACAAATTAACAAGAAAAAATTACGACCATATGTCTCTAAGTAACGCTCACTAAGAATCGTGAAGCATATTTGCAATATTTCAAAATACTAACATCTAAGCTGTTGCACAACTAGATGGAACCAAATGTAATTTCCGGATTGATGGCTACCCAGAATTGAGTCGCTGCTCATGTAAAAAAGGAACCATTCAGAAAACAACAATTATTCCTTTGACAGCACAAAGAATCCCATAAACTCAAACAAATGATTAATTAAATTATGCTGCGCCATAAAGTGCATAAATGTAACATGGAAGCTACGCTAGATATCAACTATTAAGTAACATTAAACCAAAGAAAGAACAAAACCTACGATATTTTTCCCATGATGAAGCGAATGAATCTCCTTGACCTGAAAATAGGTACATTGATTGTCTTCACCGACTTTCGACAACTGGCTCTACAAAACATTTTACTACATGCACTGGTAAGTAAAACCAACCACTTCCAAAATACAACTTGGCATTCAAACCTTCTATCACGACATGAAAAAAAAAAAAAAAAAAAAAAGAACATAAAAAATGATAATGAAAATGTGCATAATTATAAGAGTTCAACATCATATTCACAGTTGTCCTTGTCTTGGTGAATTACCAATGGACGAAGTTACAAGATGTCAAAGGACACTACATTTGATTTTTCTTACCATTTGTTTTTTTACTTTGTAAGTAATCAGCTAATACCGCACCAAGGAATTGTCTGCCAAGCAGGAACACTCGGCCATGTAAAATTTCCATCACCTAATGGAGGCTCACTAAAAGAAACTTCTGAGCAAATCACTGCTCAGCCTTTATGAAATGACCAGTCAGCAGTTTTGTAACAGAGAATCCATGGAATTTATCCACATTAAGAAGTTCTTTCAGCTTCTCATCGCATATTATTTGCCTTTTGTCCGCAGGGTCCTTCAAACAAAATGAAACAATGAAATGAGCAAAAGTGAGTTTTGTGTGACAGTCTAGTGAAAAATAACCCTTCTATTCATGCAATTGTCCTCAAGCCACCGATCTCCACACATTTTATTAACTTCTATGACAACATTTACAAAATCCAGATTTTCTTTGCAATTACAATTGAATTAAAACTCATATATATATATAATATAAACATAAAAGCATATATCTATCATTATATAACCAATCTGAAAATTTTTATACCACCATTTAATATAGCTTATTAATTGAAAATAATTAGTGTAGATTACTTTTAGTTGAAAATATGTACAATTATGTTAAAAATAAATATGTAACATATCATTCCAAATTGTTCTTTTAACAAAAAATACATACATTTTTCAAAAATATTAATATATCACGCACATTTATTATATTTAGATTCCCTACACAATTTTTCATACCTCACAGAACAAACACACCCCAAAAGTTATTATGAATAACATTTGATAATTTTCTTTTAAAAAATAACATTGAAATGTCATATCATAAAAGTTTCCATAAATTTTTCATGTGCAAATTTTGAAAATATATTTATTGGGGAATCATTATAAAACATTCTTGAGTCATACAGCCACTATAAAACATTTTTGAGTCATCAAAGGCTCCATAAATTTTGCATGGTTATTTTTTATCCCCTCAAAAACAAATATAAAGAAAATTCTAGGATGAAAGACAGATTTATCGTCATATCTAAGACAGTTTCAAGATACTCAACATACCTGCAAGTTGTTTAGTTTGATGTAATCCCACATCCTCTTAACAACATCAGATCGAGACAGTTCACTTTCTCCTGTGCCTAGGAACTTTATCAGAGCATCAGAAAGTTTGATAGGTGCAAGGAAAGCCGACTTTCCTCCTTTCTGGCGCTTTTCTTTCCTCTCAGGTTCATCTTTAGAGTGAAAAAGTACCATTCATAAAGAGGTCAAAAATATTGAAACAAAATGCTGCAACAAACCATATCATTAGCTTAACGCAACTGTTTCATGAAAGCAATATAAACATGCAGGAACCATACCTCCTTAATACTTCCATTTCTCTTCTTCGCTTCTTTTTTTATTTGGCAATTTGTTTTTTAATAAATGCAATTTCGGGAACAAGAGAATGAGTTAAAGCCAAATAGCATTGTCTACACTGTTATCTTTGGAAGAGTAGCTTAATAAACTATTTCAGCAAGGGACATCACATTGCAGGAAAATAGTGGAAAGCCAATCATCCTGACGTAGAACAACATATACACCTCATAAATAAGATAACAAAGCATAGGGATGGGATATACACCTTCATCTCTTTCTTCCTTCTTTAGTGTCTCTTTTGGTGCAGAATTGACTGGAGCTGTTAGATATTGAAGACATTCCAACAAAGAAATAATGAGTAAAGAAGAAGCCTTTTATAAAGCTGAAATATATTTTGGTTTCTATAAGCAAAACAAAATAAAATGCCTCAATTAAAGAATTCAGTATTGAGATGAGAGTTAAGTTTACATGTGAAAAATCACAAACTGCAAATGAATATATCACTATATAAAAGGCAATGCAAGAAATGGTATAAAATATAGTTGAAGCAAGGCCCATAGATTGAGAGATTAATGGAGGAAACTGGGTAAAAACAATTAATACAGAAATTATATTTAGATGGCAAGATCCAGTTTCTGAGTGAAGTATCATAATTTCAGAAAGGTTCACTGTTCACCAGAACATCGCAAATGAAGTTCGTGATGCTTTTCAAGTTTCAACTGCTACAGAGACAACCATAAATGAAGAACATAAATACAAAACATTTCAAAAATATATATTTCCTTAACAGACACAAACACATGTAAGTGAAGACATAGTAGGTCAAGCAGCTACCAAAGACAACATAACCGATAAGGTGACTAAAATGTTAGAAATCATACCCCCATCAGAATCCAAAGGCCAAATGTGCTTTGCCAGGGCCTTGTTCATTTGGAACATATCTATGGTATCAACATTAAAGAGTTTGCGCAAGGAATTGTCGCAAATGATATTCCGACGATTGGATGGATCTTGCAACTTATTCTCTTTAATATATGCCCACAGTTGTTTCACAACCTGGTTTGGAAGGGTTACATTATACTGGGAATTTCCACTCCGTTGCAAATTTGATAACTAGACCACTGTTCACAGGATGTACCTCAGTCCGAGCTAACTCAGCTGCTCCTGTAAATTTCTGAAGTTCTGGAGAAAGACTGCAAACTTTGGTGAAACCTCCGCCTCCACCTCGCCTCTTGCTCTCTTTTGTCTTTCTAGGGCTAAAAGGGTGTATTGCAAAGTAACACAAACTGTTAGTCAGTCCCTCATAAAATTAGATGAATATAACTTAAGTCAGTGAAACAGATACACGTGTAGAAGGAAAGTTTAGTCGCACTTAGAAGCATATAAAGACAAATGATCTGCACCTACTAGGATGATAACATTGTACAGCCCCACGGACATAATGCCCTCGGGATTGTATATATCTACGCCAACTTACCCAATAGAAATGTTTATCGTCATAAATTCATTTTGATTGATGCTCACTCACTATTCTAGCTAGACATTGAAGTTTACAATCAAGTTACCAGTTTTTATGTAAGGGCATATTAAGCAATTTTTTCTCCACACTAGCCAATCATATAATGCAAACTAAGAGTATTGACAAACCGTATTTTGCAAGTTGTAAACCGCAATAGCACAACACGACACAATTGCATTTATATAAATGCAAAAGAAGGCTGAAGATACAAATAAAACATGAGGGCAGAGGAGACAGAGTCAAACAAAATAACCCTAATAAATATGAATAAAACCACGCCTCGCGCCACGACAAAACTCCTCCGGCACAGGCCATCATTACATTTATTACATCGATAGTTTGCTTAAGACATAACTAATTAGATCAACAACAATCAATCACATACATCCCCACCATTGCTGGATTTTATACGTGAGGATCAAACCACAAACTACAAAGACACAAAACTTAAAAACAAAAAACCCTAGTACAATCAATGTGTCGAATCAAGTTAGGTTTCAACACTGCAACGCACACAACAGATCATATATGGCCACATTTGCCGACGAAGCAACTTAAATCCATAACTTTTGTGCCGTTCTTAAATTGAATTTGAGAATTTCCTGAACATCGCGCTAGAAAGTTCAAAGAACAAATAATCATGCCAAGTAAGAAAAACATAAATGGAACTTGCAAGAAATTCAGTAATACGAGCATGGATTGAACTTCAGACCGAAAACGAACAAAACCCCCCACGATACGCTATACACATATCCGCAAATTCACAAAATCAAAATCGTCGAATGGAAAATATCAAAAATCAGAGAACCAACCGCTTTCTACTGGAGGAATTTGAGTTGCTAGCTTCGGTTGCTTCTTCCTCCTCCTCCTCTTCTCCTCCTCCGCCTCCTTCCTCTTCCGGATCCTCCTCCCCCGGTCCCTCCACTTCATCCTCAGCATCTCCTTCGTCGTTAACTCTCCCTTCATTATCGGCAGCAGCATTTTCAAATTGGTTTTGGAGGTAAACATCGACCTGTTCCCTAATAAACGCCTTCCTATCCGACAAATCGATTCCGAAATCCTCTTCCAATTGGCGGCGTACAATGGCGGTCGTCGTCTTGTTGAGGTCCGACGTGCTCAAGAACTCCCGCAGCCGCTCAATCAACTGGGAATCGGACGCCATTTTTCTATGGACTGCCGTTTCAGACTCCGAAGAAAGATGAAACTGGCAGAGAGCGATTTCTTCGACAACGGTTTAGGTGGGGTTTTTTTATCTGACAATCCTGAGGTGTCGAGGGTATATCTGGAATTGCACTTATTTAGTATGAAAATTGGAAAAGAAGGATGGACTGTGCTTTTTACGGGGCCCGGCCCTTTATGGCCCAAACCTCAAATCCGGGCCCGTGCTCGGAAGCCTGTTAAACTGGTACGATACACACACATACGCCGTCGTTTAGATTGTAATCCATATTATCATAGTTTACAATTTTTGCTTCTTTTAATTGAAATTTGATCTTAGAATACATGTATTCATATTATTAATTTTAATTTAAATGTGTATTTTTAAATTAATATTTTCAATGTTTATTTATTTGCTTGATTTGTTTTTTATCCCTAAGTTTTCAATTGATAATTTTAATTCCTATTAAAAAGTTGATATAATGGATAATTATAAATTATTACAAGAGGTCAATTAGGATTAAAATATACTAACATACTTTACCATAAGGGTCGTATTTTAAAATAAAATAAATACTGAGGCCATTATTGAATTTTCAATTGATAATAATATAGTACCATCAAGGGTCGTACTAAAAAAACAAAGAAATTGAGGGCAATATTGAAATTTCAGCTTTCTAGTTTAAGCGGACAGGTAACCTACGGCGTTGTTTTAGTTTAAGCAGCGAGGGCATTATTGGAATTTCAGGAGAACAGATGGGAACGACGTCGTTTAGGATAACAGAAATTTTGAAAAATCGGATCTTATTCAGGATTTGAACCCGACGTGAATCGAACACGCAACCTTCTGATCTGGAGTCAGACGCGCTACCATTGCGCCACGGATCCTTGTGTCTAACTTTATAATTTTATTTAATTTATTCGTTAAAAGTTTATATTTACTTTTTTATGACAACAATAAAGTGTAATTATTATTACAAGTACAAAGCAAATTCTATTGAAGATGTAGTATCATCTATCTACTCGGTCTTCTTCTCCTTAGCTTCTTTCCCAACCATCTTGCTCTTAAATTTCTGCAACTTCTCCTCTCCCATGTCCGACAGCCTTCGCCATTTGATCTTCAGTTGATCTCCCAACCACCCTATCCTCTGACGGTTCTTTACATAAACCGGCGGTATGATCATCCCTCCGACCAAACCTACCCGCAGAAACTGTTAATTCTTCATCTCTAACAGCAGTAATGGTAAATTAGGGTTTCATTAATTTATCAATTTACCTATGTAAGAGACTGTAAGAAAATCGAAGCGTCTTGCAATCTCTGAGATCAAGTAGAGACAAAGCAACGTTCCTCCGAACTCGAACCATTCTCCCTCGGCGCCGGCGCGGACGATCCGCCGGAGATCCGTCTCGACTCGCCGGCGAACGGATTCCGCGGTCGCCACGGCTGTTTCCTCGCTGATTTCCAGCTCCGACAGGTCGGGAGCCTCCCTGAGGTACGAGAAATTTACAGTACTGTGGGGTTCGGACAAGGATAATAATTCAAATTGAAATTGAAACGGTAATAATTACTTCTTCAAGAGGCGGTGGAGAGTTCCCCAGAAGAAGAGGCAGGAGACGGCGGCCATGGCGGCCCAGGACAGCAAAGTGACGAGGCTGTAATGGTAGATTTCGATTAGTACCCAGGCGGCGGTGGCTGTGGTAAGGACAACGGCGTTGAGAGCTTTTCTTCTCCACAGCACCAAATCGGCGAGCAAATCTGTGGATCCTTCATCGGCGGCGTTGACTCCGATGTTCTCAGTTGATTCCTTGCCTGGATTGCTGTCGAGCTCGATTTCCGGTGAAGATTCCGACATGAAGAAACGATGATCTTTGTCCGGTGGAGAATGTGGAATGTCTTGAATTGATTTGTACGGATATTTTGAGGAAGAAGGAAAATGGCGGTGAGAAAGAAAAGGATACACGTAGTCACTTTAAGAAGCCACGTGTCATGCATGCGTGTTTCTGTCTGACCTGTTTAAATTTGTAGTGGATTTTATTAATGTGAGTATATCTATAGCGCTATAGTCTTTAGATAATGGATTTGTTCATATATTTTTATTTTTTAAAAAATTACATAATTTTTATAAATATTTAAATATTATACTCTCTCACTCCAGTTAGAAAATATACACATTTCTATTTTGGGACGTCCAATTATAAAGTAAACATTTCATTAAATACCTTACTTTTTTCTTCATAAATACCCTTACTTTATATCACATCGTTATTTTTATATCAAAAAGTAAAGACAAAAATGTCATTACACTAATTTTAACTACTCACTATAATTAAAATACTATTATTTCTTAAACACTGCGTCAAAGTAAATGTATATTTTATCCGTGGACAGAGGAAGTAATGTATATATAATTCACATAATATATACTCCCTCAATCCCATATATACTTCTGCTACACTGTAGACACAGTATTTTTAGAATGGTGTAATTAGTAGATAATTAAAAATATATTAGTGAAAATAATTATTTTTAATATAAATAATTATAAATTAAAATTAAAATAACTAATTAGTTTAATTAAAATTAATAAATAATAATTAAATAATTTAAAATGAGATTAAATTGTGTAATTATTTTTTTAAAAAAATGATATGAAATATGAAATTGACAGAAACGATAGTATGTGGAACAGATGGAATATAATATATATTTTACTTATTTATTTAAAAAAAAATAGTGTTTTGAAAAAAAAATGAACAAATTTTATCAGTTTGACCAATGTGTATCGTGTGTCTCCGTGTGATATCGGTTCTTTTTTAGATATTTTCAAAAGATTGTGTTTTAGTTTCTGTAACGGTGGGAAGAAATTTATTTATTTTTTTATATATAAGACAAATAATTAATGTATACAATATATTTATTAGTCCTAATTTAAAATATTTTTTAATATTTTTTTTTCTCACTTTTAATTATTTCTTTTATATTTTTTAAAAGTAATATATTAAAATATATTAATCTTTACATAAATTAAAAAATATTATTATAAATACAATTACTTACGAAAATCAAAATTAAAAATATCAAAATATTATACATATTTTTGTTAGCCAATAAGGCATAAGCGGAACAGAAGAACTATTAATTTTTTTTGGAGAAAATACATTGATTGTATTCAAAAAAGAACAAAACCCTTAACGTGTATTTTGTATTTGATCATTGAATGTTTAGAAATATTTAAAATTTGAAAATTATATATAAATGTATTTTATTTTTTTAAAATTTAAATTATTTATCATTAATAATAAAAATATATTATTTACTATCATAAAATATTATTTCAATACAATCAAACAAACTCTCATTTAAATTTGTCTAAATTACACAAAATTCACTCGTGATTTCATGAAATTGCACCAAATCTCTCATATTTCTAAAACTGCGTCAAATTCTTTCGTGGTTTTATAAATTTTTGCGTCTAACCCCCTAAGTGGTCCTTATTTAACGGTATTTGATCTAAATGCGCTCAAACTACGAATAAATTTTAGAATTCAATTTATAAACCCCTAAAATTACAAATATATTTATTTTTTTTATTTTATCCTAAAAAATAGTAAATATACTAAAAAATTAGTTATTTTTATCAAGTTTTAAGAGTTTATTTTTACTATTTTTTTTAGGCTAAATATATATAAAAAATAAATATATTTGTAATTCTAGGGGTTTAGAAATTGAGATTCTAATATTTATTCGCAGTATGAGCGCATTTAAATTAAATACCGTTAAATAAGGACCGTTGAGGGGGTTAAACGCAAAGTTTATGAAACCACGAGAGAGTTTAACGTAATTTTAGAAGTATGGAGGATTTGGTGCAATTTCATGAAACCCATAGGTGAATTTTGTGCAATTTAGCCTTTAAATTTTAAAGTTTACATTAATTATTGTAATCTATCAAAAGAAAAATGTCTAAATCACTAGTTGGTTGAATAAAGATTTTGCAATAAAAAACTCAAAATGAACAGAATCTTTCATCTTCTAGTGCCGGCCCAGTCAATAGACCATAAGAGTAGTTCCGGGTGTTGACTTGATCAGAAAGTGATATATAGAGTTTTTTTTTAGAATAAGTCCCAAATACTCGTAGAGAAGGTCCAAAGAAAAGAACTTTTATTTTCACCTTATTGAGACAGCCCAACCTTAGAGCAACCCATAAGAGTAGGTCCGGGTGTGGATTCGAACAGAAAGATGACACGTGTAGCTAATTTGTAAAAAAAATGTCAAATACTCGTGGAGAAAGTAAAAAAAAAAAAAACTAATGTAAAGCAACCCGAAGTAAGTGGCCCGTTGACCCGCTTGACCCATTGTCCATAAAGGCCCAATCCAATTTTTAAGTGAGAAGCCCGCAGTCAGAAGATGATTGAGGGAATGTTGAAATTGTTCGAGAAAATTTGGGGATAAATTTTTATTCAATAAGATTAAAAAGAATAACAAGATTCAAAGGAGAGCAGACCATATTTAGATCATACGAATTCATCTTTTTTTTTTCAATAATTTTACATTTTTTTGTAATTTTTCTTTAAGAAAGTTTTTTTTTCATCAATTTTAGTTTCTTTAATTAATTTCAAGCTTTTTATTTCAGATTTTTTTTTTTTTTTTTGCATTATTACCTTTATGTTTTTTACCTTCTTGCAGCATTAATTATATTGATATCGTGAGATAGTCCAAATTTTTTATTTATTGAGGAGACCGAAAAATTTTACAATTAAATCAATTCCGATAGATTTTTCTGATTAAGCCATCGGTACGTTTAATTTGTATTATATCTTGTGCTGAAATAATACAAGTGTGAATTTGTGATAATTAGTTTTTTAAAAATAGTAGAAATTACATAATAAAAATTCAAAATTAATCTCATGAAATTAAAAAAAAAAAAAAAAAAAAAAAAAAAAAAGGGAGACACCTATAGTATACTCTTAACTTGAACTCCAAGTTATGAAATTAAATTTTATGAAATAATTCTTCCTTTTTCTTAGTAAATGAATAAATATATAAAAAGGTGAAAGTAAGTAAAAGAAAGACGTTCACCGAAAGTGACCAATTGAATTATGAGTTCAATAGTTCCGTTCTTGTTTAGTTGTATCTTCTTTCCTCTTTTTTTTTTTTTTTTTTTTTTTTTTTAAAATTTTATTTTATATATAAGTTGGATTGATTTTGTGTTTTGAATGAATGTACTTTTAATTCTAGGTATAGAAAAATATATTAATGTATACGTATATATTGATTTTTAAATATTCATTCGGAATCATATCATAAAAAATTTATTGAGTGAATAAATATGAAACTTTGTTACAAAATGAAGTTTCATAATAGTAATAATTTTTATTATAAAATATTAATTGTCACATTTTATAAGTGATCATTTTCAATTCTTTTTTGGTGCATTCTTATATTTTTATTTTTGTGGTCTTTTAGTGTTTTAGTCTTTTAGAGTGTGATTGGTTTGAATTTCAACTAATCATCAATTAATTTAATAAAACATTTCAATAATTCAATACGTAAGGATCTGATATCAATTGTTGGCATTCATTAAGAATTACACTCGAAACGCAAGATGTCTTGTTAAAATAATTGAGATAAAAAAATGAAATTAATAAATCTGACTTGATTTCATTAGCATTGTTGTATTTGGATATGCAAATTAATAGAGGGTTTTGTACTCTTCAAGTGTATTACGCAATACCTCGTGAGAAAGACTTCCACAATGAGAAATGAAAGTAATGATTTTTGCACATGGACTAAAATCACAATCCTAATATATATTTTCGCACTTACTAAATATATTTAACCCCAATAATTTTATAAATCATTCGACTTAATCCGACTAATAATTCAAATAATTATATTTAACCCATAGATAAATTAAAAAAATATACAAAATAAGCACACTGGTTAAGATTAATTAATTTTAAATTCAGATTCTTGTCTATTTGACTTTGATTTGAATTTGAATATTTTTATTTAAATTTTAGTTTATATAATATTAAAATATACTATTCATGAGAAAATTTATTTACTTTTTTTTTTATAAAAAATTGTATATTAACAAATAATGTTGATATTGAGTTAAAGTTAAAAACGAAATAAATTTGTTCATTTATAATTCTCACAAACTTCTATATCTAATTGCAAAATTTGTGCATATTTTTTTTAGTAAATTTATGTTTGAGTTTGTTATTAAAATAATAATTGATAAAAAAAATTTTGAAAAAAAATTTATTACGAAAATATCAAATCCAATTAGTAAAATTTAAAAAGATTTGAGTAAAAAAACTCACGGTAGCTTTCCTTTTACCTAAGTTTGAAAAAAATTGATTTTGAATTTGATATTAAATAATTTTCGATGAAATTAATTATTAAGAGAAAAAAAAATATTTATTTAAAAAAATAAAAAATCTAAACTATGAAATATGAAATAATTTGACAAAAGAAGACATACTCTAAAAAGCACACAGTTTATATGATAATAATAGTAGTAATTAATTTATTTTCTATCAATATACTTCGAAATTCATATCAATAGATCCGGAAACGTTTGGGAGCTCCTGGGAGTCCAACACCAAATAGATCCGAACCATCCAAACTGTGGGGATTCCAAATTGACGGTTTGGATCCATTTAAAGGAAGGCGGCGACGGATCTTAAAGAAATTGCTGCTGTTCTCCTGGAAAACAAAAAAGCACTCCCTGACAGCAAACAGTCGTCATTAGTTCATTACAGCTCGGCGAGATTTATGGCGTTCCAACGCCGACAACCTCACTTCACTAACTTCAAAATAAACAATTCAAACAAAGCACTCATCAATCCTCATAATAACGCGGAAACGCGTGAATTAGCGCCGATTCTGAAAGTTATAGCGAAGGGCAGACAGCCATGTCCTGCCATAGCTTTATCCTTTTCCCAAACCCTATCACCGCCGCTGTCTGTCCCTCTTTTCCCATGCCCATTTAAGAAATACACATATATTAGGATCTAGGAGGATTTGATTTCATTGACGTTGTCTGATTTCTTGCTTCCTCAGACTTCAGATCTATCGACATTGTCGAGATTTGTCGGCGAAATGAGGCGTTTGGTTGTGCTGTTTTTGGTTGAAATTTTAGCCCTAAATTCGATTGTCGAAGCAGAGGATGCTTACAAGTATTACACATGGACTGTCACTTACGGAACTGCTGCGCCGCTCGACGCTCCTCAACAGGTATTTGAATTTAATAATGTCTGATTCTTTGCTACTGTCTGTAAGAATGAGTTCTTCAATGGAAGATGACGATGCTATGTGGTTGGATCTGCAGGTTATTCTCATCAACGGTCAGTTTCCGGGGCCTACGCTCGATACTGTGACGAATGATAACATCGTCCTCAACCTAATCAACAAGCTCGACCAGCCCTTCCTTCTTACATGGTGAGCTAGCTCAGTACGACGTCGTATTTGCCGTAGTAGATCTAGGTTATTACATTTACAGTTGTGATTAATGTAGTTTGTGGTGATATTATTAGGAATGGGATTAAGCAGAGGAAGAACTCCTGGCAGGATGGGGTTTATGGAACTAACTGTCCGATCCCTCCGAATTCCAACTACACTTATAAATTCCAAACCAAGGATCAAATCGGTAGCTACACCTACTTCCCGTCGACTCTGATGCACAGAGCCGCCGGAGGATTCGGCGTTTTGAATATCTACGCCAGATCGGTGATTCCGGTGCCGTACGCCAAGCCCGACGGGGATTTTAGCCTCCTCGTCGGCGATTGGTACAAAACCGGCCACAAGGTTAATAATCAAAACAGCTTTGTCTGAATTAAAAAACCTTCGCTGTTGTAAGATTATCAGACGTTTGATTGTCTCTGGATTTGTTGTCCGCTTCAGGAATTGGCGCAAACACTCGACGCCGGTAAGCCATTGCCGTTCCCCGACGGCATCCTCATCAATGGCCGCCGGCGATCTTCATTCAGCGGCAACCAAGGCAAAACTTACATGTTCAGAGTATCCAACGTCGGACTGTCGACCTCGTTCAACTTCAGAATCCAGGGGCACAAGCTGAAGCTCGTCGAGGTCGAAGGGTCGAATGTTCTTCAAAACGTGTACGATTCTCTAGACGTTCACGTCGGCCAATCGGTGACATTGCTCGTCGTCCTCGATCAGCCTCCGAAAGATTACTACATAGTTGCCTCCACAAGGTTCACCGAGACTGTCCTAACGGCCACTGCAGTTCTGCACTACGCCAATTCGCAGTCCCCTGTTTCCGGGCCTGTCCCGGCAGGCCCGACCGCCACTGATGTGCCGTGGTCCGTCGATCAGGCCAGGTCCTACCGGTGGAATTTGACCTCGAATGCCGCCAGGCCGAACCCTCAGGGCTCGTTTCATTACGGGAAGATCACGCCGTCGAGAACGATTCTGATCGCCAATTCGGCTCCTGTAATAAGTGGGAAGCAACGATACGCCGTCAACGGGGTTTCTTACATCAATCCCGACACCCCTTTGAAGCTCGCCGATCATTTCAACATCCCCGGCGTTTTCAGCATTAACTCCATTCAGAGCAGCCCGTCTTCCGGCGCCAAGATTGCCACAGCTGTAATGGGAGCTTCCCTGCATGAATTTATCGAAATCGTATTTATAAACGACGAGGAAACCATCCAAACATGGCATCTTGATGGCTACGATTTCTGGGTCGTCGGGTAGTCACTTCGACAGATTATTTATAAGTTGACATTTTGAGAAATCTTTCCATCTTTGTAACTAACTCGAATTGTTTTTGAACAGATTCGGTGCAGGACAGTGGTCGAAAGATAGCCGGAAAACATACAACCTCGAAGACGCCTTAACGAGGCATACAACTCAGGTATATAAGGCTTTGATACGCCGACTGTTACTGTACTGAATTATAAAATTTAATACAAGAGTGAACAGGACATCGTATATATTAATATAATACAAATACAATATATGAATATATTTTACATACGTTGACTACGACAAATCAGCTCTGAACTGATTTGCACCGGTCAACGCATTAACCATCTCCGCTCAATGGGGAAGAATACGGTGTTGATTTGGAAAAATCAGTACCATAAAAATGTAAAAATAACAAAGTCTTTATTAATAATGGCATGTGTTGTTTGTTTATAATTACACGTGTATTGTACAAGTGTACGTCATGTACTGAAATGAACTGTTGCATGTGTTGTATGAGATTATATCATTTCTTGTTAATTAATGTGCTGTGTTTTATATTATATAAATATAAATGATGTGCTGTCACTAGCATTACCGTGTATTTTTTGCTAATTACCCGTGTGCTATTTATAATCAGCTATTGATGTAATAACTATCCGGAAACTGCTGTAATAACATCGGTCGGATCACATTTCAGGTGTACCCGAAATCATGGACAGCGATCTTGGTGTCCCTCGACAATCAGGGCATGTGGAATGTCCGGTCGGCGATGTGGGGGAGACAATACCTCGGGCAGCAGTTTTACCTTCGAGTGTACAATCCGACGCCGAGCCTCGCCAACGAATACGACATCCCGTCGAACGCTCTGCTCTGCGGTAAGGCCGCCGGGAGAAGACACATTTAATTCAGGTCCTTAATTGGATGGAAGAAAAGTAGTTTTGAGGATTTTAAGATTAGTAGTATTAATTATTTATATCTGGTTTGAATCGAAGTCATGAGAGGTTGGCTTTTGAGTTCATATTGGAGGATGAAGAGAGTCTTGTGATCTCCATGTTCTTGTGGTTTCATCAATACACTACACACGAACTATAAGAGATATACATTATACATATACATATGTCGATTAGTTTCCGAGTATTATTGCCATAATTTATATCTGTCTAGTTTTGTTTTTTACGAAAAAAAAATATACATGTAAGAAAGTTTTTATACATAAAAAGGATTACTAACTATAATTTAAATTTTTATTTTCGTCCTAAAAATAAATATAACCTTTTTACTTGAAGAGATATACTTCCTCCGTCCACCTTAAAGTTTTACATTTATTTTTTGATTCTTGTTCTTTGAATATTAATTATTATATAAAAATATAATATAAATTAAGTAACAAGACAAAAATACTTCTATTAATGTTTTATAATACAAATATAATGATTCAAAAGGTAAATGTAAACTTTCACAGCGGACAGAAAGAATATATTTTAGTCTTTCAAACTTTTTGTTTCATTTTCCTTTTTAAATTTAGGAATTTCAAAATTTTAAGACTTGTGTTTTTTTAAAAAAATATATTTACACATAGTTTTTGTCACATTATATTTTAAAAATAACATATACAAACATTAAAAGGTTAAAAAAAATATGTGTGTTCACCTAATACCATTATCTACATTATTTTTTTTATTGTAATTAAAAATAATATAATACGTATACATGCCACATGCTGCTTAAAAATAAAAAAGGTCAAATATCAATTTGAAAATTATTATTTATTACTATTATTATTATATTAGTAATATTATTGTTATTAAAATATTTAATTGGCGGCTTACTAAGGCCTTGGGCCGGTTGAATAAAGTGAAAAAGAATATATTTTAGGTTAGCGTGAATTTTGAAGATAAATTGAAATTAGTACAATTGTAAAAGATAAACCGTAACTTGAAAATTAACAAAATAAAGAAGAATTATAGAAAAAATATATATATATATAAATATAAAGAAGAATTATAGAAAAAAATAAAGGAATATGTATTTAATTTGATTTAACATTTTTTAATATATATATATATATTTTTAATAAATAGTAGTAGTAAAATCTGGACCAAATCCCCAATCAAACACATCATTAATTGAAGTTATGGCTGTGACTGAAATTTAAATTTAATTGTTAAGTACGGTATAATTCATAAATTAATTTATTAAAAATAATTCTTAAATATATATATATATATATATATATATAAATGTATTTACGAAGAGAAATTACAATAGAAGTCCTGCCTACGTTTCCACCAATTTGGCGTCTCTACAAAGCCACTATGTAAAAGTAAAATACAATATTCAAATAAATAAAATAAAATACAATATTCAATCAACGGTTCGAACTTAGTGCTATCATTATGACATTGGATCACAACTAAAATCACAAATATCGAAACAAGAAACCACATTAAATAAAAGATTCGTGGCGCGTTATTTTATTTTATTTTTTATTTTATATCTATTGACATATGTATATAGTTAAAATAGTTGTCATTCTCATTATATATATATATATAACATATTCAATTACTAATTAAGTAAAACATTAAGCACTAGTTATATTATATTAAAATTTGATTATTTTTTAACTTCAAATAAAAGTTTCAAACCTATATCAAAGACAACCTGTAGTTTACAATCAATTCAGTCAAATAAACAACTCAAAAAATATATTATATCACTCCACTGCTAATTTATTCATTTATTTGCAACAGAAATGAAAGAAAAATCACAAAAATATTTTTAGTGTCTTAATAATTCAAATTTTTTTATGATTTTTAGTATTAAAAATATTAATTTTGTATATATTTATATATAATTTGTCCTTCAAAACTATCTAAATTCATTATTATTTATTTAAATTTATTAGTTAAATATTAAATAAATTATAACATTTTGCCTCATTAGAATTTAAATATTAGTTCGTCACTAATAACAAATCCAAATGAATAGATTAGTGGTGGACGAATATAATAAATATTTTTTACAAGGAGATTGCACTGAATCCCATAAAGACGCAGAATCAACCTTACACCGCATGTGATGCTACACACGGGTCACGTGCCAATTCTTGTTATTGCAACATTAAAATAACACCCTTTTCCATGGATTGGAACAAGAACTGTATATAACATGACAGCTATTACTTATTTATATATATATATATTTGAATTACGTAATAATCCGCAGCTGCTATCCAAAAAAATTGAAACAAAATAATTTAGTAAAATTGATAGCCTCTTCAACACCTCACCTACACCAAGCAGGGTCGCTGTTGTTCCACTCTTTTAACCTCTAAAATGAAGTCATTATGTTGCAATTTATATTGAATTTGGCCTCAATTAGATTTGAGGGCTTTCATATATATAGTCCAGTGTATATATAATAATGTATTTTAAAATAATTTAACAATTTTTTTTCCGTTGATTGCACCGTACGTAGCATGAATCTTTTTATTAGTATAAAAATAATATATAATGATGGGGGTGGCTATAATATTTATTGAAAAAATTAAGCACAATGCAGATATCACATACTAAAGGTACAATGAATAAACAATATATTACAAACAACACATATTCTACCATCTCCGTATAAAAAAAAAAAAAAAAAAAAATTCTTATTGAGAGGACACAATATTTAAGAAATAATAATACTCCTATTAAATTAAAAATTATAGAATGCAAATGACCAAATTATCCTTGCTTTATAAATGATTTTAAAAAAAGATTAAAATGACAATTGTAGTCACATTTATGTAAATATTGTAGAAAATTAAAGATAATTTTGTTCTATAATGGAGATTACATAGTTTTGAAACGGAAGAATCCGATAAATATAGTTTTAATTGGGTTGGACACGAGATTTAAGGAACATTGATACTTCATCCGTCCCAAAACTATAGTGTGAGTTGTGTTTGATACAGATAAAAAAAATACGGGTAAAAGACCTTTTTGCCCTTGTGAGTGTATTAGTGTAAAAAGTAGTGATAATTGTGTAATAATAATGAAAAAAGTAAAGGTAATTTTATAGTGATATGATTATTTATGAAAATGAGGCTACTGTTTTGGGACGGACAAAAATAGTAAACAAGAATATAGTTAGTAAAAAGTATGGATAAAAGATTTTTTTACCTTTGTGAGTGTATTAGTGTAAAAAATAGTGCCAATTATGTAATAAAAATGAAAAAATATGGGTAATTTTATAGTGATATGATTATTTATAAAAATAAAACTATTATTTTAGAATGAAAAAAATAAGTAAACAAGATTATTATATTGGACTGGACGAGTATCACATAATTTTGTTGTTTTTACTATAAATTATGTGAAAATTAATTATAAATTGTACGATATTTGACTATGATATGTATTGTTCATTTTATATATGTTAACATAATATATAGTTGATTTTAACTCAATCTATAGAGAAAGACATTACAATTATGTGCTATAATTTAACATAATATATACCAAGTTAAAAAGCATATTGTGTTGATCCCATGTTATTTGTATGTCCACTCAACACAATATATAACTGATCTGATGCAACAATGATAATTGATAATGATAATATATTATATTATATTTAAATCTACAACAAAAGTTACATAATTATATAATAAATTTACATTAATGCATGTAACATTCACTACATTTGAATCCAACACATAAGCTAAGATGTCTGGGTAGACAATATAATTTAGGATAAGTATAATTAGTAGATAATTATAAATTAAAGTTAAGATAATTAATTAATTTAATTAAAATTAAAAAAATTTAAAAATTTAAAATGAGATTAAAGTGTATAATATTTTAAAAAAGGAAAATGATATGGGATGTGAGACGGGCAGAAACCGCAATGTGAATATAGTAGGTGGGATGAAAGGAGTATTACATAGGCTAATCGGGTCTTGATTAATCCTCAATTAGAATTCATAGCAAATTGTCGTTCCTGTAATGAAATGAAAGATACAATTCATTCTTAGTTGCACCATTTATTTTGTTAGAAGACTATATAATTACTAATAAATTTATTGTTTATTAATATAAATTTTTAACATTACATAATAATCATTAAAAAAAACATCTAAGTCAAAAGCACTGCACCTAATTATAAGCAAGCAAGAAGTACGCCGCAAATTAATTAATTAATTAAATGAGCTCGATCGTTCCATCCAGATTTCTTTTCGAAATCAGATATTGAACTCTTTATTGTTATTATTATTATTATATATAAACTCTCAACTACTGACAGCTTATTTATTAATTATTATGTAACAATTAATTGATTTTCTTGTAGACTGACTGACTGAGACAGGCAATGTCCCTGCAGATTCTGGTCGGAATCTTCTTCGGCGGTCTTGTTCTGCTATGGCCGGCGACCGTCGCCGGGGAAGACCGGTATGTGTACCTGAATTGGACCGTTGAGTATGGTGTCGTCTCACCGCTCAACGTCAAACAAAGGGTAAGTTGCAACTGCTCCAAGTCCGATGGCTAATGTTTCTGTTTTTTTTTTTTTTTTTTTTTTTTTTTTTTTTTGTTTTTTTTCTGGATAAATATATTTTTAGGTATATTAATTATGGGACAAATTTTACTTTTTATTTTTATTTTATTTTTGTCATTTTAGGAAAATATATATTCTCTCTCCTCTGCTGTGTTTTGTTCATTTGAGCTTAACACAAAATTTTAAAAATAAGTATTTTATTGAATAAATAAAAAAATAATAATTAAAAATGTTTTTAAAAATTTAATTAGTAAATAAAAGAATAAAGAGAGAATATAGTAAAATTACTAACATTTATTTATTAATAAAAAGGTAATAATGAAGTAAATTTAACGAATGTAAAGTTTATATATTAAATTTAGGATTTGTTTGTTTTGTATTATGGTTCAAATAATATTTTTTTATATATATACCAATGATAGGGAAGAGATCACTAGATTGAAGTAGAATTGAATCGTACATGAGAGTAACAAATATAGAGAATTGTGTGCATAATATAAAAATAATGATGATAAAATATTAACTTTGGAGAAAATATATTGCATAATTTTTTTTTAAAAAAATAAAAACACATTCTTATTTTTCAAATTAACATATTTTAAAAATATTAAAAAATAACAAAATACCACTGGAGCAACAAACTATTGCAAATATTCATTTTGTATTGTATGAAAATTTCATTTAATAAAAAATGATTGAAGATTTTCTTTCTCTTTCACACTTTAAGTTTCTAGTATTTATTTTGTTATTCTAGTTAGATACATATGTATATGACCGCGGTTATCAAGCTGCTAATAGTAAGTCATATTTTCTTCATGTCCTATTTTTTTTTTTTTTTAGGAACGTTGAATAATTATTGTCTTTTTTTATCTTTATACATAAAATTTACTCTTTTGTCTTTACTTTATATTTTTATTTTTTTTCTATACACAAAATAAAAAACAAATTTACCATTTTATAAAAAAACTAATGACCTAAAAATACGTGTAAATATCAATTAGAACATTAGTAAATGGACGGAGGGAGTATATAATATATTTTTATATAATATGCTATAAAACTATATCATATATTATTAAAATATATATATATATATTGCCTGTTGGGCTTAGTTTGCAGGGTATTAAATATGGTCAGAAATTTACTCAATAGTAATGACTGCGAGTCCCACATCATAAATAAAAAAAAATATATTATAGTCTCATAAGGAATGACCGATTGTTATTATGTATTATTAGATATAGGCTCTTTGTTTTTTAATACACGGAGTTTAATTAATACAATACTAACTGGATTTAATCAATACTTTAACAAAAGTTATATAAATATCTATACATATTTAAGAAAGAGTGAGTAAAGACCAAATGGAAGGCGTAGAACCCCACCTTATGGCAACATTGGCAAGTTAGGTCTGCTTTGACCAACCTAATATGAACAAGTAATGTAACAATTTTTAATATCAAATATTTAGCTTTTATATATTTATTTTAAAAATATATACTAACCTCCAAATCAATATTTGGTGCAAAAAATTTCCATCCATAACAGATCCAGCGGAACTACAAATTAATAAATACAGAATTATTTATACTCAACTTATACTTAAAAGAACCAAAATAACACACAAGACTAAGAATATGTTTTTCTTTTTTTTTTTAAAAAAAAATGTTAATTTGTCTGTTTTTACATTTTCAGGGAATTCTCATCAACGGCCAGTTTCCAGGCCCGACAGTTAACGTAACAACTAACGACAATGTAATAGTGAACTTGGAGAACAAATTGGACGAGCCTTTGCTCCTCACTTGGTAACTTTCGATATTCAACTTTCTTCATTACATCATATATATATATATATATATAGAAGATGAGAGATCGCGGACGTGATTCCGCCGGCGTTCAGGAACGGCGTCAAGCAGCGGAAGTCGTCGTGGCAAGACGGCGTCCTCGGAACGAACTGTCCGATCCCGCCAGGCTCGAATTGGACATACCGAATGCAAATGAAGGATCAAATCGGGACTCACACTTACTTCCCGTCCACGGCGATGCATCGAGTCGCCGGAGGCTATGGCGGATTCAACATTCTCGCCAGGTCCGTTATCCCCGTCCCGTATCCGAAGCCTTTCGGCGAATTCACCGTCCTCGTCAGCGATTGGTGGAACGAGGATCACAAGGTTGTCGTAATTTATCTGCTCAGTAGTAGTTAGTCAGACAACCGATTGTAATATCCAGACAACATTTTGTATGTGCAATAGGTGGTGCAACGAATCTTGGACTCGGGCCGGCCTCTACCGATGCCCAACGGGTTACTGATTAACGGGAAGGCGAATGCTACTTTCTTCGACGCCGTTCCGGGTACTTTAACGGGTTGAGATTACGATTCTCGTTTTCGATCTTTTATAAGCTGATCCAATTTTCGAAAATGTCGATTCAGGGAAGAGGTATCTGTTCCGAGTGTCGAACATTGGCATCACGGCGTCAATCAATTTCCGGATACAGAACCACACGTTGGTTCTTGTGGAGTGCGAAGGATCGCACCCTCTCCAACGAGCCTACGACTCGTTCGACCTCCATGTCGGGCAATCGAGCTCTTTTCTAGTCACCGTAGGCAAAGCTGGGGCATATTTTGTCGTTGCCTCCACCCGATTCACCAAGCCTACACTTACCGTCACCGGAATTCTCCACAGTCGGGGCTCCGGAGCCACCGGTGCCACCGTGTCCGAAACCGCCGCCGCCACCGCCCCCGGACCACTACCGGCCGGACAAACTTATCAAATCCATTGGTCGATGAAGCAAGCAAGATCCATCAGGTGAATCAAATAGTATTTTTAATGGGACGTTGGATTTGAAATTTTGATATTCTTATTTGCATATAATTCAAATACAAATATAACTAAAACTTCAATTTTCAATACTATATTCGTAAATATTCGACTCAATAAAATCATATTCTAACTCAAGTCGAATCAATAACATGAAAACTATCTTGAAATATGAAATTGAATACTGCATTATTCGATTTGTTTCCTTTACAAACAACCTAGTCATAACTCAAACTTCATTTCAGACAACAAACCAACATCATTACATACTTTCAGGTTGAACTTAACGGCGAATGCCGCGCGGCCGAACCCCCAGGGAACGTTCCACTATGGCATGATTCCGGTTGTAAGAACAATAGTTCTGCAAAACAAGGCAGCCGCCATTAACGGCAAGCTTAGATATGCCGTGAATGGCGTCTCTTACATCAATCCAGACACCCCATTGAAGCTGGCAGATTACTACAACATCGCCGGTGTCTTCATATTAAACTCGATCCCCGACAATCCGCCGCCGGCCGGCACCCCTGCCGTGCTTAACACGTCAGTTTTAGGCACTACATTGCATGATTTCGTCGAGATCGTCTTCCAGAACAACGAATCCACCGTTCAATCTTGGCATATGGACGGCCACAGTTTCTGGGCCGTCGGGTAAGCTATCTCCCGGAACCACAAATAATTAATCATAGTCATTCCCGAACGTAATTTACGACGTATTTTCTTGTCTGAACCGCAGGTTTGGGTGCGGCAAGTGGAACTCTACTCTCAGGGAAGAATACTACAATTACCACGACGCCGTAGTCCGGCATACTATACAGGTCCTAATTATATATATTCTCAGTTCAATATTATCAAATCAAATATTTATTTTTTAGTTTAATTATTTTATTATTCTCGAAGTAATAATACTGTATTCTGCAGGTGTATCCTCATTCGTGGAGTGCAATAATGGTGTCATTGGACAACAAGGGGATGTGGAATTTGAGGTCTGGTGTTTGGGGAAGAAGATATTTGGGACAGGAATTGTATGTGAGAGTGTGGGACGATCAACAGAGTGTGACCACAGAGTATGATATTCCAGACAATGCTTTCTTCTGTGGAAAGGCCAAACATTGATCATTTCAATTTATGAATAAAGGTATTGTTCCAATTTATGAATAAAAATTCAAGTTTAAACTTGGTTGTAACAAAATATTATACAATATTTATTTTTTATTATTTTGAAATAATTTCAAAAGTCTAAAAGTTGTATTTTTAAAGTATGATTTTGATATGTAACAACTCATCGAACTCTCTCCAAAACCATTTAACTTTTAAAGTTTTAAAAATCTTTGATAATAATAAAATATATTAATATTTAATTTATTTTTTAAAAATTGTTATTGATAAACAATTCTAAAAATTTATACATGAACACAACTATAAAAATATCTATGATTTATGAAAAAATTACAGCTGCTATTTCATCTATTACACAAAGATTAAAAAACATTTCAAAAATATATTTTAAACAAAACTTCAAGATTATGGAACACAACGGATGAGTTTTAGATGAATATATTTTTAATATTAAATATTTTTATGATATTTATAAAATATTATACGATAAAAATAATAAATTGGATTAACAAAGTGACCGTATACCAAACATCCTATTGAGTGATAGGCCAACAAATCGGTATAATTAATTAATTAGTTATTAATATTTATTACACACTAACTAATACAATCTGTGTACAAAGCTAAAATAAACGTGTTATCTAAATGACCGGCCCCTAATCGTGTCTATTGATGTAATAAGACGAAAGTTCCAGAACTTCCAGGCTATTTGTTTGTTAATATTTGGATTTTGCTAGATTTTTAAAAATTTAATATTTAGATTTTGCTTTTATTTTTTATTTTATTTTTTATGAAATATTTCATAAATCAATATTTTTATATCAAATTTAAATCAATTTTCTACAAATACACTTAAAATAATGTATTACAAAAAAGGGAAAAAGAAAGTTGTATAAAAACAGAGGTGATAAGGCGATACACGGAATATTACCATTTACCACAGTACAGTGAACCCACATTTATTAATTCCGCCGGCGCCGGCGAAGTTACAGCGGCGTGGGGACTGCCCGGAGGGGCTGCGCCTTCTGTATCGTAATCCCAAACTTCTCTTCCATGTCCAGCTCCTTCGGCTCAATCCCGCCGGCGAGCTTCCAGTCGAAGGAATTGAGTAGCGAGCCGAGCATGACCGGCACCATCCTCACCGCCAGGGGCAGCCCGGGGCAGATCCGGCGGCCGGCGCCGAACGGAATGAGCTCGAAGTCGCGGCCGCGCATGTCGATCTCCGATTGGAGGAAGCGCTCCGGCTTGAATTCCAGGGGGCTTTCCCAGGCGTCGGGGTCCCTTCCGATGGCCCAGGCGTTGACGAAGACCTGCGAGTTCTTCGGCACAGTGTAGCCGGCGACGGCGACATCGTGCTCCACCCGGCGAGGGATGAGGAACGGCACAGGCGGGTGTAGCCGCAGCGTCTCCTTCACCATACACCGGAGATACGGCAGCCGGGAGACGTCCGCCTCGCCGATCATCTTCCCTTTTCCGATCACCTCCTCCAGCTCCGCCTTCGCCCGCCGCATCGTCGCCGGATCCCTCAGCGCCTCCGCCATCGCCCACTCCACCGTGTTCGACGTCGTGTCTGTACCCGCCACGAACAAATCCTGCAAATTAAGCCGATTAATTCATACTACTGTTAATTATCAAATATAATATCAAAATATATATTTTACTTTTTAAAAATATTTTCACTCACGCTATTTTTTCACAATATTTTTAACTACGATTCTCAAAAAATAAAAATATAAATAAAAAATATAATATTTAATACAAAAATCAAATTATCATTATAAGAAAAATAAAAAAATTAAATATTTAATATAAAATAATATTCATTTATTTATTTATTTTTATTAAGTTTAAAGTATATTAGTATTATATTGATATATAGTTAAAAAAAATGATTAAAATTTTATTACTATTATGTGATATAAAAATAATAATATTGGTATGATATATTTTTTTTAAGTTATAAACATATTTGTAATATTAGGTATATAGAACAATTATTTAAAAAAATAATAAATATTTTATTATGGAACAAATAAAAAAAATAATTTATTATGAAACCAAAAAAAATATATTTTATAATTTCGACATAATCATCTGTATCACACATATTAAAAAACATATATATATTTTATATCAAAATATTATTAGTACTTTTTTTAATTTTAAATTTTTTAGAAAAATCATAAAATAAAAAACTCTAATTTAGCATAATTTAATGCTGTTGTTACCAGGCACATCCGTTCAATGTGGGTCCGGTCAATTTCGTCGGAGTTTTCTCCGAGGAGGACGTCGATGACGTCACCGGCGGCGCCGTTCTCAGACTTCCGGCTCTCAATCCTTTCATTAATCAGACCATCGAAAAGCTCAATCACCTTCCCGAAATGGATCGTCATACGACGTCGTATTCCTTGGGGATCGATTTTTTGAAGCACAGGGAAGAAATCGACCAGATTGGGCTTCCCGGCGTCAAGCATAATATTCCAGACAAGTTCCTTAAACTCCTTAGCAGAATCCGAGAACGGATCCGTCAAATCTTTCGAAAAAATCGTGTTCGACAGCAAATTCAGGGACGTACGGAAGGCTGCCCTCCCGACATCCACCGGCTCCCCCGTCTGGCTATTTTTCCGGCAGTAGGCAATTAGCTCCTGAACTTTCCGGCGCCGGAGATGCTGGTTGGCGTCAAGGCGGCTGCCGGCAAAGATGTTCGAGTTCATCACTTTCCGGAGGCTGCGCCACCGCGACGCCACCGGAAGCCACACGACGGAGTACCGGAACTGGTCGTGGGCGTGGATGGCGTCCGGCACCGTCCGGCTGGAAAACGCCATGTCCTGTTTCTGCAAGACCTCTTTCGCCATCGCCGACGAGGAAACGACGACGGTGTTGATGAACCCTAGCCGGAGACACATCAGCGGGCCGTGGCGGCGGGCGAGTCCGGCGAGGGATTTGTGGGGCTGGTCGCCGAGGAGGTGGAGGCTGCCGACGAGCGGCAGCGGCGTCGGTCCCGGCGGCAGGTTTTTGGACCTGGCGGAGGCGACTTGGAGGGCCTGGACTACGGTGAGGATGAAGAGTAACAGGAGGAAGACGACGAGGAAATCCATGGCTGTCGGGATTGAAGAATCGGTTCCTCGTCGCTGTGTTAATTATAGTTGTCGTTTCCACTGCTCGTGCTCCTCGAGATGTATTTATAATTCGGGAAAGTCAAATGTGAGCCTTTTTTTTTTAATTGTTTTTATTTCATGTGGACAGGACAGAATTAACGAGATCTGCATTTACAAATTTAATAATGGAAACAGAATCAAATAGCTGGTCGTATTTTCTGTTTAGTTAATTAGGGGTTGTTTGATTTTGATTTAGTTGAAATCGAAATTATTACCGATCTCGGACAGTCAAAATTATGTTGCTTTACATCGTGTGCTGTTAAGCAATTTATAGTATTATTATAAACAACGTAATATAATACAAATACACCACATATTGAACAAAAAATATTATGGTTTTAACAACACACAATATACTACAGACAATATATTGTACATATTAATATAATATAAATACAGTACATGAACTAACAACACATTTTATAGTCTTATACAATACACATCAATTGATTTTAAAATATAATATACTTGTATACAACATATCTGTTATAACTAAAAAACAATACATATTTTTATTATACACAGTATGTGTTGTGTATAATACTAATGTACGTTGTTTGTATATATAAGACATGAATTGATGTGAAAAATCAACACCGTATTTATTTTCACATCAGCACCGTAACCGTCCTCTATTTTTAAATAATTATATCCACTACAGTTTTATTATTTATTTTAATAAATAATAATTAATCGACATGTACTTTTTTTCCTTATCCTATTAAAATTTCTTTAATCAAAGGCTTTTTCGCCTTCTATAGTTGAAATTTATTTAGGTACAAGCTCGGAAAAGTCATTTTTCTTCAGCCCCAAATGTAATAAAATCAATCCTGAAACATCTGCAAACCACATTTGAAACAAATAAGTATATGGTCAATAATCATAAAATATAAAGAATTACTTGCGAGCCAAGGGTTGATCAGCAGAATTGCTGACATAAAATTGACTATGTGCTAAACAACACTTTTGACCGTTCCAATTTTTATTTTTCTAAAAAAATATTTTAATTCAAAATTTTATTATTCAAAATTAAAATATTAATTATAAAACTAACGTACAAACAAACTCTGAGGATAAAAAAACCTCATATTTAAAGAAGGCATTGAACAATACAACAAAAATGTACGCAAAATGTTCATCCAAAAAAGGCTCTCATAAGCATGTTTGCAACCTCTACTTCTCTACAAAAGAAGAACACATAAAGATAAGTCGGATTTTAACCCAAATTTCAACCCAATTTTTGGCAAAAACCCAATTTATTAAAATTAAATAATTTTATAAATATATTAATGAATAATCAATGTATGTAATAAAATGTACACACCATGCATATCCTAAATAAATAAGTATAAATATGGTAGTAGCTCTATCCAAATCGTTTGTATTGAAATTCAACATCATAAATTCTAAGACTAATTTTTTTGTTTTCAATAGAAAGATAAGTTTAAATTCTTGATTATGCATAAAAGAATTATTCTAATTCTATTTAATATTAATATAAATTATTTTTTCAAAAAATTGCACAAAATATAATTATATAAGTATGAAATAAAATTTCATTGAACTATAATAAATTTTTAAAAAACTCAAAATATCGAATTTGGTCTAATACTATTTACATTAGATTGTGCTCAAACATATGTTCTTACTTCTAATTTGAAATCGGGCAAACCTATCCGCGCATATTCAAAATCAAATCAGGTTAGGCTGACACCAAAAAATTTTACATATAATTTTACTATTTTGATGTTTTAAATAAAAATAAAAATAATATAATCAAACACACGTTGTTTTTATTATGTTATATTAAAATTAAATTTTATATTCAAAATATTATATCAATATATATTCATATCAGATAAAATAACGCTTCAATTCAAATTTTCACTATTCAAAATCAAAATCTTATAAATAAATACATGTTAATTTCAATTTCTCTCTATAATTTATTATAAAAATGTATTATTTATTCTAAAAATATATATCACATTATATGCCTAAAGAAAAAAGATGGTGAATTATTTTATATTTATATTTTTAATTTAACTTTTTTGAGTGAAAATTTATTGATTACTTATTTATTTATTTTCCATAAAAAATGAAATGGAAAGACCCAAAATGCTATGGCAGTTAGTGGAACCTCGTTCTCCTCGTTTTACGAGCATATTCTTTATATTTAAATTCATATAACTACTATAAATTTGGCACTAATTTCCTACCCCCCAAAAAAAAACATTAAAAATAACATAAAATAATTAGACAAATTAAAATGGTCGGCACGGCGGCGCAGCATTTCGTGGCGGTGCACGGCGTCGGGCACGGCGCGTGGGTGTACTACAAGGTGAAGCCCCGCATGGAGGCCGCCGGTGTGAGGTTTACTCCGGTGAGCCTTGCCGCTGCCGGGAACAATGGGAAGAAGCTGGAAGAGGTGCGGTCGCTGCACGACTACACGACGCCGCTGCTGGAGGTTTTGGCTGCCGTCCCCGCCGGCGAGAAGGTCGTGCTTGTGGGACACAGCGGCGGCGGATACCCCGCCGCCTACGCCATGGAGAAGTTCCCGGAGAAGATCTCCGTCGCCGTCTTCGTCAATGCTCTCATGCCTGACACCAAAAACCGGCCATCCTACGTCATTGATGAGGTCATTAATGCTTAAAAAGGAAATGTAAAAAATAATTTGATTTTGTAGTTACGGGTTTAATAATTTAATTTTATAAATAGATAAGTTATTCACTATGGATACAACTTAAACAAAAGAGAAAGTTCACATTGCATGCATATATATATATATTTATATTTTCATATATTCTACAAAAATTAATTTTGGTACTAATATATAATTATTTTTAATAAAATAAAAAAATATATTTTAAAAAAAATATTTTGAATTAAGAAGTATTCTTGGACAGTACCTGGCGAGGACTCCGCCGGAGGCTTGGATGGACACACAATTCCCGACCTACGGGGATCCGCCAATCACAGCATTGGTGGTGGGCCCCAAGTTCATATCCGACTCCCTCTACAATTTGTCTCCAGTTGAGGTATGCTAATGTAGCTCTCCGCTTTCGAATTTATTACAGTAACCGCACCAACTGTAGAGATGGCTACTGTCGGGATGGGATGCATGTAGGACCAGGCGCTGGGGCACCTGTCGGTGAGGCCAGGCTCGCTGTTCATGGAAGACCTGGCCACTATGGACAAGTTTTCCGACGACAAATTTGGGTCGGTGCGGCGGGCGTACATTGTCGCGGCGGACGACAAAACTATTCCGGCGGAGTTCCAGCGGTGGCTGATCGAGAACAATCCGGTGGCGGAGGTGAAGGAGATCAAAGGCGCCGATCATATGCCGATGTTCACACAGCCTGACGCCCTCTGCAAGTGTCTGCTTGAGATCGCCCAGAAGCACGCCGCCTGACCGTCCGACGGCCTGCCGGCGGACGGCCGGGATTGCTTTTATTTTTCTCGATGCTTCAATTTCTATGTCAGCACTGAGACAATAATGATATCACGGTTTTATTCATTAAATTTAAAAAGGAACTCTAATTCCAATTAAGAATTACAATGATGAAATCTGCTGCAAATCTAAATAAGCCATTTATATAATAAAAGTTTATACTTCTATTTTAAAAAGTCTATTAAAGTATTTATAATTTTCTTTTTTTGATACTCAAATATCCTTTTTCTTTATCTATACCCATACAATTTATAAAATCCTAGCAAACAAAAAATAAGTACAAAATAATTTAAAAAACTACCAAAATTATTCAGTATTGTAAGAGAATTGGAGCATAAGAATGAGCAGTTCTTACTCCTCAGTATCCAGTCCCATTGCTGCATCCAAGCAAAATATTGGACATGGCGCCGCAAGGATGTTGCCGAGGCCAAGCTCGATGTTCCTACACGATCTGCAAAGCAACGATGCGTTCTAAGAAGAAACAGTTGGAGAAGAACAAGTGAAGGAAGCACAAACACTGATCAAACGATGATAAGCTGTCGACGCCTTGAGATCGTAAACAAATGTGCCTACTTCTTGATTTTGAAACAATAGGGCAGCAACATTGCAGAAATTTTACGGATTTCCGCAGAGCTCCTGGAACTTCGACAAACTGCAATTCCCAATTCCCAAATATGTCAGCGCTGGAAACCGATAGTATAAAACTCTTTGAGGTAATGAGAGAAAGCAAATGTACCGTCGCAGAAGCACTTGTGGATTATACAGAAACAGATTCTTTTGGTGAAGATTGCTGATAGACGCTCGCAGCGAAAGTAAACAATCTCTAGCAGCAGCGTGTGGTTCGTTTCTGCTGGCTGTCTGACTTTCATGAAATCGAGCTCGTTTAGTATCTTTGCATTCTGCAATAGCTTTGTGGTCCTTTGGACTTGATTGACCTGAACTCTCTTCCAGCTCTGGAAATTCCGTGAACACGGTCCATGAATCGCAGACGATCCGCAGTGACCTGGAAGATCCTAGTAAAGTCAGCAACAGTACGACTTAAGTCTGTTAAAAAACTTCGATAAATTTTGGTTGCATACCTCAATAGATATTCGGCGCATCTTGATCCAGTGTCTTTTGAAATGAGATAGTCTAGAAGAACTTGATGATCATAATGTATCTGCTAAGAAGTAGGGCTTAGATCGTTCGGTACTTTGTTATTTATGTGGCAAGGAGCATGAAAAATGTGATAGAGCACAAGAATAACCGACAATAGAAATCGATTTTCTATGAAGACAGTACCTTAGCGAGAAATAAATGGAACAGATGGATAGGATGAAACAAGTCGGAAACAGGATCTGCCGGAGTTTTTACCCCAGCAAGCTGCTCGTCTTCAACAGCCCTGTAAAAACCATGAATTTTTCATCTGTAGCATTCCAATAAAAACTTCGAAGATGTGGAACTTGCATCACTTACGGACGCTTATGAGAAAAGGGTGCGCGAAGCAGTTCCAAGAGCATTTCAAACAGAATATCATCCTGCAAATAAGGCAACGATGAATGAGCAAAAATCCCAACGGCATTAGAAAGGACGTGGAAATCGTGAGTATACAAGTGTATCAACGCACCTCATCCATAAATAGCTCGAAGAAGGATAAACTAAACCTCATGCATCGATCAAAATATGATTCATTGATCGCAGTCATATCCGCAGGTAAGTGGGCTTGAATCCATTTATGGATCTCTGTTAGATCTACACATTCTGAACTCGAATTTGTGTCCTTCATCAAATTCAGGGAACACTTCAAGAAAAGGAACACAGCAAGTCTTTGCAAATGGCGAGAGGACATGCTTCGCTTTCCAAGATCACTACAACTCGTGCAGAATGGCGAGCCTTCCAGAGAACCATCCGGATCAGATTTATTCCCACACAATGGTTGTAACAATAGATCTTCACAGTACTTATGAAGTAGATGTATCCATGTCGTGAGCGTAGCTTGCTCAATGTCAGCACTAGAACTAAGCTTGATCATTATCATCTGGTTTTTCAACGTTGACTCAATTAGGCATTGTGAGAGATAGTTCATCAAGTGAAATATAAGCACAACAATATGAAAGCAAGATGCGAAATCTCAATATTCATTATATGTTTCAATATCATCGGTGTTGTGAATATAATGAGGATCAAGCAACAGCATCGAACAGAGCAGTTTCCTGCAAAAAATTCACAACTTAAAGAGGCAATATGCATGCGGATTTATAATTAACTTCAGAGACTACCATTGCTCAGAGAAACAGATTTATACGAAGGTTGAAGTATAACATCGAAGCACAAACAGAGGCAGTATGAATGCGGATTGAATAATTAACTTCAGAGACTACCATTGCTCAGATAAACAGATTTTTACAAAGGTTGAAGTATAACATCGAAGCACAAACAGAGGCAGTAACCAAGCAAAGCAAACACGATCCATTTTTATAACTAAAATCAACATCTAACATCACAATTATGCAGAACATTAGATGCAGCTATTTACCAGCACTTTATGCCTGAAATAATGAAATATGCGGGCAGGATGAGGACTTTGAAACTCTGCATGGCTCCATGCTAGAAGCTTAGGGACTAGGTCAGTGATTTTGCAAATGACTGGCGTAAAACCAAATTTGTCTTCCACAGATTTAAATTCTAAAGCAACCAAGGAACACAGGAACTGAATGAAATTTCCAAAGAGCACTGTTGTCTCTCTGGGTTGGGTAATCTCCATTTGCGCTGCAACATCTGCTTTAGATCCTCTATGAGCTTCCATATTATGACCAACATAGATCTCAAGAAACATATCCCAGGGTGAATTTAACATTAGAGAGCTGACAGAATTGAGATATGCAGTCAAAGGTTTTTCATCATAATCTCTCTTCAGATTTTTCAGTATGTTTCGGAGACTTTGCAAAACAGTAGCCACCACAAACGAATCTGCATTTTTCAGTTTCAGCTTCAACTGAGATGTTGGGGCGAATTGCTCAAATTCTAGAAAACTGGTTTCTGCCGGACAAGGACTTGAAGCAGAAGGAAGACAATTACGGATAGCCAATTCCAAACAAAGGCACATCAAATGCACGAAATCATCCCAACCACTGTCCTGCAATCGAAACATATACAAGGAATCGCAAAGCTGAATTGAGAAATGCAACAATTTCCAGGGATCATAAGGCAATGTAGAACATACTGTCGCAAGAACTAACTCAGAAATGGCCGCGAGCGTGTTCCCTGCTAGTTGCCGAACAAACTGGCTGTCGATAGACAGCACAAACATCTGCAAACATATCGATAAAGTATTAATGCTTGAGACACAAATACAAGCTCATAACTCCAAATCAATTTGAAATTTGCTAGGAAATATTGATTAGCAGAACAATCCAATTTGGTATTAAGATCAAACCTATGGCACAGAACTTCAAGCTAGTGAAATTAGCCTGCAAATAAACTTTGGAGCAGTGAAACAATGAGTTGGCAGAGGAGAAGAACGCCTCACCAAGTCACCAATGACTGTAGCCAAGCAATGACGATTGTCCAAATATGAAGCTGTTGCACCAGAACAATCACCAGCACCAAGAGATTCGGAATCGCATTCATCCACCCACTGCTTAACTTGTCTAAAAACCTTACGTAGTTATTCAAGCTTCAGAATTTCACTTAAAATTGACTGTAAGGGAAAATCTACAGCAGCAATATATTAACCTTAGATAGAGGTATCAGAACGGCATCTTTATCTTCGTCAGTGTGAGAATCGGCCACAGAATTCTGCAAAATGCCCAAAACATAAGAAAATCGGTAATAGAGATTAACTGCGCAGAAGGATGGGAAAGTGTGGGTGAAATGACTACACGAAAAGAACGAATGGATTCGCCGAGGAGGTTGCAGAGACGCGTGAGCTGTGGCTTAGGGCACATTCTCCGGCGGCCAATTTTCTCAGTTTCTTCTTAAATGGATGAAAGAATGATTTTCTCTATATATTATAAATAAATAAATACATACACACATTGAAAGCTTCTTAAGTGGTCCTTGTGATTATTTATATATATATATTGAAAGCCACTGAATTAGGGTTTCTTTTTTTATGCCACGATCACCGCCGCAGAAAGCTTCTTCCATAGCCGCGACGCTCCTAGTTCAAAGATGCACGGCGACAACCTCCCTTCGGAGAGCGCGTCAGCTCCACGCCTACCTTCTTACCACCCAACGCTCCCCAAACGTAACCGAATCGTTTCTGCACAACAACATTCTGTTCATGTACGCCCGATGCGGTTCTTTCGAGGACGCTCACCAAGTGTTCGACAAAATGCCTCAAAGAAAAGTCGTCTCTTTCAACGCCCTGATCTCTGCCTATTCCCGTAGCCGGCACCACGCTCATTCGGCTTTCCCTCTGCTCGATCGGATGCGGCACGAGCTCTTCTCTTACAACGAATTGACAGCCACAAGCATTCTGCAGGCCTCCGCCGTAATTGGAGACCTGGCCGTTGGTTCTTCGCTGCACGCATGGTCCTTGAAATTGGGATTTTTGGATAATGTCCACGTCCAGACATCTTTACTCGGGATGTACTCCAAGTGTGGGGATGTGAATTGTGCCGAGAAAGTTTTCATTCACATGATCGATAAAGACGGCGTGGCGTGGAACTCGATCATCTCTGCATACGCGAAGAACGGCAGATTTTTGAAAGGTCTTCAAGCTTTTGGGAAGATGTTAAGAAATGGTGTTCAAGCTTCCTCAGTTACGTACTCATTGCTGTTGAATGCTTGTGCCAAATTCGAAGATTATGATCGAGGGAAGCTTGTCCACGCACAAGCATTGCTACAGGGCATCTATGCCGATTTGCCGTTGCAGAATGCGCTTCTCGACATGTACTGCAGCTGCCGCAACACTGATGCAGCTTTTGCTGTCTTTGCAAGAATTAACAATCCTGATTTGGTTTCGTGGAACTCAATGATGGGTGGGTATTCGGAGAGTGGAGATGGAGAGAAGCTAATGAATATGTTTGTGCAGTTGTTGCGAGAATCGCCTTTCAAACCGGATGAGTATACGTTCCTAGCTGTTGTTTCTGGCACAGTTGGATTCCCGGCTCGTGCTTGCGGGGAACCGGTCCACGCGTTAATTGAAAAAACAGGGGTTAGTGGAAATGTGTACGTTGCGGGTGCTCTTGTATCGATGTATTTCAGGAACGATGATTCCTTGTCGTCGCAGAAGATATTTAGTTTGTGTGCAGATAAAGATTCTGTTCTTTGGACGGATATGATTGCCGGGCATGTTAAAATCGGTGAATGTGAGGATGCCCTGAAATTCTTCCATGGAATGTACCTCGAAGGTTGCGACCTCGACAGCTTTGCGCTGAGTAGCGCCTTGAGTGCGTGTGCTGATCTTGCGACATTAAGACAGGGGGAGATGATCCATTGTCTGGCCATCAAGACCGGAAGTGAAAGCGAGGATTGTGTGTGCAATGGTCTGATTGATATGTATGCTAAAAATGGGGAACTCAGAGCTGCGGCGCAGATGTTTTCTTGCCTGCCTAACGGCGACTTGATGTGCTGGAACTCGATGCTTACGGCATTCGGACACCATGGAATGGCGAAGGAGGCGTTTCAAATATTTTACCAGATGCTAAAGCGCTGGCATTTGCCTGATCAAGTGACGTTCCTATCTCTTCTATCTGCTTGCAGCCATTGCGGGATGGTAGATGTGTGCAGATATGTATGGAACTTGATGGATGAGCACAGCCTGCAACCGGGGCGCAAGCATTATTCGTGTGTGATAGGTTTGTTGAGTCGAGCCGGGCTGTGGGAGGAGGCTGAAGAAATGATCAATCGATCGCCTTTTCGAGAAGATTATGTTGAATCGTGGAGAATGATCCTGAGCTCCTGTGTTAGGAGAGGAAATCTGCAAGTAGGAATCTACGCGGCCGAGAAGATATTGAGCGTATGCGTGGATGACTGTGCGGCGAATATTCTGATTGCGAAACTGTATGCTGCATCAGGGAGATGGAATGATGTTAAGGAGACTTGGAGAAGAATGAGGCATTTGATGGTGGAAAAAGATCCTGGATTGAGCTGGATTGAAATTCAGAACAATGTTCATGTGTTTGGTTCTGGAGATCAGAGTGGTGAAATCAAAGATGTGTTGGGGAAGATGATAATGGCAGAGGAAATCGAAGCATTTTGATCTTAAACAGAGTGTTCATGGCGGATGGAAATATTAATTAGTAATCAACAATCTGCAGGGAAAAGATGCAAACTGCAAAACCTAACGACCATGGAAAACCTTGAGGTGTACTTATCGGACATGGATTGCCTTGCCCCTAACCTAATTCTCCACATTACAGTACGGACATGGAAAGCTCGATCATATTCATTTTCATTTTCATTACAATCTTTGTTGTTGTTCTATTTCATGAAATTTCCGGGCGTGGAAATGGCGAGATCCGGTAAAGTGAAGCAGTCGCCGCCAGCAACGAGTCCAGCCTCGCCATTCTCAAACTGCCACGTGTGCCCTACCATGCCTGATCCCATAACGTTACCGGCGCCGGCGTCGCCTCCGTTCTCGGCGACGCCGGGAATTGGGCAGAATGCCCTTCCGAGCCCGAAGCCCATATCGTCGAGTCCAGGCCCGAGCCCGAACCCGAGTCCGCCTAAGGCTAAGAGGCTCGTGCCTTGGTTGCTCAGAAGGTTCGTGAAGCTTCCGCACATCTTGGCGTCGGTGGCGAACGGAGTCGCGCCGCCGTGGTCGACGGCGGTGGCTAAGGGGACGAGGAATGGAGAGGCGGCTACGGGGTAGTTCCGGAAGTCGTGATGAGGGGAGGAGAAGAGGGCGGCGGCGGCGGGGTTGGCGGAGACGGAGGAGATATTAGTGCGCGATCTCTTGGCGTTCTTGCGGCTGCCGCCGCCGACGGGGATGTCGCGGAGAGTGCCCCCGTGGGTCCAGTAGCGGCGGCAGGATTTGCAGAAGTGGCGCGGCTGAGAGAAGTTGTAGTTGTTGTAGTAGCAGAACTTGGTGTTGGTTGAGTCGCAGCGCGGGCAGGGCAGATGCTCCGGCTCCGGCGGTGGCGCGCCGACCTGGCTCTGCCTCGCGCCTTTCCTTTCGGCTGCGTCCGTCGTCATGTTTTTCTCTCTAGCTCGGTCGGCTTGGCAGTTTGGTCGTCTCGGGGGGGTTTTATGATGGAGTAGTAAGAGAGAGAGAGAGAGAGAGAGAGAGAGAGAAGGATTGGTGTGTGTGAGCTGAGCTGAGCTGAGGTCTGAAAATGAGGAACAGCTTTTTGCAGAGGTAATTGTTGAGAGGAAGGCATGCAAACAGTCGGCTGGAAGCAGGCTTTGTTTGGGTCGGCTCCTAAATGGAGGAATATCTGCACCTTTATATAGTGTTTATTTGTTTTAACTTTAAAATGAAGGTGAATGAATTAGTGAATGTCCGAGGTGATGATGATAGAGTGGGTATGCTTGTCTCACGTATATAATCATCTATCATGATTAAGGTAAGGTAATTAATTAGATACCCTGTGATTGATTATTAGTGAGAGGGGTGGGGTGGGAAAATGACGAAAGAAGTTGAGTGATGGAGGGAGGAATAAGTTGATTGATGAATTGGGGTGGGAGGGGACAGAGAGGGGATAGTATGATGGATGTCGGAATAGCGTGGGTGGATGATATCTGATCCTTCAGAACAGAACAATTATTGGATAGGGATAGGAATAGGAATGGGAATGGGAATAGGAATAGGAGTAATAGTAGTAGCTTCTGCATCTCCCGTCGTTTTCTGAGACTCAGACTGGGACTGATAGCAGTAGCAGCCGAGCCGGATTTCTCGTTCCTGTGTTCCCACCCCACCTACTACGTACCAGTACTACTACTACTACTAATCTGCAAATTCTATATATATGTATGTATGTATATATTCTCCCTGCATCACGCCCCTCCATTCGTACAGAATCAATCCATGCATGCACTAGGTCACGCGCACAGCACGCCCCTGTTCCCACGACTGTTTCCCACACTACTTACATCTCCCATGCAATATTTTTTCTTTTTTTTTGTTTTCGATAGAGCCTCTCCTCCCTCTCACATAAAATTTGTCATTCATCATAATGCATTGCTTCAATTATTTGTAGCCATAAAAAAGTACATGCCCTCTGTTGTGTACTCCATCATCAATACATACAAACATATGCAAACACAACATATGTGTGTTTCTAGAATCTGAGACCAGACCTGGTCGGATAATCTGATAGGAGTATATGTAAAGCACGCCCGGCCACAATGACTTCTGACTACTGATCTCAAAGCTTCTTCCCGGAGGTCTGCACATTTCAGATTAATGGCAGGCAGGTCATTGTTGTGTTGGGTGAATTTGACTACTGACTTCATCTCCTCTTGTCTTCTATATCTAAATATATATATATATATATATATATATGTAAAAATTTGTCTTCTGTTTGTTCATAATTTTGCTTTACAGCAACACTGATTATGGAGGATATGGCAAGGCAAGCATGGAGTTTGGTGGGCCCCTACCCTACCCCACCCTGGTTATTGCCTATCTTTTGTCCTCTTGTCCGAGGAGGGAATATAATCCTCTTTTTGTCCACTCCAGACCCAATTCTGTCACTGTAGCCTATCGACATGTCAGAAAATAGAGACAGGTGTTGTATGTTTGAATGCTCCACTTTCTGGCCCGCCGTAGCCGTTCTTAATCCAACTTCTTTCACATTCCAAACTTTTAATTCAGACATTAATTACACACAGACAGACTTAAAAAGTATCATTAATAGATCGTCTGAGAAAAATCACACCAACATAATTTTTCTTTTTTCTTTTTTTCGTTTACAGAAGATGATCGGATCAGAGGTCCCGGAGCTTCCGGAGATTCATCGGAGTTATATATCTCTCGTCGCCGTCGACGAGCTGCTTGGCGATAATAAGGTTAGCAGCCTCGCTGGGATGGTACGGATCCCAGAAAACGTGCTTGTCCCTGTCCGTACACATGCTGGATGTCGGCCCGCACGGAATTATCCCCGCAAACTGGCCGCCATTGCCGCAGCAAGCTTTGCTCGCGCTTACAAACCCTGTAATAAAACCTAATTAATTAGTTCCGACAACAATCTGATTAATTCGATTCTGACTAATTAATACAATCAATTACCGACCATATTTGTCATAATTTGTGATGAGCTCCATGACCAGATCGTAGACATTGGCGTGGACGAAGGTAGCTCCAGGCAGATTCTCATTAAGCTCCTTAACAAGATCTTGCAATCTGGCGTTGTACTGAAGAGCAAGTTTGTTTGGCAGCGCAACGCACTCGGTTTCGGACAGCTGATTGATCGTTTTCTGATATGGAATGCATCCGATTGGGCCCACGTTTCCGACCACGAACTTCCTCGCATCCAGACGGTACAGTCTCTGCATGCAATTAATTAATTAATTGATTGAATCATCGTAGTTGATCGATGCAATTGATGAATTAACTGTTCGAGGGTTTTGAGGTTGTACTGTTAGCTGTCCTCGGAGATGGCTGATGAGGTCGTCGACGAAGGCGTTGGGTGTCTGCGTGATTCTTGCTCCCATGGAGACGACGGGGAGGAGATAGTTGTTGAGGAAGTCGTTGGAGCCGATGGTGATGGAGAAGATGGATCTTTTGTTGATGTATTCTTTGGCCTTCGATGGTCCCAGGAGTTTGTCGATCTGTTTTCTTGTAATGTTGAAGTAGTCCACCTGAATGTCCATGGATAACCTGTTCACCTGCAAATTGGGATATAATAATGATATGGATTCTATCATTATTAATTACTATTTGATTACAGTATTACTCACAAATATTCTGCCGGTGGCGTTCATGATCCCTCCGCCGCCGGAGGCGTAATTGACGCCGTGTAACACCACCCTCCCCGTCGTGTTCGGCGCAAGAAACGGCAATGCGTAATGCGGCTGTCCTAATTCCTCCCCTGCATTGATTGCGTCGTATACTTGAGTGTATTCACTTAGGTCATGTTCTCGTTGATTTTTCAATATTTTTTTCTATTTGATTAATTTTCTCTCCTAATTATCAAATAAAATACTTAATTTTTTTTGTTATGTATGTTAAAATTTAATTTCATATTTTAAATATTATATCAATACTTATTTTATTACATCAAACAATAATTCAAATTTAAAATTTAAAATTTTACTGTCATAAAATTCAAACACTCAAAGAAATATGGACATGGATCAGGTGTTGAATTTAAATTCATTCAACACCTAATGCTAAATGCCTTATAAATTAATTACTTTTAATTATATTAATTATAAAAAAAAAAGTTAATTATAAAATTAATATATTACATTCAAAGGCATTCAGCATAATTAAATCAGCACTCAATCCATCCTCAACAAATATACCCTTAATAGTTTATTCTTACATAATATCTCAAAGATATTAAAATATATATATATATATTAACAATAAAAATCAATAAAGGATACAAGAAATTATACTATAAAACTTTCAAGACGTTTACCTCTCATAATAAAAACATTTGAAACTATTTTTATGCATACTTTAAAGATTTTGATATTATTCATTAAAAATAATTTTTAAAAAAAAGGAAAAAAAAATACCGGCAAACACACACACAAGTGGTAATTTTTCTTACTTCTCCCCTTGCCGGAGCCCATGTATCATTATGAATCTCCATTTTTTAGATTGATAAATCTTTTGAATTTTATTAATTGAAGAGATACGATTTTACATTATAGTGAGTTTAGCATTAATTAATAATATTTTTTTAAAAAAATATCACATCAACTATTAATTTATATTATTTTTAATTTGTTTTTCAAAGCTTCAAAAAGCATTATCAAAATTCCAGTAACTCTTATGTAAACAAACCTTAACACAATACAATACACATGTAATAAAAGTTGCATAATTATATACAAATCATACCAACAATATCTCCTATTGTTCTTCCATTAGTGTATCGCCCCGTCGGGCCACCTCCGGAAGCCTTGAAATCAATGCCGTTAGGCGCAATATTAGCCCGCGACAATGTAGGCAAGTAATTGTTATTACCGGCATCGACTAAAGAATCGCCGAAGATAAATGAGGCCCCTTTGGACAATTCCTCATCGGTTTGCGACACCCCTAAAGAGATCAAGCTCAAGAAGAAGATGATCACTAGTAGGCCAAGAGTGTGACAAACTTTCAAGGCCATGTTTAGGCTTTAGGTGTGAATGTGTGCATTTACAGTAAAGGCACAAGTCCAATGGATGATCATATATAGTGGAATGGAAGAAGACAAACATATGTTGTTGGGAAAACTTGTAAGAATGGATGGAGTTGTATTCTGGTATGACCCTTTGGTTCTTGCACTATGGAAAGTTAATGAAGTTTCTGGAGTTAGGTTATCCATTGAAGCTGCCTTGTCTGATTTTCTTCAGTTAATCAAGAAATGGGAAGTCAAACTAAGTGAGCATTTTTTCTTATGTTCATTAATTAAATTAATCAAGAAACGTGATTGGTTGAGGTTAATTGGAAGTTAGTTAGTGGGCTTTTTGATAAGGCCCAAGAGAGTCAGCCCAATAAGCCTAAGGGTATTTTCGTCACTTTAGTAGGCCGAGTCTCCCTAATTCCGAAGCCCTAGTAAAAATGGCGGGAGTCCCACCGCCTCTGTAATGTGACCGTTAGAGCACTGTCGCTACATATGTCGGGAGTCTGAGATTTTATCGGAGGGAGCTTCGGAAACTGTAGGATTTCTGGAAAGGGGAAAAATGGTGGAGATGGATGTCTGTGCTCCTTGTGCTTCGGACTATGAACTTTCCAGAGAGGAGAGAATCAGGGAGAATCGGGAGAGAATGCGGAAGCTTGGGATTTTTAATCTTTCTGATAAAGTCAAGTCTCTCAAGCCTGCTATGAATGGAGCCTCTCGTCGGAGAGTTTCTAAGAGAGGGGATCGTTCTCCTCTTCCTCAGCCAGGATCCGTCCGTCGCTCTTCCAGGTCAATACAAGTTTCCTTTTTCGTTTGTCGTTTGAGTTCTTCCTCATTTTCTCAAATTATGATTTATATTTTTTCTGTTTCATGGATAAAAACTTGCTTGTTGTAGCTTCGTTCGTTGTTTATACCAATTTGGGGTTTCAACTGCCCAATGAGGAACTGATTTTTTGTATTGGTTTTGGTTTTTGTGGTTTACTTTGGAAGACGATACTGAAGTACGGTGAACTGATTTTTTTTTTGAATTAACTGATGCATAGACTTCTTTTAGCACGGGTTGTGTTTCATTGGATAACCTTCGTATCTTAACTAATTGATAATCTGCTTGAAAAATGAGTAGTACTGAATGTTAGATATGCGATGATTCCTTTGTTTTTCGGCTGTGTATGATAAATGCCAGTCTTGTCTTTTTGGTGTAAGTGTAGGCTTCAGAACTCGACGCCAGTTAGTTACTGTGAAAATGTAGCGAACAAAGAGATTTCCATCAATGATCATCTTCTTAGAGAGAATGGTTCAAAACCTGAAGTTTACACTGAGGAACATGAAAAATTGCTCGGGAGCACTGAAAGGATTTGGACATTTTTTGTTGATGGTTATGGAAAAGATGGGAAGAGAATTTATGATCCTGTTAAGGGGAAGACTTGTCATCAGTGCAGGTTAGTGACATTTACCTTAGGTTATGCTGTGTGTTTACCTAATTGCTAATATGCTGAAGTATATTACCTATCACACTTAAAGTGGTTCACAAAACGTGCCGTGATTTGGTGATTTTGAGCATGTAATGATCTTTGTTCAAAAGAATCAATTACATAAGAATTTGCTAACAGACATAAGCTTGATGGGAAAAAAAAATAGTATAATTATATTAGAGTTTGTCTCTAGAGGTCCTACATTTTAAGTCTTGGAAGAGACAAAAAACTACATGATCAGATTTCCACTGATCAAATTATTTACCCTCCAATATAATGATTTCTTTGAGAGATTTATCCAACTTTATAATCTTTTTTCTTGCTTCAAGATGTACTTGATTAATGATGCTTTCAGCTCTACGCTAGTGTTGCCATGGACTTTGCTCATTTCATCCACATTTTTCTTTCCTTTGTCTGTTTCTTCTTATCCATTCAACCATTCGTATTTGTTGACAAGTTAACTTGCTGTTTCAGGCAAAAAACTCTTGGTCATCGTACAACCTGTAGCCAATGTAACATGGTTCAAGGACAGTTTTGTGGAGATTGTCTTTATATGAGGTATAAAAAACCATTAACATCGAAAAAAAAAATGCATTATATATTGTTGCTTGGAACTTATTCATATATATGCCAGTTTGATATTCTTAATGTTAAGCTTTCTCCATTGCCCAACTTCCATGAGAGTAATTGCTAGATATTGGACCTTTCATTCTGGTTTTATTCAAGAATTAAGAAACATGTTATTATCACTATTTCCTAATAACATTTTATTTCCGGAGACATATAAACATGAAGGGGGTTGTGACTACAAGAGTCATATTTAGTTTTAGACTCATAAAAGAGTATGCCTTGTGTGAGGTACAATTTCGAATGTAAATTTTTTTACAAAATGAGAAAACTTCAATGAAAACTAAAGATTAATGGAGAACAAAATCTTGCAGATATGGAGAGAATGTGCTTGAAGCAAATGAAAATCCTAACTGGATTTGCCCGGTTTGCCGTGGAATTTGCAACTGCAGTTTGTGTCGACAAGCAAAAGGATGGGCTCCCACAGGAACCCTTTACAGGAAGGTAATTGAAGAACCTCCAACTTTACCATATGGACGATCCTCAAAATTGTAGTGTTATTCTATAGCTATTTTATCAATATTCGATATTTTCAGATTTCAAGTCTCGGCTACAAATCAGTGGCACATTACCTCATCCAAACACGGCGCGCAAGTGCAGATTCAGGTGGCACTAAACTCCCAATCCATTCTAGGAGATCGCTACCATTTTCAGACATGGAATCGACAATGGACGAGGACGACCTGTTCAAAGCCAGTGACAATCTATCTGCAAACAACAATGAAGGCAATGACAACACCACTCCAGAAATGGATCAAGTTGAACATCCAGTGAACCCAAAACCCGAACAGAGAGAACCCGAACATGAATTGGAAAAGGAAGCTAGCAATGCTTCATCGGAGCCACTGAACAATCAAATCCATCCTGTTTCAAATAATGTTATTGTGGCGGAAACAAGCCCGAAATCTAACAAGAAGCGTGTACACTCGCAACCATCGCTTGATAGTATTGCTGGAAGGTTGAGGCAGAGGCGTAGTAACCTGAAAGTAGTCGAAGAGCTGAAGCTGGGAAATTCAAAGAAATGCCCGAGAAAGGTGAAAGGTGAGTCAGACATGGCAGCGGATGCAAACAGCATTGCTAGCAGATTGAAAAGGCGCCGGGAGGGATCTTAGCATCGTCGAAGATTATGTTGGATTTGCTCATCCTTTTGAATATGCTGCAAGAATGGCATGTAAGTTGTGTTTGTTCTAAAGTTCAGACAGCACTCTTTTTGTTTTTGTTTTGTACGTTTTGTTATGTTAAGGTTTCTCGACATTCGGCACATCCTGTGAATTTTGTCATGTAAGTAAAAAAATGCACGCTAGCTGAATGGCGGGAACAAGAAGAAATGAAGTGTGTGCTTTTTCTTTTTCTTTTTTTTTTTTTTTTGTTATTTTTTACATACCATGTCCACGGCTATATTTGTCCCACACGTCATTTTATTTTTTTAAAAAAATAATTATACACTTTAATTTTATTTTATAATTTTTTAATTTATTTTTTTAAAATTTTAATTAAATTAATTATTTAATTTATAATTATTTATATTATAAAATAATTATTTTTACTAATATATTCTTAATTATATACTATATTATTTTTAAAATACCGTATATACATTGTCGAAGGAGAATAAAACTCCATAGTCTCAATATAAATAAATATATATATATATATTCTATAGAAAATAGAGTGTATATTATCGACAATGATCCACCAACCACTTTTCTGAAATGTGCAGGAATTTTATGGGTTAGAGCAGCCACGCCAATTGATCACCAAAAATATACATACTGCACTGCACTGCACTGCAGCGCCCCCAGAAACTATTTCTTCCATTAATGAGATTGACAGACGGTCGACTGGAAGGAAGTTTCAGACACGCGTATATACTACAAACGTACAGTCATTATAATGTAAGACTCCATGGAATGGAAGAAGAAAGCAGCAATGCAAGTAGACTAATTCACTGTATTTGTTCCTCAACCTCAACTCCATCAGTATATTAAATTAAATTAAATGCAGTCCCACCAAACACCATATATATCCATGTCCAAATCCCAATAAGATTTACAGAAATAGAAGCACCCAAATTCATCATTAAAAGCTTTCTGTAACTTACACCGGCCGGCAGAGGAGGATAATTATGAGGATGAACAAATCGGAGCCATGTCCCTCCTTCTTCAAAGTCCTCTTGGATTTCACTCGCCGATTGGTAACCCTAACCCTAACTTATTACACACAAATATATAATATTAATCAATTAATTAAACTAATATTGTTGCAGCGGCTGCCGCCGGCTTTGGTGCAACAGTACGGATGGGCTCTGCCTGCCAGCGTGGAACTACAAATCGACGGTGGAAGAAGAAGCTGGGAAGTGAAGGTGGAGCAGATCATGGACGAAGACGCGCAGCCCTACTGCTTCACGCGCGGCTGGAAACGGTTCGCCGAGGATGTCGCCTTGGAGATTGGGGAGTTTCTTGTCTTCCGACAGGCCAGCCGCGCCGTCTTTGACGTCCACATTTTTCAAATCTCCGGCTGCGAGAGAAGACTCCCCGTCGTTTCTCAGTCCGACACCGAATCTGCCACCATCCTAGTCGTCGGTTAGTTTCAGACACTAATATACAAACAATATATATATATATATATTTGATGTAATATTGGATTGGGAGGACAGATCATAAAGGATCGCGGCCTGGAAGAACTAAGAAACCTGGTCGTCCCCGTAAAGCGTCAAGTAATCCTCTCTACTTTGAAGCCGATCTCAAGGAATATCAGACATCCAGAGTTGTAAGAATATCAAATATATATATGTATGTATGTATATTTTCTGTAACTGTCTGTTTGTCCTGTTTCAGACACTTAGAGCCAACTTCGTCAGTGCTGCTCATCTCCACAACCAAACCACCGTCCGGCTGCAGTATCACCACCGGAAAGAATTTCAGGTCATCGCGAAGCTCGATCACCGCGCAAAATGGAGGACAGACCTCGCCAAAGGATGGTCAAAATTCCGGATCTCCAATCACCTTGTCTTCGGTAAGAAATACTCCTTCCAGTACAAGCCTCGTAAGAATCTCATCCTCATTAAGGAAGTTGCAAAGCCGGCGCCGGCGCCGGAACCGGAACCGGAACCGGCACCGGCACCGTCGTAGCTATTCTTAACTATTATTACTAATTTCTTATCAAGGTTGCTGTTGCTTTGGAAACTTTTGACACTTTTAATCAACAGTAATTTAAAAAAAATGAAAAATAGATACAAGCAATATTACAAATGTAGCATATTTTAAAAGAAACGAAATCTACATCGAATATGTTAGTCTACATCGAATATGTTAGTCATAAATGCTTCGCCCTTCGCGTTGCGGCGTCGCCGTCGTGATCGGCGAAGTTTTGTGACGAAGGAACCGATTGTGGCGGCATCGGAGCTGCCACCGCGGACACGCGCCATATCTTCACCGACTTGTCCAAACTACCGCTATACACCATACATAATCTATCATTCCCAGGGGATGTCTCTGTCTTATCCTCCTCGACCGCGAGGCACTTCACGGGTCCAGTGTGGCCGCTCAACACCGACAGGCAAATATGATCGCCGGAAGCTTCCCGTCTCCACGCGCAAATGTTCGTATCCGCCGATCCCGTGAACACCAAGTTCCCGGCGGCGGCTAAGCAGAGCACGGCCAGCTTGTGGCCGCGCAAAACTCCGGCGTGCGCGAGGAATCTCGTCCGGTCCCAAAAATTGACGAGGCCGTTGGATGAGCCGGCGTAGAGGATTGTCGAAGACGGGTCGATGGCTAGCGCAGTGACGGCAAATTCTTGTTTAAGAAGCATTTGGTTGAAGAAATGCTTAGTCCCTTTCCCCTGCATTTCCCTCCGCCATACTTTGACGGTGCCGTCGGCAGAGCCGGAGAAGACAAGGCCGTCGAAGCCGGCGATGACGGAATTGACGGCGTCAGCGTGGGCGGAGACGGTTTCGAGGCATTTCGAATTGGAGACACGCCAGACTTTGATTGTTTTGTCCCATGAAGCTGAGTAGAGCAACGTTTGATCTTCGCTGAGGCTGAGGGAGGAAATCGCGTCCATGTGTCTGATCCAATTGGGATTTCGATTTTTTTTAATCTCGACGTAATTGTTGGGGTTGAAGGAGTTCTTGATCGTGGCTTTTAACGTCGGTAATGTCCCGACGCGTTTGTGGACGCTGGGGTCCTTACCGGACATTCTCCAAACTCTGATTTTGCCGTCCTGGTGGCCGGAGAAGATCCGGTCGCCGGCGATGATGATCGCCTTGACCAAACCGGAATTGGACTTGAAGCCGGAATATTCCTTGAGATTCTTCCAGACGCGGATGTTCTTGCTGTCGGAACCTGTGTACAGGAATTCTCCCGAAGCTGCTAGAGAATAGATATGGCCTTCTTCGCGAACGAGGGATCCCATAAGGCCTGTGTAGGAATACGAATCTTGATCCGTCGCCACGTGGGAAGACCATGGGGATTTCGACAGGGGCGACGCCGGACCTTCGGAGGCGGAGGATGGGGGCGATTGTTCCCAGACGGCGGCGGTGGCGCCGTGGACGGGGGAGCTTCCGCCGGAGGGGGGCGGCGGGGGCTCCTCCGTGGCGTTGATGCCGTGGCGGAAGGAGTATTCATCTTGAAAAGGATGCAGCTTTCCTCCTCTTATGCCACCGCCGGCGGCGGCGACCGAGGATTGTTCTATGGAGGCGTTGGATTCCGGCCCCGCCTCCGGCGGCGGCGGCGCGTGATTCTCTCTGGACGCTCTTGAATTCTTCTTCATCGATCTGGGAAAGATCAGGGGTGGATTTTTTTGTATCAATACAGCAAATTGAGGATCGGGAAATTAAAAATTTTGGAGAATTATTGATTGCATAATCGAGCGACAAGATGAGAAATTTTGGAAGGCGAAAGGAGGTACGAAAATTGAATGAATGAAAATGGGTGGAACTAACTTTGAGGCCAGCTTCGGTAAAATTATCTGTAATAAAAATTTGCGAGTCGACGAAGTTTGTAAAGATTATCCTTTTCCTTTTCTTATTTTGGGACTATAAAGTTTGATTAATGTATATATTATTCTTTACTTGCATACATATATATAAATTCCAAGTTAGAAAAAAACTATTTGAAGATAGATTAGATAAATTGATATTTTAAAAATTATAGGCTTTGTTTTCAATATATATATATATATATTATTTTCGATACAATTTCTAATATATATTAAAAAAAGATAAAATTTATATTTGTTGAGGATTAATTTTTGTTGACCTCTTGCTCTTGTGTTTGTGTGTTTGATTTAGATAAATAAATAAATGAAATGTGTTTTTAATAATTTAAATTTTTAGGTGAAGTTGTTATTTATATTATATATAATATAGTATCAGAGTTTTAATCACGAATTCAAATTTCACCGTTTTAGTGTATTTTGATTTTACTATTTTCACTATGCTTACGTAGTATGTGTCTGTCCGTTCGACAAATGATTGCCGGCTCTGTTGCTACCTTAGTTTTGCTATAGCCACGTCAATACATTGAGTTGAAATTTCAAAAAAAAAAATTGTGTAAGACTAATTTTGATAATTACTTTTTAAATGAACTAAAAATTTAAAAAAAAATAAATTTGATTGAGATCAATATTAATTTTTATTTTATATTTTATCATCTCACAAACTTCAACTCTTAATATAAAAATATTAACTTTTATATTATTAATACAATTCTTATATTCATATAAAAAAAAAAAATCAAATCAAATCAAAATACTAAATAAACAAATCGATAATACTTCTAAATTATATTTTTCATTTTAAACATAAACATGTATGATTTAATTCCAATCAGTTTTATAAAAATATGGAGAATTATTTTTGTGAATAAATATCACATTAAATTATTATTTAAATCATTTCAAATTAGAAATTTTTTAATTTTATTTTAATTTAAATAATATTTTAATATAATATTTTGTGAAGAAAAATAACGAATTAATTAACCCAACAATTTTATGATAACACTCTTTTCAATGAAATTTTAACATAAAATAAAAAAAAGGTTACAACCAAATATTTTAGTACAAATAATTAATATATTTAGTTAGTTAAAATAATTCATTAAAATTTAATACAAATAATTAATACTATATTTAGTTTGTTAAAATAATTCATTAAATTTAATTAGTTAAAGCTAAAGCTAGAGCTCACTCTCTAAAAGTTAGAAATAGTAGCCATGCAAATAAACAACAAACATTAGGTGGTGTCTGTTTTGCTGATAACATTTTTTTTTTTTATTATTCAAAATATTACAAACAAACTATTTCACTTCCAAAAACATTAATAAAAACAAAATACTTCACAAGTAAATACAAACAAACAAAAAACACACACACACATATATATATATATATAAATTACTCCCTCCGTCCCATGTAATATGGATGTATTACCGTAGACACGAGAATTTAGGTAAAATATAATTAGTAAATAATTAAAAAGTGTATTTAGTAAAAATAATTATTATTTAGTAAAAATAATTGTAGATTAAGATTAAAATAAGTAAATAATTTACTTAAAATTAAAAAAAATTATAAAATTTAAAATTTGATGCATAATTATACTTTCAAAAATAGAAAAGACAAATTATGTAGGACAGACGAAAATAAAAATTATGAACAAAAATTATGTGAGATGAAGGGAGTATAAAAGCTAGACCGATGATGATTTGCATTGGGCAGCCTTAGGTTTGTGGGATAACAAGAAACTGCTTCGTCGTCGTATCGTTACATACAAAGCCCATCATATATATATATATATTTCTTAATTCGTTCGACGATTCCTAGGAAGTAATTAATTAAGATACAATACTATCCGACCCTATAAATTGAAGCCCACCATAATCTTTCTTCAATTAATTAGTTCATCGTGTATATATATATACTAGCGTATAAACCCGTGCATACACGCAGGGATGTGTTTCAGAGTAGAGTGTAAGAACTGTGGGAAGTACACGTGGCGTGGGTGTGGGAAACACCTCGACACTTTGTACGCCAACATCGACGCTGGGAGACACTGCTTCTGCAAACCTTGGCCGGGCATTCCTAACACCACAATTAATCAACGGCCCCGATCTCCCTCCCCTCCCAACCAACGCTCCGGATCTTCCTCTTCTCAATCTCCACCGTAATAATCAACGGCCGAGATCTTCCTATATATATATAGATGCAGATGCAGGGGAAGGGTAATAATAAGAGAAAGCGTGTTTTGGTGATCACGACTTTACGATGGCGTTGGTTCTACTTGTAGCACGCTTTTACTGGAATTTATGTCTATGAATAATGAATAATAATTATGGTCAATCTCTTTGACCCAGGTGTTTCAGCATTAAATAAAATGTTTATTTATTCGTTACTGTTAATGCCATGCTTTTTGTATTTTAGAATTTTGATATCATTAATTCATATTAAATATTCCCTCGTTCTGATAACAAAGTATCCATTTTTCTATTTTAATCAGTCTCATAACAAAATATCTATTTTCTTTTTTAGTAACTGTACTATCTACCTAATATTACAAATACTCTTACAACTTACAATATATTACACAAATGTCATTACCTTTATATTACACATACTAACAAGATTATTTTAATCATTTTTATTTTATTTCTACTATATCTCAATATAATACTAATATTTCTAAAACTACGTGCAAAAAAGTAAATGGATATTTCTTTTTAGAATGAAGGGAGTATATATTTGTATTATAAAAGATTATACTTCCCCCGTCCCATAACAAAGTATCCATTTTTCTATTTTAATTCGTCCCATAACAAATTATCCATTTTCTTTTTTAGTAACTGTACTATCTACCTAACATTACAAATACCCTTACAACTTACAATATATTACACAAATGTCATTATCTTTATATCACACATACTAATAAGGTTATTTTAGTTATTTATACTTTATTCCTACTATATCCCAATATAATACTAATATTTTTAAAATTACGTGCAAAAAATAAATGAATATTTAATTTCGAGACGGAGGGATTATTAGATATTTCAAATTTTATTTTATAATTTTTTAAACTGAAGTTTTTTTATATCTATATAGCACCTTAGTTTGGCATTAATCAACTCTTCATTTCCAACTCAAACATCAAAATCAAATACATAACTAAAGGTATGTTTGGATTTGTTTTTCACTCAAACAGAATATTGTTGTGGGGTTTTCATTATACTGCTTTCATCTCATAACATAAAATTTCTTTTTCTATTTTAATTTATCCAAAATAAAGTATCTGTTTTTTTTAATAATTGTACAATCTACTTAATATTAAAAATATACTTACAATTAACTCTCCATCCCGGATATGGTGTCTCATTTACCGTAAACACGGAAATTTAGGAAGGATATAATTAGTAAATAATTAAGAATGTATCAGATAAAAAAAATAATTTTAAATTAAGATTAACACAACTAATTAGTATAATTAAAATTAAAATGAAATTAAAGTGTATAATATTTTTCCAAAAAATGAAAATGACAGATTAAATAGAATAGACGAAAATGAAAAGGTGGACACGATAACCCTTGACTTCACGATGATAAGTCCAATCCCTAAACCACCAGACCATCCTTACATACGTATTATTTGCTTTTTGATTTTTCTCTTCGTGGTGTTAGCTTTAACAATTTTTTTTCATTATTTATAATTTGTTGAGTTTAAATTTAAAATTAATTTTGTCATTTGAGCGAAAAAAATAATATTTTTATGTAATATTTTTATGTGAATAAAAATACATTATTATTGAAAATCATATAAGCCAAATAGTACTTATTTGTATTCATAACACAAACCAAACACATTTTTTGAGCCGAGGGTAAAAGAAATAAATTGAGTACATATATTAAAAAAATAAAAAATAAAATTATTGTATACAAAATTTAGAACATCTCAAATTAAAAGAATAATAAAAGTACTTGGGATGCATGGCAAAGTTTACCTATATTTATTTAAAATATTTTATAAACCAAATAATTTACATTTAGTTCATGCTACTCCATCCGTTTCATATATATATATATATATTTATTTTTTTGTACAAAATTTTAAAATATTATATTATTATATTGGGATTTACTAGAAATAAATATAAAAGAACTAAAATAACTTTATCAGTATTGTATGATATAAAAATAATAACATTTGTATAATATATTGTAAATTGGAATGATATTTATAATGTTAATGGGATATACCAAAATAAAAAATAATAATAAATTGTCAATAAATTGAAGGAGTATCTTATAAAATATATATATTATTTTTTCATAAAAAAGTAATAATTTTTTTACCAAAATATAGTAGTTTTAATGTAAAAGAATTGTTTGGATATCATTATTATATTCCATCCGTCTTCATTTTTATATTTTGGTCAATCCCTTAACAATCTATGTACTATCTATCTAATATTACAAATATTATTTCAATTTATACTATATTACACAAATGTCATTACCTTTATATCATAGTTAATTTAGTTTTTTTATTTTTTATTTTAATTTTTAAAATTTCATGCAAAAAATAAATAAATAGATAGATATACGACGGAGGGACGGACTATAATTGTTCTCCAATAAAATTGAGATATTCTGTATAGTTTGATGGTAGTTCTTGTCTAATTTTATTTTATTTATTTACGTTTTTTTTTTGTATCATTGTGTAATTATTTGTAAGATTAAATAATTATATAAAAATAAACACGCTTTTGCCCCCAAAAATCTTAACCATATAATAATAATTTGGGTAAATTATACGATACTCCATTATGTTTTAGTAAAACTGCAACATCACGTATTTTATTTATTGCGTGAAACCCTTGTATTAATATAAAATTTGCACAAAATACTTTTATTGTTCAAAATTGATATTTAATTTCAAATAAAGACCTAAATTACACAAGTTTAATACAAATAAAAAATATCTTAAATATTTTTTTGAATAAAATAAATAAATAAATAATCTTTCATTTTATAATTTTTGAAAACAAATTATTATATAATTTTTATGAAAATTATAAAAATAAATGATTGATCAATGATTTATTTATAATTTTATTCAAAAAGATTATTTAAAATATTTTTTATTTTTTATTTGTATAAAACTTGCGTTTTACGTCTTTTATTATAACCAAATATCAGTTTTGGACAAGAGGGTCTTGCGCGCAAACTTTACATTAACACAAATAGAATTTTACGCAAGAAATAAAATATAGGGTATTTTGTGTATTTTTACTAAAACATACGGGGGTATTATATAATTTACCCTAATAATTTTGTGGCTAGGATGTGTAAATAGTTTTGAAATTAGAAATTCGATTTTTTTTAAAAAAAAAAAATGACTTTTTGTGCTTTTTTCATCTCTATCAAAGCAATGAATCGTTAATGATAAGAAATAATTTATAAAAAGCATAATTAATTGTGCATTAACGAAAAGGGAATTTTTATACTAATATGTAAATAAATCCATCATCACCCCTACCTCTGCAAAATCTGTATTATTTAATTCTGGAAATAAGAAAAGTAAGTCGCGAAATCGTAATAAATGCTTCTTACCCCCACTTTCCCCACCTGTGCATACATATAAATATTTATGGCCATTATTGCAAGCCTACAAAAGAGTAGATATGCTGCCATTAATGCCACCGTATCAAAAAATGGATAACAAATTAAATAACTGTTAAATTTGATAAATATATATATATATATATATAATAAGACTTCTTTCATCCAAGCTAATTATATTATTTTATTTGGACATAAAATAAAAAAAATAATGATATTTTCATATAAAAAATGAGTATGTAATAAATAAGTAAATATATTATAAAAAACTTATTAGTAAATCGATAAAAAAAAATAAGGAAAAAAATCATTTTTGGTACAACTATAATCAAAATTTATCAATTTTGGTCTTAATATAAAAATCTTATCAATTTTAGTCCAAATATAACTAAAACTTATCATTTTTTGTCGTAACATAAAATTCTTATCAATTTTAGTCTCAATATAACCAAAATTCATTATTTTTTGTCCAAATATAATCAAATGTTATTTTTTTGGTCACACCGTCAACAAACCAGATACGAATATGCGGGAAGACCTAGGGGTGGGCAAAAAAACCGAACCGAATCGTCGAACCGTTGAACCGAACTGAATCGAACCGAATTTTCGGTTAACCGAACAAATTCGGTTTGAATACGAATACTGCATATTTGATATTTGTTCGATTCGGTTCGGTTTCGATTTTTTATATTTTTTTCGGTTCGGTTAACCGAACCGAATATATTTATGTATTTATAATATTATATTTTAAATTTTATATTAATAATTATATACGTTTCGGTTTCGGTTCAGATATTTAAAATATTTGCAAATAATTTTTATTTAATTAAAATTTTATTTTTTTTATATATTTTTTCTTAATTTCGGTTCAGTTTGAGTTATTTGCAGATACTACAAATATTTTCGGTTAACCGAAAATTTTCGGTTCGAATACGGTTCGCGGTTTCAGGTATTTGTTCGGTTCGGTTATCAAATACCTGCATATTTGCAAATAACTGAACCGTGTCCACCCCTAGGAAGACCTGCAACATGTTGAACGTTTGTTGCTGCAAACTTTATGAAGAAATTATACAATTTTGCAAGTCCACGTCAGCATTTTTCGTCGGTTGATGGTGAAACCAAAAAAGATAAGATTTGATTATATATGGACAAAAAATTGATGAGTTTTGGTTATATTGGAACAAAAATAATTTTTTCCAAAAAAATAATATAATAAGTACAAAAGATAACGATAAATTATTTATTTGTTGATTAACAATAATAAGATTATTTAGTATAATAGAAAAAAAAAATAATAATAGAAATTAAACAAAACAAAAATAGGATTGATAGTACGGTTGAAAAAAGTCGATTTATAATCAAGCTCTACAGCCATTGGTCGTCAGCAACAATAGTAGTAATACAAATTGGGTGCATAATAGGAATTAAATTAATTTTTTAATCAAAAATACATTAACATATATTCTCATTTTGTACATTTGAATTCAAACTTTGCTCGTAAATTATGTACGAAAGACAAGATTAAAAAAATATTGAAATTTCTAACTCATAATCTTATAATCATAAATTTACCGATACACTTGCCATTTTTGTAAAGTAAATAACAACGGTAAATGACATGCATGCACAATAATTTATGTTTCTACTTACAAATAATATTTAATAGATTTATATGAAAAATTTTAAACACATTTTCAACGATTTTTTAAAACTCTTTTAATTATATCAAAGGGACAATGAGCACATAGTTGATTCGTATAGATTTAATGTTTATTTGTTTTGTGAGATAATTTGAAATGATATTTTTTTAATATAAAATATAAAAAGTTGTGTAGTAAATATAAAAATAATAAATCTATGTGATATATTAATATTTTTAGAAAAATATTTGTATTTTTTTAATAGAACACTGAATATGAAAAATCAATAAATTATTTCAAAAAATTTGTACACTTTTTCTCTCTGAATCTCGTGATAATTCACCATCCCCGACACTTTAATTGCATCTCAATCCACTAAAATTCAGTCCCAAATCCCCTAAATTTTCTTCTAAGGTAAAAGTATCAATTATGGTAATTTTATTTTGACCCTATGAATTACTTTGAAATTAATCCTAAATTAATTTTGTTACAGATCTCCATAATTTGGTTTTCAAAAATATATCCACATATATATCATTATTTATGACCAAAATCCATATAAAAAATACTCTACAATTATTTCATACAACTTTCAAATAACATGAATCAGCAATAACATATTCCAATAATTTAAATATAATCATCATTATATTTAAAACATTAAAGTCCACATCTCATGTTATCCATTAGGATTTGTATGGATATATGAATTTGAATAAGTGTGTGAAAATTGAAAATTTTAATATAATATAAATAAATTTTTTATACTTCCCTCCGTTCCATTGAAAGGTTATTATTTTTCATTTTCGTCCGTCCCAAAATAAAATTACTATTTTCTTAGTAATTGTACTACCTACTTCACATAATAAATATCCTTTCAACTTACAATATATTAAACAAATGTTATTACTTTTATATTACATTATACTAATATAAGTATTTTTGTCTTTTTTTACTAAAATTTAATATAATACTAATATTCAAAAATTTACGTGAAAAAAGCAAATGTCACTCTTATTGCAGAACGAGTATAATATTTTTAAAATAAAAAATATATTTTTTATTATAATAATAACGGAAACACAACCAACTATTTGAGCACTGTATGAAAGGCGAGAGATCCGAAAATTAACTTGACAAAAAGGGCCTTTGCCAATTGCCCTTTTGTGAGGCTGAAGTAGAGCAAAATAGAAGAAACTATCAATGGCGGTTTTCTTATTTTGGCTTTCTTCTTTGTTCTCTGCAGAATTAATTGAAGGAAGATTGTGACCTGATCCAGAAAAGATGGCTGCACAGAAGAAACGCACTTCCAAAGCGCGAGCATGGTGAGTGAAGGAGGAAGGGAGTTGAATGTTCAATAAACTATATATATTGGATCTGATTTGCTCCTGCAGCATTATATACGCCTGTTATCTATTGTGTGTCAATTTTGTTGCAGGTTCTGCACCATCGGAATGACGAGCGACGTTGCGATTGAAGTCGAGGACGTGACTTTCCATCTACACAAGGTCAGTTGATGGATTTTCGTCATTTCCGTTCCAATATCCTGTAACCGTCGAGTATTCGGATTCTCTGTCACATTGTGTTGTGGTGCTGTGTTGAGTTCTTCAGTTACCTTTGATTTCAAGAAGTACGAAGATTCACGAGATGATAACGGAGAAGGAGAGGAGCGCGAGGATAAGAACCGATTTAAACCTGTCGAGCCAGCAGATTGACGACGGCGAAGAGGAGGAAGAAATCAGAGAGGAAGAAGACGACGACGTAGAGCAAGGGGACGAAGAACAGTGTCGCATTGTGCTTCCGGATTTTCCCGGCGGATCCGAATCGTTCGAGACCGCCGCCAAATTTTGTTACGGTGTCAGCATCAAGCTCACCGCCTCTAATGTCGCCGCACTTCGATGCGCCGGCGAGTATTTGAAAATGACCGAAGAGTATTCCGAAGATAACCTCATTTCCGCAACGGAGAGGTTTATCTCACGATCAGTTCTCAAAAGCATCAAACATTCAATTGAAACTCTGTCCTCTTGTAAAGCACTATTACCAATGGCGGAGGATCTGGAGATTGTACAGAGATGCATCGAGGCGGTTGCCGGCAACTTCGCCGCCTCAGATCCGTCGCTATTTGGCTGGCCGGTGAGCGACGGCTCTGAAGCTAACCATAGAAGGAGATTTAAAACCAGTACTGCGGCGGTAGATCCATGGTTGGATGAACTCACGTCTCTGAGTTTACCTTTTTTCAAGCGTTTGATTTTCGCGATGAAAGGATCGGATCCAAGCGGTGAAATCATCGAGAGCTGCTTGATACATTACGGTAAGAAATTTATACCTGGAACATCGCGCTCATTCCGAAAGCCTATCGCCGCCGTGCTGTCGGAGGAAGAACAGAGAGAGCTCCTTCAGACGATCGTCGCGAATCTTCCGAAGGGAAAATCCTTTAGATCGCCGGCACACGCGACGAGTTTCCTGTTCGGATTGTTACGGACGGCGTATATTTTGAATGCGCCGGCGTCTTGCAGATTAACTTTGGAGCTGAAAATTGGATCGCAGTTGGAGCAGGCGGCTTTAGACGATCTGCTGATTCCGAGCTATTTGAATTTGAACGAAACATTGTATGACGTGAACTGTGTGGAGAGAATGTTGAGATACTTTCTCCGAGGGATGGAGGAGCGATCTGCAGGTGAAATTGAAGGTGGAGATGAGAACCCCGCCGCCGGATCTGCAGCCTTAACGGTCGTCGGAAAATTGATCGACGGTTACTTGGCGGAAATTGCTTCCGACTCTAATCTGAAGCCGGAAAAATTTTACGATCTCGCCGTCGCCTTGCCGGAGGACGCCAGGCTCTTCGACGATGGACTTTATCGAGCGGTCGATTTTTATCTTAAGGTTGAAGAAATCATCCGTTTGATTAGAACAGATGCATCGAGAATACAATTTCAATTTATGAATTTCTGTGCAGGCGCATCCATGGATTCCGGCGGCGGAGAGGGAGAAGATCTGCGGCGTTTTGAATAGCCGGAAACTCACGCTGGCGGCGTGCACTCACGCCGCGCAGAACGATCGGCTGCCGGTAAGGGCATTGGTCCAGGTGCTGTATTTCGAGCAGGTTCAGCTCCGCCGCGCAATTGCCGGATCCCTCACGGCGGCGCCGGCGGATGCGGGAGAAGCAGAGGGCGACGGCGCGTGGAGAGTAAACGAGGGTCTGCTAGAGGATATGGAAAGCATGAGGACACGTGTGCACGAGCTGGAGAAGGAGTGCGACTATATGAAGACGGCGATACGGAAGATGGACCCACAAGGACACGTGGCGAAGGCGGGTTGGTGGGCCAGCATTGGGTGCAAAATTGGGTCCCATGTGTGCGATTCACTGGAGCCGGCCCCCAATTCAAGGGGTAAGAAAGGAAATTAACATACTCAAAATTAATTGAAAACGTGTGAACTTGAGGTAGTTCATTCTGATTCATATTGAAAGTGAAGATGGAAAAAAATTCATTGAATGGTTAATTAGTGTAATTACATTTATGAAAAGTCATAATATAAAATTACAAAATTGAATGGGTGAAACTTGAAAGTATTGGATACAATCAATTTAAATAATATCACCTCAAATTTTGCAATGTAAATAGTTGACAACGAAGAGTGTAATTTTTGTGACGCGGAATTTTTTGTTTTAATGAAAAAAAAGATGAACGGGGATAAATTGAATTTTGGGGAGTATAATGTTTGTAAAAAGACTACTGTAAAAATGATGAGACCGTACACGCACTTAGGTCAGGTGATGGATGAATTGGATGTTTAAATTTGTATGAAAATAACTTAATTGGATGAAAATATTATTAGGGGTACCAATTTGCAAATATTTTTATATTGTATTTTTATTACATATATATTTTATTTTTTGAATAAAATAATTTTACGAAAGTAAATTATAACATAAATAGTGAAATTAAATATTTTTGGAATATATAATGTATTTTATTTTGATTTGAAATTAATTTTTTTTTATTTAAATACTGGTTTAAATGATATTTTATATAAAAAAAATAATTATTATATTTTTAATTATTTGAACTAAATAGTGGAGTTTTAAATTTAAAATATAAAACAAACACACCTAGAAAAATAGTAAAATAGTGTATCATTCTTTCTATAAAATAAAAAATAAAAATAAATTGTAATTTTTTATTCCATAAGTGGGTTCAATGATGATTTTTAAACATTAGTTTTCATTTTTGAATTTAACTTCAATTATAAAAAATATCGTGTTATTTTTATAGATTCAATACCTGAAATTAGCACGGGACTCGCATGTAAGTTGAAATGAACATATTGCTATGTTATTTTTATTATTCAGTATCAAAAATTTGCACGTGACTCGCATGTAAGTTGAAATGAAGGTATTGATATGTGACATTGTCACTTACCAAAAATGACTTGGGCTCCCATATGACAATTTTTCGACGCTAAACTCATAATAAATTTATATAAAAAAGTTAATTTGCAAATACAGAAATTACAATTGAACCTAATTACATAACCACAATATTAAAAACACTCAATCATAACATTTCTCATTTCAATCTATTGAACAACTCCTTCTCAAGAGCCCTAAGTGACTAACCACGTCGATGTAGCCGTTATGTCCACCTTTACGCCCACGGATGTCAAATGGGATGGGTTAGTCCCTGATTCGCTCCAGATCCGGTTTTAATGGGGTGAGTTCGGATCTAAAAAATTTGATTTATGGTGGGTTACGAGTTTTACTAAAAGTTTGTCCATCTCCGGACTCGGATATTTTAATAATTATTATAATTAATTTATATTTTTATACAATATAAATTATATTATTTATTTATTTAAAAAATTTAAACATAAAATAATTTAATTTTAAATCAGATTTTTGTTTTCGTATTTGTTTTTCCTACAATTTTCATTATAATCGGGACTATTGCTGAGCGTGTTAATATTTGATTGTTCTTATTTTTGAATTATAATTTTTTTTGTATTTTGACGCATATTTTTTTTTAAAATATTAAATTATTTAAATATATATATATTATTCTTTTTAAAAAAAATGAATTTGTCATGTTGACCCCGAATCCTCCAGATTCTCAAGTGGGGCGAACGGGTCTTGGATCCTAACATTTTCTAACGGGACAGATCTCGGAACCTGCAAAACTTATCTCGAACTCGCACCATTGACCCCTATTTATGGCATTCCTCCGGTCCAGTCTCCACAATATTATGGAAAACAACTAGTGTGGGTGGGTAATTTTTATATATATTCAAAATTTCTATTTTAATTATAAATTAAATGTATAATATTTATTTTTATTATATAAAATAATTTACAAGATAATAGCATATTATATAATTTATTTTCTATATTATAATTTTTATTACTTTAACACGTAATATAAATTATTTTAATTTTATATTTATTATATTATAGATCAAATATTAATTAAATAAATATTCGAACTAAACCCACAAGAACAGGTAGCATGCAAAGCTATTTTATTTTATTTTATTTTTATTAGTTTTATCTTCCTTCTCGCTAGATCAATTCTTTTCCTGTTTCTTCCATGGCCGCAATCTCCGGGTTCGAGCTACAAGGCTGGCAAAAATTAACCCGACCTGATAATTCGATTCAAACTTGACTTGAAATAGTTGGGTTATTTAACCCATTTAATTAAATGGGTCAAGTTAAGGTCTATATTTTCGACTTAAAATAACCCGTCTAACCTGTTTAATTAATATTATTTTAAATTTAAATATATTTTTTAAATTTTATCAATACAATTCAATATTTATGGCCAATTTTATAAAAGTAAACAATAAAAAATAAATGATTGTGTTATGTATTGTAGTGTTTGTTAATTCAATTCTTGAATATCGGTTTTATGATATGAATAAATAATTTTTTACTTTAATATGTATATATATTATGCATTAAAAATTTTTATTAGTATAAATTATAATTTTAAATTAAAATTTAAAGATTTTAAATTTAAACGGATTATATGAGTTATATTCAGGTTGATCCGATTAATAAAATGTCATGTTAAAGTTGCAAATATCAACCCATTTAATTAAATGGGTCAGGTTCAGATAAAAGGTTTTGTAACCCGTTTAAGCTGATGCCATCCCTAACCCTAACCCTAACCCGATCCCCAAACCCGAACCCTGACCCAATTCTAATTTCAGAACCCAATTTTAAATTGTTGACATTCCCTTCACGTTCTAAAGAGAACATTTAACGGCTTCGATCCGCAGAACCGCCGCGCTATTCGCGCCTCCCCATGGCCGAACCAACGAACAAGTGTTCCCTTTCTCTTTCACGACTGTCGGGTATAAATTCATTGCGTCCAAAATCATACGCAAATTACTAGTAGTTGTTATTGCAGAGGAGGACGAAAAGAATAGACGAAGAGAATGGGGAGGATCGATTATTTGGCGATGAGATCCGAGCGGGAAGCCGCAGCCTTGCTCGATTCAGACTTCGACGAGTTGAAAATTGCCGCGAAGAAGCTCATCGCCCACGCAGCCAGATTGGGACGCCATGGCTTCGCAACGTCTTTCTTCAAATGGCTCGCCTCATTCGCCGCCATGTGAGTCTCTACTCCTCCTTCACAGAGCAGTATTTTTGCGATTGAGTTTCTAACTTTCGTTGTGGCGAAAACTGAATTGCTGAGAAGTTTGATTTTGTAAAATTTTGTTTGTTGAGAAAAAAAAAGCTATATGCATTTGGTACAGTTTGCTAAATGTGAGAATTTATGCAGCAATTTGATTTTGAAAACACCTTTTAGGAAGAACTAAAGTGTGATTAAACTTCAATCGTTTGTATAAATGAAAATTCCAACTGGTTTATGTGTATATATATTGTGATGAACAACCAAATGCATGATTTGCATCTTATTAATTTCAAGTGTGCTGATAACAAATACAATGGCAGAATTTTTTGCAAAAGTTCTTGATAATGATCCTATGTTTATGCTTTTGCATCTTGTTCATCAATGCATAACTTTGATAAGCCACAGAATTATCAAGTTACTGACCAATTACTCGTCTCGAATGTCAGCTACTTACTGATCTTGGATCGAACAAACTGGAGAACAAACATGCTGACTTCCCTACTCGTTCCATACATTTTCTTCAGCTTACCTTCGTTTTTGTTTCGCTTTCTCAGGTAAAATTCCCCATCTGGATTCTCTACCTCATTTGGTTTCTTGAAATAACATTCGACGTTTTTGTTGAACTCTTAATATCATAGTGTAGGGGAGAAGTAGGAAAGTGGATTGCATTTGTTGCAGTAGTGCTAAGGCTTTTCTTCCCCCGGCATTTTCCAGGTGCATAATGTCGATTTTTCGGGCTTAGTTTACATCACACTATAGCTATAACATCATGGATTTCATTACATTCATAATTCGGTCTAACCCGCGATTCTTTGCCATGTTTCTTGGATTGCAGACTGGCTGGAAATGCCGGGATCATTGATTCTTTTGCTGGTGGTTTCCCCTGGTTTTTTTGCTCATACTTTGAGAGACCATTGGATCGGTGTAGCATTATGTCTCGTCATCGGTTGTTATTTGTTGCAAGAACACATTCGAGCATCCGGTGGATTCCGGAACTCCTTCACTCAAAGCAATGGCATCTCGAACTCACTCGGGATTATACTCTTGCTGGTGTTCCCTATCTGGGCTTTGCTCACTCGTGCCTTTTGATACGACTTGAGTTTTATCGAGCTATAGTTAATTTAGTCGATTAACTTTTGAGCTAGAGCTTGATTCTTTAGTACGATATATAAGTATTAAAAGGTCCTGAATTCAAAATTTTCGATTGAGATTGTTATGTCGGGTTTTATCATGGCATATAAAATCTGAACGTGTCGGAGATTTGAACTGAGTTGACTAGATCATCCCTTATGACACAATAAATGAAATGGTTTTTATTTGCATTTAGAATGTATAATTTTAATTTGAAAAAAAAAAAAAATCTTTTTATGATAAAAAATTATATTTAAATTATTGTTCTAACTAAAACTTAAAAAACTAATGATATCAATAACCAATTTAATACATCAACATTATTCTTGAGGAGATTCTCATTGAATTGAAATCATTTCTAATTCGTCTTATCCTATATTGATCTTCTATTTTTTTTCCATTCTTATGAAATACAGTGCATCTTCTATAAATCAAATTTATTCATATTATTGCATTTTTATTATATTTTTCAACTGAATTTCTATTTTATCGTGATAAAGAATGGATTCTTTATTTCCTGAATTATTTTTCTTTATCCTGTAAACGAGTAAAGTAGTTTTGTAATTGGGCCTTTTGGGTTACATACTTGAGAAGGATTCGGTTGGGCCCAAAAGCCCCAATTTGGTAACCCTAGAAATTCGGTGTTGACTACGTGACGCTGCTGCTATTTATTTGCAGAGGATAATAAGTACTGTTGATGGATCACTGCCAGTTGCGTCTGAAATCATTTGAACGCTTCGTCTCTGTTGTTTGGGAACCCAGGTGCGTAGTGTTTTTCTCCTCTCTGAGTTCGTGTCTGGGATATTTTTATTCAATTTATAAGGTTTTCCGGAAGCAATTCTCGAAACTAGGAGGAGTATGTTGTGCTTCATGGTCTTGGACGAATTGTGAACGGAGTTTTGTTAAATTCAAGCGTTTGGCGTGAAGGAACTTCATCTCACCTTTCTCTCTCTCTGGTTTTTCTTTTGATCTTTGTTTTGCATAGGTCAGATTCCTCTGCATTATTGTTAAATTAATGACTCATTTTTTGGTCGAGCTTCCGTTAATTTACTGGATTTTTCAGATCTCAAATTCTTCGATTGATAATTCGCTAAGGTTCGGTATTATTTTAAGTCTGACGAATTCAGTTTCCATAAAACAATCGTGAATCACATGAACGTAATTATTCAAATTACTCAAATTCCAGATTCCATTATTTTGAATCATATGAACGTAATTATGAACAATTTGCTCACTGACAGTGGCAATAAGTGTTTCAATGCTTTTGTAATTGTTAAAATTGGATGTTCTGTTGCTGTATGTTTGTGTTCAACTCATGTTTTGTCAAAGCCTATTATCGGCGGGAATGCACTCAATGATAGGCTTTTGCTTGTTTCATACTCCTTAGATCATCATCTCAGGTTCCATATTCTATTATTTCTTTATGCAAAAGCCCCAATTTCATACTGGATTTATAATATTATATTGTCATGTTCATATTTTAATTTGATATAAACAAAGAGAATGAAAATGTGGCAATGATGAGAAACTCAAACCTCTCTCTCACTTAGATTGAGGAGTCTCTCGAATAGAAAATCATTCATTTGAGGGACAACCATGATGTTCTTCAAGCACTTTTGAGCCACTTCCATTTCGTTCTTTCTTTCCAATAAAATAAACCATACTGCTAAGCCAATAAAAACTCTCCCCCCTCCCCAATAAAGATTTTTTAATTCTCAACCATATTTTATATATTCTGATAATTGATTATGCAATTGAATAATATGAGCATTTTTTTCATTTGTATTTGTATTTGTTTTTGTGATTTTATTTTGTGTTTATATGGTAGTTAGATCTATTCTTTGTTTGAGTAAAGAATATATTTTTATAAAGAATCGGAGAGATTTGAGCCTTTCTTGCTGATCATGCAGATAAGAATTTATTTAGCCCCATAAGATGTGATTCAATGGTGTGTGGGTGAATTTGTAACCGAGATCATGGATTCGAAACCTCAAACCTTTTTGGTTTTGTCCATCACATAGCACTTGCTTATTACTATAAATTTATGTTATTGGCGAAGTTTGTAAGCTATTACACTCGGCTGAGATTTGCCCTGTGCGTAAGAGTCCGATTCCATATCATCAAAAAATAAAAGATAAAAATAGGATCGATTGAAATTGCATATTTGCATGCCTTTTTCAAATGTGGTAAAGCTTGTTTGTTTACCATTATCGCTTGTGCTTCTTTCTTAATGGCAGTGATGCTAGCTGTGCTTTGTTCATTATATACCATAGTAAGTAATTACACATATCATAGTTTTATTAGATATATTTTTATTCTTTTTTTTAAAATAAAAAATCAGTCTTTTTTATTAAATTTATATATAATATTAAAAAGCTCGTATTAACCATAATTATTTTTAAAAGAAAATTATGAAATCAATTAGTTGGTAGTATTTCTTATTTGGTATATTTAAACTTATTTTTAATAAACTAAAATATTACTGCATGGAAGGTAAGATACATTGTGGCAGGCAATATGAAAAGAGTGTTGAATTTGTGACTTGACCACCACTGATCACCCTTTTATAAGATGACTTTGTTTCTTAGGTCATATACTTTTTTACCTTTCTTTATACCCTTTAAAGCTCCTTTCATCATCTTTTGAAGTCGAATACAATAATTTGTACAACCAAGCATACTTTTAGGGTGTGTTTATCCGGGGGGTTTGGATTTTGAGTTGGGATTTGAATAGTTAAAATTTTGAATTTGAATAGTTGCATGATGTGATATAAATAGGTGTTGATGTGATGTTTTGAATATAAAATTGATTTTTAGTATAATATAAAAAATGAAAAATAGGTGTTTGATTTGATGTTTTTTGGGAAAAAAAATTGGATGAATAGTAGAAAGTTAATTAAATCCCCCAAACAAACACACCCTAGTAAATAAGATATTTAAAATAAAATAAAATAAAATGTGAGTAATTAATTATTTAGTTATATTTTACAAGGTATCTTAAATAAATTGATAAATATTTGTGTATGAAATATGATGTTTTTTAGATTATTTTTTAAAAAATAAATAGTTAAAGAAAAACACTAATGTAACCCCATGAAACAACAAAAATCTTTCAAGAGTGTGACGTGGCAAGCAAAGCGACCAGTAACACAGGCAGTGTTCTCTGGAGACCAACCAATGAAAGAAGCCCTTATCCATACTTCTATCTCTTATCCTTACTACAACTATCTTTCTATCTATCTATAATCTAACCTATCTATCAGGAAAGAAAGAAACCAGGTAGAATTGAAGCAGATCAGTAGTAGTACCTGAAAAGAATAGAAAAGAAAAGAAAATGGCGAGCATACAGGCAGCTGCTGCCACTGCCACTGCCACCCTGATGCAGCCAGCCAAGGCAAGAATCCAACAGCAGCATCTCCGATCGTCCCCAAGCGTGACCAAGTCCTTCGGGTTCGATCCCACCAGCTCCAGGCTCTCGTGCTCCCTCAAGGACTTGACCCAGAAATGCACTGATGCTGCCAAGATTGCTGGATTTGCTCTCGCCACTTCTGCCCTTATTGCAGCCGTAAGATCCCTTCCCTTCATGTTCTTTCCATTATGCTTTTTCTATATTTTGTTCGTTGCCTGCCTGCCTGCCTGCCTGTAATTAGATAATAGTTTTGGAAGTTGTTTAGATTTGGAGAGTTTTGGGAATATGATTAAAATTGGTGTTTTTGATGTGATATTTTGCAATTGGAAGAAGGTATTTGATGTACTGTGATTTGAATATGGATCATGTTTTGAACGAATAATGGTTTTAAAGATAATCTGATTTTGATTTTATGACAGAGATGTATTGAAGATTTCTCATCAGATTTGGTGGAAAAAAATCTTTGTAGATTGAAAATAAAAATATGATCTTTTTGTGTTACAGGGAGCGAATGCAGAAGGAGTGCCGAAACGTCTAACCTACGATGAAATCCAGAGCAAGACTTACATGGAAGTGAAAGGAACCGGGACTGCTAATCAGTGCCCAACCATCGACGGCGGCGTCGACAACTTTGCCTTCAAATCCGGCAAATACTATGCCAAGAAGTTATGCTTAGAGCCGACGTCATTCACCGTCAAAGCCGAGGGCGTAAACAAGAACGCGCCCCCGGAATTCCAGAAGACTAAGCTCATGACTCGTTTAACCTACACCCTCGACGAGATCGAGGGGCCCTTCGAGGTCTCCTCGGACGGGAGCATCAAGTTCGAAGAAAAAGACGGAATCGACTACGCAGCAGTCACCGTGCAGCTTCCCGGTGGCGAACGTGTCCCCTTCCTATTCTCGATCAAGCAGCTCGTGGCGTCGGGGAAGCCCGATAACTTCGGTGGAGAATTCCTCGTCCCGTCGTACAGAGGCTCTTCGTTCCTCGACCCCAAGGGTAGGGGCGGATCGACTGGCTACGACAATGCTGTCGCATTGCCTGCCGGAGGACGGGGAGACGAGGAGGAGCTCGAGAAGGAGAACATCAAGAACGTCGCGTCTTCGTCGGGGAAGATCACCTTGAGCGTCACGAAGAGCAAGCCCGAGACTGGCGAGGTGATCGGAGTGTTCGAGAGCACTCAGCCGTCCGACACCGATCTGGGATCGAAGGCTCCGAAGGAAGTGAAGATCCAGGGGATCTGGTACGCCCAGCTCGACTAGTAGAATCCTCGCCGGCTCTGCTGCCGCGGATTAGATTCTACTCGTTCGAGTTTTTTTCTGTAATTGTATCAGCGTTGTTCTTCAATACATGTCTCTGTGTGAAACTCGATGTCGAAAGGTTTCACCAGAAATCGCCGCAGGAACATCTCCCATTTGCAAAATGATGAAACCTCGTCGAATCCCTTACGACGATTCCCGCCCCGACCGATCCCGAGATGAACTTGATTGTGTTGTGGCAATCGCGGCATATCCTCAGGTTCTTGAACACCTTAATCGTCGTTTCGCCTCTCGTGTTGAGTATCCCGAAAGCGACAGCGAGCTTCTCGCTGTGGTTGCACAAGCTGTACTCCTTTTCTTCGTCGGCTAAGTCTTGTAGAACGACGTCGGTGTCGGGGTAGAAACCCGCCAACTTCATCTTGCCGCAAATCTCGTCCAAGAACTCGTATATCTCGACGTTCTCATCGTTTCTTCCATCGCCGACAACGAACGTATGCAATCTGTTCTTCACGCTAACCCAACTGCACCCGGGAACTTTCCGAATTCCCCGATCCCTCATCAGCTTCCGCGCCTCAGAGGCTTCGACCCAGCGCTTCGCGCCGACGAGGATGTTGAAGAGCAAAACGTAGTTCCCTGGGTTGTCCGGTTCGATCTCAAAAAGTCGGTTCGCGGCGACTTTGCCGAGATCGACATTCTTGTATACCCGGCACGCTCCGAGCAAGGCTCCCCACGCAGCTGCACTTGGCTCGAACGGCATCGCCTGGATGAAACTGTACGCATCTGCTAGTCGACCTCCGCGGCTGAGAACATCAACGACGCAGGAATAGTGCTCGGCATCAGGTTCGACGTTATGGATCTCGCGCATCGAATGGAATACCGCAAGCCCCTCGTCCACCATCTGCGAGTGGCTACAACCCGACAAGACGCCGGTAAATGTAACAGAGTTCGGCGTCGCGCCTGACTCGATCATTTCGTTGAAGAGCGACAACGCTTCCTCTCCTCTCCCGTGGATCGAGTTTGCGATGATGATAGTGTTCCACGCTACCGTATCCTTCGCTCGCATCGTAGCGAAGAGTCTGCTCGACAGATGTAAGTCGCCGCTCTTCGCGTAAATCATAACGAGAGCGGTACTCGTCGCCAAATCGTTCTCGAAACAATGCCTAATCGAATACGCGTGGATCTCCTTCCCGCCTTTCCAACCTTCGAGAAGAGTACAGATGGACAATACGCTCGTCACCGTTATCCGATTCGGTCTGATATGTAGCTGCTGCATCCGGCTGAGTAACTCCAGAGCTTCCTCCGGTTTTCCATTCTCGGCGCATCCCGAAATAACGGAGTTCCATGTTACGACATCCAGCTTGACTCCATAGTTCCTCATCTCTTGAAACGTTCGAAGCGCCTTCTCGCCCTGCCCACTCGTAAAGTATGCCGAGATGATCACATTCCACGAAATGACGTCGCGTTGTGGGATGTTGCGAAAGACCAACTCTGCGCGAGCAATGTCCGAGCAATTCGAATACACGGCGACAAGAGCACTATTCACAAACACATTTTCTCCCATCCCATTCCTAATAGCAAAGCCATGAATCTCCCGCCCGAAATTTAATCGCTTCAAATCCGCGCACGCGGGAAGCACCGTAGACAATGTCGTTCCGGTAGGCCTAATTCCGGCGATCCCCATTTCACGAAAAACCCGAAGAGCCTCTCCCGGGAGGCCGCAGGTAGCGTAGCAAGAACACAGAGACGTCCACGTGATCACGTCCTTCGTCGACAATCCATCGAAAACTCTCTCGGCGCCCTCGACGTTCTTGCACTTGCCATACATATCGATCAAGGCATTCCCCAAGAGCAAATCCGAGGCATAATTGTACTTCAAAGCATCACAATGGACTTCTTTTGCCTTCAACAAATCACCTGAAGATGAACACGCCTTGGCAGCTGCTAAGACTGCCAATTTGTCTGGAATTATCTTCCCGCTGTTCTTCGCGTCGGTGTAGAGTCTTATGGCGTCTCTGCTTCGGCCATTCTTGGTGTAGGCAGAAATCAGGAGAGTCCATGAATGGACATCTGGTTCAGACATTTCGTCGAACAGTTGGCGGGCGCGGCCTAAATCTCCCGAATTCAAATACTTTTTTATTAACGTGACGTTCAGATGAGGAGGAAGATTTCTTGGCAGCCGCGAAATCATCTGATGATTGCTCGGCAAAGATCTTACGGATAGAATTAGGATATCGTATTCTTAAGATAATGAAGATAATGTAGGACGGAGATATGACAGAGCTCAAGAAGATAAATAAAATATTATAAATAGTCATAAATGAAAAGAACAATGACCATCAGGCCGCAAAGATTTGTAAACGAGGAAAATTGCAATATTTTAGAATATTTTGAATTGAAAATAATAAAATAAATGTGATAATATTTCAATTTAAAATATAATTCAAATATGTAGATTAATAAGTTAACAAATTAATAATTAGTAATTTTAAAAGTTTTGATATTTGTTGTAATTTTTCTTTTTAATAATTACACTTTCTTAGTTTCGGAAGAAGAATATTATTTATTTTTCTTTAGATAAATTTTTTAACATTAAAAAGTTATAAAAAAATAATATTTGTATAATATATAGTAAATAATAAATAAAAAATAGATAATGTAACATTTATTTTGACACGAATAGAGTATTAGAATATTTATTTTCTGGCACAATATATTATTTATTGATCATCCAAAGTTATGTCTTGCGCACGTATTTTAGTAAAATAATATAATTATAATTATTTATTTCTTTATACTTAAAAAAATGAAAATATTTTTTGAATATGGCAGCTAAGCTTAAATAATGATTAGGCGAAAATCCAGCCGTAAACGGCAGGTTAGATAATTTGGATTGTGGGGTCTATTCAATTTTTAATAATTAATTAATTAATTAATCATATATATATATATATATTCTCAGTTATTTGTTGATTTGGGGAATTTCAATATTGGAACGACTGACGGCGTCACTACTGAAAGTAATATTTGCACTAATAAATAATTACGAATTTCCACTCCATCTGTAGCGAGAAAAAAAATTCAATCCCCAAAGGACGATTTCGTTCCGTCGGGGAAGAAAATCTACTGCTTGATTGCCGTAATTTCTGATGCGTAGCTTCGGCGAGGTTTGAATGGCCGTGCGCAGGTTTGCGATCACGGCATTGTATTGGGGATTAGGGAATTGATTCGAAATTCAAGTAGAGCGGTTGTGGTGTATTGTGTTTGGATGAAATGGAGGAATTTCCTGGGGCTTTAGGGACGAGCGGCAGCCTGGCTTTGAGATTAGGGCAGGCCATTTTTGCGGTTGCTTCGTTGTTCTTCATGTGTTTGGATGGTGATTTCTATGGCTATAGTGTATTCTGGTAATTTGGTCGAATTTCATCATCGGAAAGCACTTTTTATTCAATTTTATTTTTCTAGTTATGGATTGATTATTCTTCGCGACGATTATCGCTGATCGACGATTGAACTATTCGCTTTCTATGTGTGTGGAAATGATCTAAGGTGTTGCTTATTAGGGGATTGGTTTGTTTCTGCTGTCTTACGATGATTCATCAATTGAAATTAGGTCCGATTACCAATTAATTTGAAGGATTTTGTTGATTAGGTTAGTCCCAATCGGTTTGATGATTATCAATTTTGTAAGGGGGTAATACTGCTGTTTGTATCTATATCTCTGTAACTATGCTAATCACTGTGAAAAATATATCTTTATTCTTTATGCAGCAATCAAATTAGGGTTCATAGGAATAGATTTATTGTTGATGAACAACTTTGCTAGATCATGATTGTTTCACTTCAATATTTGCACCCAAGGATTTCAAATACATTGCTAAATTTGATCTTTGAATATTGGCAACATTTGTGTGAGTGAAATTGAGTTCAAATTGTTGGATTAATGGTGTATGATTCATTTGGTAATTTCAAAAGCTGTTGCTGTATTTCTGCATCTTCTGTGATCGAAAATTATAGTGATTTGCAGAAGTCATTAAATGTAATAATCTATTCCTTGAACCGAATTGTATATGGAGAAGTTATGTTTTACAAGATCTTCAGAGGAAGATAATGTAATAACGTGTTCCTTGAACTGTAGATTGATTTTACTGCCCTGTTTGATCACATCTTTGATTGTTTTGTCGTATATGGAGAGAAGTTATGCAAACGAGATATTCGGAGGAACTAATGTAATCGCATATTCCTTGAACCATAGAGTGTGTTTGACCTCTTCGTTAGCATCTATTGGTTGCTTTTGTCGTATATGGAAGAAGTTATGTCAACAAGATGTTCGGAGGAACTAATGTAATAATGCGTAACCGTAGATTGATTGTGTTGCCCTGTTTCTTCTTTATCACATTGTTGGTTGTTTTCGTCATAAATGGAACAAGTTATGTTAACAAGATGTTCGGATGAACAAGTGTATTAACATGTTCCTTGAACTGTAGATTATGTTGCCCTGTTTACCATCGATTGGTTGTTTTTGTCGTGTATAGACAAACCGATTATTAGTTGTTTCATGTTACGCTAAATAATTCATTTTGATCCTTCCGGATGCGCAGCTTTTTGGTGACAGTAATGGCATTGGTGGTTCCATGGAGCTTGACTTTAGCAATGGTGGATGGATTCTCAATTTTCGTTAAACCTCCTGCTCGACAGCCTGGCATACTCCCGATTGTCGTCATAGGAGATTGGGTATGCTCCTCAACAACAATACATATTCGACAAACCGATCAAGATTAATTTTTGATCCTCTTCATGTGTGTGTACAGGTCCTCTCATTTCTGTCGCTTGCAGCCTCAAGTTCAACGGCAAGCGTGACGAGCCTCATGCTAGCCTCTCACGGCTACTGCAATGGAAAGGTTTGCGCTCGATACCAGCTGTCGGCGGCCATGGCGCTGCTGTCCTGGTTTCTCTCATTGTCGTCCTCCCTCTTCAACCTCTGGCTGTTCCCATCTGTGTAGGTAGTTCAGCTGAGCTTAACATACATATACTAACTACATTGTAGATTCATTAGTACAGAGGGAGGGGTTATGAGTAATGGGCCTTTATTGGGCTTGGGCCCTGTTACAGAAATAAATAAATAAATGGAGATCATATAATTGAATTGAATTGAATTGTCTGAGAATCGTGGGATGCAGAATCTGGGAGTGTAGTGTAGTTGAGGTGCAGGGGATTTACAATTACAGCACGACGTCGTATTGCCGGTTGGTTAGGGTAGCCTCTGCCATTGTCAATTTGCATGAATGATTGTGCACGTGCAGATCACACGATGCGATACGAGACAGGACAAGACGACCACCGTGGCCATGTGTTTTAGTGTTGACGAAATTTGTGTATGCTACGTTATGCTATACTATTATCTGATCATTAAATAAATAAATTATAAAATAATAAAATAGATGTGGTGTAGTGAAGAGTGTAGAAGAGAGAGAGATCCGACGGACAGACGGACAGACAAGGTAACAGTGCAGATCAGCAGGGAATCAAGTGTCGGGCGGTTGGGATTTGAAGGGCTCTACAAATATAATTTTTTTTAAAAAAAATCAATATATAAAAAGATTGAAATTTAAATTTCTCAAACTAATGGAAGAAATCTAGGGAGAGACAAATTGGAGTCCAAATCCGGGTGCTTAGTATGGAAAACGAGGTCCAGAATAGTCCTCCCGGCATACAAGCTGTCACCCACAAGTTTACAGCCTGGCGGACTCTAAAAAAGACCTTTCCTTTTTCCTTTTTGTTTTTTCTTTTTGTTCACTCCTCATGCTGACGTGTCATTTCTGAATTTCCTGTTTTACCCCTCATCCAACCCCCTCCGTGTATATAAACACCCCCCACGCGGATTCTCAGGAACGCCTCCATCTCACATGAACTTGTGCGATACGAAATCAAATCGACCGACGATCAATTCCGCCGGAGATAAATGGGGATTTGCAGTTCCTGCGAATCGGCAGCCGTCGCCACGGCGAAGATAGTAATGGAGGATGGGAGATTGCAGGAATATTCCTCTCCGGTTAGGGTTTCCTACCTATTGCAGAAGAATCCGGCCTGTTTCGTCTGCAACGCCGACGAGATGGACGTCGGCGACGTCATTTACGCCGTCGGCGCCGAGGAGGAGCTCCAGCTCGGCCAGCTCTACTTCCTCTTGCCGCTGAGCCTTCTCAAGCGCCGGCTACAGCCGGACGAGATGGCCGCATTGGCCGTCAAAGCCAGCTCGGCTCTGAAACGGACCGCCGCCTACTGTGGGGAAACTCGCCGGAATGTCCTCGTCTTCCCTGAAGTGGACAGCCTTGCGCAGCCGAGAAAAGTTTCCGGCGCCGATGTCGGATCTCGGAGAAAGAGCGGCGCCGGAGTTAGAGGGAATAATACACAGCGGCGGTTGTGTGCGATTCCCGAGTAGGGGTATTTTGGGAAACGGAAATTTTTTTCTGTAAATATAGTGTAAAATTTGTCACAAATTTTTCCGAAAAATACATGGAGATGTTCAACTTGATAATATTTTTTGTTTGTTATCTTTGTTCAATAAGAACAATCGAAGCTAACTCAATCCCTACTCCATATTCAAGTTATAATAAGAATATATTTTTTGGGAAAATTAAATTTTGCCGTTGAGACACCCATTTAAGAATATATTATGTAATAATTTTTATATATACTCCATATTTATGATTTTTATTTAGTTTCAAATAATTTAGTATGTTATAAATGTATAGAGAATTGTAAAAAATTTACAAATATTAAAAGATTTGAGATAGAAAATGTCATATATATATATATATATTTTAAATTCACTTATAGTATTGTTTTAAAAGACAACTATATAATATTATATCAAAAACAAAATTTTTAGTTAAAATATTATATTGAAAATAAAATTTTAATATAAAATATAACATTTATTATATATTTATATTACATAAAATATAATTTTGTATTAATGTTTTAGAAAAAATTAAAAACTCCAATAGTAATATGCACTCTTCCCTTTCGGTAGAGATGAATATTTGGTTTTAGTACGACAATTTAGATAGTATAAATTAATTATTTAGATTATAAAATTAGTTATTTAATATTTTTTAAAATATTTTTAATACTATTATATTTTAATAAAATATATATTTAAATATTTATTTATCATTAAGCATAAATTAATTTTATAAAAATTGTGCAGTATATTGAATTAAGTATACTAGTATAATATTTTATAATAAATTAATTATTTAGATTATAAAATTAGTTATTTAATATTTTTTAAAATATTTTTAATACTATTATATTTTAATAAAATATATATTTAAATATTTATTTATCATTAAGCATAAATTAATTTTATAAAAATTGTGCAGTATATTGAATTAAGTATACTAGTATAATATTTTATAAAAAGAAAATTATATTATTTTTTATAAACTTAATTTAAATAATTGTGTTTACCGTTCAAACTTGTGTTTATTTTTTTTCAAAATTATCAAAAAAGAAAAAAAAAATCTTATTTAATTTTAATAAAAAATACATAAATTTTTATATTTTTTTATTAAAAAACAAAAAATAACAATTATTAGCAAATCTACATAACAAATGAGTAAAAAGGAAAACCTATAAACCTTTTGCAATTATTGGTAGACTCGAAGGCCACCATGCAGCCAGATGAAACAGTGGCGTTGAAGTCCATGGACTTTCTGAAAACGCAGCATTAGTGGGTGCATCACAGGAATTGAGAAAGAAAATTGGTTATGTTTGGATTTTGAGGCGGAGATTTCAATAGTAAAATTTTGGATTTGAACGATGAAATTTTTGAAACGAATGTTTATGCGATATTTTAAATGTAAAATTAATTTTAAATATAATATAAAAAATAAAAAATAAGTATTTAATTTGATGTTTTTGAGAAAAATAAATAATATATCTAGGGGCAAACACACGGCAATTAAAATAGGATATTAATTCATACATTATTTGAAATATAAATGTGTACTATTTAATTTTCATTTAATAGTAGTATATTATAACAAACAGTCATTAAATACAATATTCTTTTACAGCTGGAACCACTACGTATTTACCGTTCCACTGACATTATTACATTTATATATATATATATATATATATAACTGGCCGTCCTTATTTTAATTTAGTGTAATGAATTTATTTCCAACATTCATATAAAATAGGCTCATTTTATTTAGGTACAATTTTAATGTATTGTGTACTTTTATCTTTCATGGTAAAAATAATTGAAGTTTTGAAAATACTACATGCATGCCCCAATCAATTTTATTCATTCAGATAATATATATATATATATCTAAGTTTTAAATTTAACAAATTGCAATATAAATTATAGCGTTATTGTGCATGGCGGCCTGGCAATAGTAATAAAATAAAAATTACTCTTACCAGTAGTGTGTGGTCAAAGGATTCCTGCCTGTACAGGCAAGCCAGGAAGGATCTCATGTTCATTGTCTCTATTTATTCACAATATATGTATAATAGTATTATAAAATCACAAATTTCAACGACAACAATGTCATCAACACTATGTATGGTCGATTTTAAAAACATACTCCCTCCGTTCCAGATACCGTGTCTGTTACACTGTAGATACGGTGATATAATTAGTAAATAATTAAGAATGTATTAGTGAAAATAATTATCCTATAATATAAATAATTATAAATTAAGATTAAGATAACTAATTAGTTTAATTAAAATTTTAAAAAAATAAAATTAAAAAATTTAAAATAAGATTAAAGTGTGTAATCATTTTCCATAAAATAAAAGTGACGTAGTATGTGAGATAGACAGAAACGGCAACATGGACATGATATCTGGGACAGAGGGAGTATTTATTTTCATAAATATAGTCAAGAAAGCTGAATGCCATGTAAATTGATTTTGAAGTTTTGAAATTTTTTTAAAATAATAAATTTTAAATATTTGAAGTGATATTTATAAAAAAATAATAATAATAATAATTACTTAATACAGTTTGTACTAAGATATTATTATTAGTAAACAATATCAAATATTCAAAAATATTTACCCAAGTATAAACAGGGCCTAACTAATGTATTGAAAACAAACAAATAATTAATTAAAATTTGTGGTGTTTGTTTATCCTATTTAATTACTGTATTATTTTTTGAAAAATATTACATTGCACCTTAATTTACTACCGCTTTAAAAAAATAATACTCCTACAGTCCTACATTTATTTTATTTTCTTTATACATAAATTATTTTTGACTAATTATTTAAACATAACAAATAAAGTTACTATCGACTGATTCTATAATATTTTTTTTATAAACTGACAACTTTGCGACACGTGCACTCCATTTTTTTAAATTTTTTATAACGTACATTTATTTTATTTTTAACGTAACTTTTATTTCTAATAAAACTATTCAATTATTAAATTTTAAAATATATATACACAAAAAATTAAAAAATAATAATAATAATAATAAATACGACATGTATAAATAAGGCAAATTGGTGGCGTGGATCGAGTTGGCATGCAAAGCTGTTAGGGTTGGACATGTAATTAAACCGTAACGGCACCGTCCGAGTCCGGCCTCGTGTCTAGGACCTAATTAATAGTAGACCAGGACCAGGACCTGGACCTCGTCCTAGTCGTAGGTGGTCCCCACTTGCAGTCCTAAGAAGACTTGATCGGCCGTTAGGTTTATAGATGTAATGATTAAGTTAATTAATAGTGTGTTCTAAAAAAGAGTGGTTGATTAAGAAATGTGCTAAAACCCATGTTCTATAATTTGCTTCTTTTGATACTCTAAAAAGTGATTTGCATTGCCATTGCCAACCCCATTTTAGATCTCATTATTAGGCCCTACAAATAATCTGCTTTAATTAATTTTCAAAATTATAAGTCCACCTGCTAAAGTATTTATTTTTTTATTTTAGTGTATTTTATAATAAAATATTAATTTTTTTTAGTTATTTTTACTTTATTTTTACTATATCACAATATAATACTAATATCTTTAAAATTACATAAAAAAAAACAAATAAATATCTAATTATAGAACGAAGGGAGTAGCATTTTTATTTTTATTTTTATTGTCCACACATAATGTATTTATTTCCTAATTTAGATTGTCTGTAATTAATAGATTACTATTACACTAATTTATATATCAGAGGTAAAAAAAAAAATCTACATGCCAAATTTACCGTAAACTAGGGTTAAAATACAATATTCATTAACCCTTATATAAAAAATATTTATTTAATGCACAAAGGTAGTAGCTATTTATTTATTATATACTTGTTCAATGAACTTTTTTAATATGACTAAACAATTCCAATATTAAAATTAATTGTCCCTAATTTTTTTTTAATATTTTACATGTTATTTAATAAAGTTGTATGGTGTACCGTAACATAAATTTAATATACGAGTAATTATTATTGATGGATAACTATGACGTGGTACTAATTATTTTTTCCACTCACCTATGGACATCATTAGGTGTATATTTTTAATATAATTTTGGTTCCACATTATCCATTAGGAGTACTTTTTTTTTTTTTAAATAAAAGTTACTATCAAATTAAATACATATTACTAATTAATAGTATATTATAAAATATTATTTTTAATTTAAATATCACACATGATGTAATATTGTTGAAAAAATATATATTATTTGATTTGATATTTTTAAAATATTATAATAAATAAATAGTAACAAAAAATTTAAAACTATCCATATAAACAGAGGAAATGCTTGAAATTTTTTATTATATATAAATGATTTTTCAAAAAAATAAAAGTAAAAGTAAATTAAGGGAAAAAAAAAAAGAAAAAAAGAAAAAGAATATATACCAAGGACTATTCACTGCACAAAGAACAGTCAACAAAATCACCCATTAAACATTTTCTAACTTATTGCTTTCTAATGCTCATAAAATTTCTGGGCCTCCATTCTTAATTTAGTGGGCCACTAATTTTAGCCCATACTGTACTAGAAATGGAGGAAAATTGGACATGGATGCTGTATTTTTTTGATATTTAATTGAATTATTTTGTATTTATATAAATAAATAATGTTTTTATTTATTGAATTTTACATTTTAAATTTAAAAAAAAATATTACTTCCGTTCGATTTTAAGAGTTACTTATCTTTTAGTATATTGATCTTTGCGTTAAAAAAATTATATATTTATAAAAATATTGTTAATATTAAGTATAATAATGCGAAAGATAAACGTGACGGGTAGAAAAGAATCCAATATGTAAAAACTCGTGTTGGCAAATATGATGAAGACTAATATTAACTATACATTATTTTCTTTCTTGACCTGAACTATTTCCTGTGTCAGAGGTTTTTGGATGAATTCTTTGTTTGTTGTAATAAAATAAAATAAAATAGAATGAATGAAAGAGATGAAAGTGAACCCCACAAAGAGCCACATAGACATTATCCATATCACATCTTAATCCCAACTTCATCTTCATCAAAACCACACATATCCTTTAACCAAACACAACCACCAAGAACAAGACCCAAAATCCCAAATGCAACAATCACCATCTTCTTCATCTTCCTCAACCTCTCTTCTTTCTAATTCTTGATTCGTGATTCTTGATTCTTGATTCTGATTCTGCAAGTAAGCCATGGAGACGATTCTCCTCCCCCTTTCCAAAACCCCCCAATTCCCCAGATCAAATTGTACCCTAAAACCCCTCTGCTGCACCTTCACACAACACCACAACAAAAACCCTAACATTCTTAAAATCAGACAGCCCCCAATTTCAAATTGGGCAGTGAATCTGCACCAGGGAATTGCGGCGCTCGCCATTTCCTTAGCCCTAAATTTTTCCCCAATTTTGGACCACTCTGCCCTCGCCTCCGAATTCGACGTCCTCAACGAAGGCCCCCCCAAAGATTCCTACGTCTTCGACGACGCCGGCGTCCTCAGCCGCATAACGAAATCCGATTTGAAGAAATTGCTGTCCGATTTGGAGGCCAGAAAGGGTTTCCGCATCAACATCATCACTGTCCGCAAGCTCACTGTGAGTCCGTCTGTAATAAAAATTAATCGAAATGGATTTCCAACAATTCCGAAGTAATTACAAATGCTGTTCGTTTCTGAATTGTTAATGATGCAAGAGCAAAGCTGATGCATTCGAATACGCCGATCAAGTGCTGGAAAAATGGTACCCGACTCTGGAAGAAGGGAACAACAAAGGCATCGTCGTGCTGATCACCAGCCAGAAGGAAGGTGCCATCACCGGCGGGCCTCAGTTCATCCAGGCCGTCGGAGATTCCGTTCTGGACGCCACCGTGTCGGAGAATCTTCCAGGTACTGATCCAAATCAAATCAAATTCAATTCGATTTCGAATCAGTTGTCGATTCAATTTATGATTGATGGAATGGCAGTTTTGGCGACGGAGGAGAAATACAATGAGGCGGTGTACAGCGCGGCGAGGAGGCTGGCGGCGGTGATCGGCGGCGAGGCGGATCCCGGCGGGCCTCAGGCGAAGGAGAACAAAAGAGAATCGAACTTTAAGACAAGGGAGGAGACGGAGGAGAAGCGGGGGCAGTTCACTCTGGTAGTGGGAGGTTTGTTGGTCATTGCTTTTGTTGTTCCAATGGCACAATACTATGCTTATGTCTCCAAGAAATAATAACAATAATAATATATTTAGTTTTATTTAATTAAGGATATCATGTCGATGTCTTAGAAATGTATTCATCTCTAAATGTTACAAACATTATAACAAAATAGTATTATTTTTTAACAAGATTTTTTCTTTTCTTTTTTCGTTACTAATAATATAAACCCGCACAAATTTGAATCTCACTCAAAACGTTCCACTAGAGTATGGGAAGTAAAATATGCCTCCATTCCTTTTTAATGTATTTAAACACAAATTAGATATACAAATAAATGTTTAATTTGATATATATATATTTAAAGCCATGTTTAATACTTCCTTTGCCTCGGTCCTATTTATTTAATTTATATTTTTTTAATAGATTTTAAAAATAATACTATCTCCGTTCAACATACTGTGTTTTAATTAAAATTTTTTTAAAAAAAATAAAAAATTTAAAATGAGATTAAAGTGTGTAATCATTTTCCAAAAAATAAAGTGACATAGTATGTGGGACGGACAGAAACGACAATATGGACATGGTATGTGGGACGGAGGGAGTAATATTTTATTGGTAAGTAAAAATATAAATAAAATAAATATTCTTGTTAAAATTAGATTATTTTGATATTTAGATATAATTATCGTCACTAAAAGGTTATGGATCATACGCTGAGCTTATATTTTAATTCAACATTGTTGAATATAATCTCAACCACTAAATTTGCATCTATAATTATAATTACACAATGACAAGTAAGATTAAGGGTTAGAATTTTTAGCAGCACTGTTGATTCTTAAGGATTCTGCATGAAATCCATGTTGTTACTAAAATAGATATTTTTTAATGCAATAAAATAAAATATTAAAAAATATATATATTAATTTGGAATTGAGAAAGTATATGTCGTTACACTCAATCTATATTAACCTAACAAGAGTTTCAATTATATCCGACAGAAGTCATATTAATAGTAAATAGTAATAATAGAAAATGAATTAGTAATGCATGACTGTGGTCCTCTACCTACCTCATACCTCAAAATCAAACTGAAAATTGGTCCATATATGATAGTCATAACCTTTCTTTTCTGCAAGTTTTGGTTGACATTTTTATTGTAGAAATTTTGAATTGAAATTATTTTATATAAATTGGTGTGTTGGATCGGGATTGAGTTTTTAAACAGATCAAAATGTCCAATTCAAACTTGACCCGTTTATTTAAACGAATTTTAAGATTTGATCCAAATTTGACATGTTAATCAGTTTAATAAGTTTTTTTTTATTATTATAATTAGGTTAGATGACCTGAATCCAATTCAACTTTATCCATTTAAAAATTTTCTAAAATTAAAAAGTCACTAATTCAATAAAAAATAGTCGAACATACATACACAATAAATAGTAAAAACTATTTTATATAATATCTTTAGATTGTGTTCGATTTAAATTAATAATTTTTTTGAAAATATTGTTGAATTTGGTTGAAGGCCTCAATCCTAATACGACTTATTTATTATCATGTTGGATTTGCGTCGACCCATACACATAATCAAGACTCAATATTTTTATCAAAATCCAATTATTTCATTTTGATTTTGTATCGAATTGTTGTATCGTATCAATTTTTTTGTCACCTCTGTTCGCAAGCTATTAAAAATTAAATTTGAGAATAATACAATATTGTAATATATATACATATAAATGATTATATTCTTGCTAAGTTTATTTTCAATATACTCATATTCAAATTTGAATTTAAATAAAATAAATTTATTTTTCATACAAAGGGGTACTTACATGGAACCTTATACTTTCCAAAATATCTTCAATTATTTGAAAAAAGAATTGTGTTATATATTAGACATGAGAAAACAACAACAATAAGTTTAAGAACTTAAACCACTGACCAAAATTAATTACTCCTATATATGTTTATAATATAATAATTGGATAAATGTTTTACTTAATTTCTTATTTAAGCACATCTATAATCTTTTAATCGATTTAATTAACCAAAATACAAATAACTAAAATTCCCCAAAATCCCTAACCAAGAAGGACCCTTTCTCCGGCAAATTCCCGGCGTGACGTAGCCCTAACGTCAGCGACACGTCGCCGGAGATCGCCCCAAATCTCATCACCGCCGATTCCATGACATTTCCGTCGTCGTCCGTCGCCGGCAAGGAAACGGCCGCCTGTTCGGAGGCATTCATTTCGGCCGCCGGGGGAGCAACGGCGGCGGAATTCGGAGCCGCCAGAGTTTGCGATGTGGCGGCGGCGGCGGCGACGGTTTGGCCGTCCGTCTGGAGATCATCGCCGCCGCCTCCTCCGCCGGCGGCGGAGGACTCCTCTTTCGCTTCCTGTTGGTACATTTCTTCCACCATCGGCTTCCACAGACGAACCCTAGCATTGATGAACCAGTTCGAAACCTGGAAATGGCACAAAAATCAAATTAGACAGACAATTAAGGTTACAGACAGCGTAATGACGAACAAATTAATTATGACTACATCGATCTTCCCGAGGAAAAGACAAATCCAAAATTGTATGGCCATTATTGACTGCCACTGTTTTTTTTTTTTTTTTTTGCCCTTTTTTCATAGGGATCAGAAATTGGGTTTTTTTCAGCGATCAAACACAGAATCCAAAATTTACCAAAAGATATATCTCTCTCACACACAAACATATACACACATAAATCTGTATCTATCAGTGACTCCATTAAATGAATCGAAAGCTGCAAACATTCATGTCTCAGTATCTCTCTCCATCTCTAAAAACCCTCATTTTCTTTTTCTGTGTTTATGTTAAATTCTTGGGGCAGATAACGTTAAAATAGTGTAATGAAGAAAACAAGAATGACATAGAAAGTAGAAAGATTAATAGTAATATTTAAAAATAAATAAATAAAATAAAAACCTGATTTCTTGACAGGCCAGTCTGTCGGGCCAACAGGTGTTTATCAGCATCGCTAGGGTACCTGAGATGGAGGAAAAAGAAAATGACACAAGATTCAGAGTTCTTACCCAAATCAGATAAAGTTCCAAACCTTTATATTCACAATGTCTCTGTGAACTCTGAATTTATGCAATTATGCATTTCTAGCTCCCTCTCCTATCCTTTTCATTTCTCTTTTTCTCAAAAAAAAAAAAAAATGGCGTGGAAATCTAAGGAGAATACAAAATCGTCTGGTCAACATACAGAGACCAGACCCCAAAGCTGAATAGCCTAATTTGCATATAAATAGATACATATACAGATGTGTATATATATACATATAAGTGTTGTTTAAAATTAAGACAATCTAATAGGGGCAGGAAATGAATGAAAAGGACACTGGTGTGTTTAATTTCATTGTGCTACTGCCATTAATAATGTTTTAGAGATCTGAGAGATAAGCCTATTAAATATGATAACAGATGATGTCAGGACAGCACTCAGAAGAGAAAGAAGACAACAAGAACCAACCAAAAAATTTTTTAACCCAAAGAAAAGGTTTAAAGCAATATAACTATATATTAATAATATAAGCATAACATTTTTAATTTTCTTGATATATATATTAGCTGAAAATTAGGTTTTCCTTACACAATAATTTTAAATAAAAAAATGAAAATAGAGAAAACGTACGGGTGGAGGAAATGTTCGAAAAGCCAAGCTCTCAAAATGTTGACTGATCGTTCGGGCAAGCCTCTTTGTGGTCTCCAGGTTTCTTGCTCCATCGTCATCCCCATTCCCATTTGATGGAAAGCCCGTTGCTGTCTGAGAGACTGGTCAAGAATTCGTAGTCGGGGGGTCTCCCCCTTTGTCACTCCCGACGACGCGCCGCCGCCGGCGTCCTTCTCGCCGAGGACGTCGCAGCTCTGCTTCAATTGGGCGGCGATGGCGTCCTTCAGACACCGGAAATGGCGAGACATCGCCTTCTGGGCTAATGTCGTGTACGGCATCGCCGCCCCGAACCCCATCACCATGTCGAATGAGCTCACCACCATCTGCATTTGCTCACAGTAATGGTTGTACCTTCGATCCACCTGAGAAAATCAATCTTAGTTTGTCTGATTCTATCAATTGATTTTGAAATTGAAAAAAAAAATGGGGGGTGGGGGTGGTTAGAGGTTCGTGTTCGCACACCAGAATGAAAATCCTGTTTGCCCTAATTGTGCCCCACCAATACTACTGACTAAAATATATGGAGTAGGTAGATCGAATTCAATCATTTGTGGTTAACAAATTAAATCGAATCCGTGGTAAGCATGTTTCTTCCGCCGGCAATTAAATAATCCGTCCGTCCGTCCTGGAAACTTTTTTAATTGGATTGCCAGAATTCATTTTCTTGATTAATTAATTAAACGGACAACAGTGGACTAATCGAAAGCAACCATGATTGGGTAATGACTGGAATTTAAAGACGAAATCTTAGAGAGAGAGAGAGAGAGATGAGAGAGGAAATTAACATGCCTCATCAAGCATGGATAATAGTTTGACCTTTCTTCTCTGGTGCTCGAGACGGTCGGCGGCTGATAGAGGAAGAACATCCTTCGACGAAGAAGACACCGGATTATCGGCGGCGGTGGTGGTGGCGGCGCCGCCGCCGGCTGTCGGATTTGTAGTACTAGGGTTTCCATTGTTGTTGTTACTGTTCTGTCTCCCGAATTTGTTTTTCCTCAATTGACTCCTTCCCACGCAGCAAAATTCTCCTAACAGCTCCTGAACTGCTTTAGCATACTTCGAATTTCGCAGCATATTCGTCGTTCCGTACGAGGATCCAATCCCTGATTGTACGGCGGCGCCGCCGCTGAAATTCTTAAATTGATGCTGTCCAATTGGGCCTTGTCCGAAAAACAACATTCCGGCGGCTTCTCCGATCCTGAATTCTTCATTTTTGGCTGCGTCGAACTGCTGCAAAGAAGACGACAGCGACAGCGATAGTCCTTGCCCTTCCCCGACTCTCGGAATGTGATTGGTTTCCGCAGCGGTGTTCGGGGCCCACTGGAACTGGTCGAAATTCCCGCCGGCGGCGCCGCCGCCGCCTAGGGCGGCGTGGAGAGTTTGGGAGGACGAAGAAGGTGTGGGAAGAAGCATGTGGAGAGTCGACGACGACGGCGGCGGCGGCCGGGATGGTGACGGAGAAGTCGAACCTTGCTGCTGTTGAGGGTTCATCAGAAAAAGCTGCATGGCGGCGGCGGAATCCGCCGCATTAATGCCGGAAATCTGATTCTTGGAATCTGATAAATTGCCGCCGAGAGGAATACCAGGGCGGTGCAAGAACCAATTTTCCGACGAACCACTGGCCGCCGGCGGGGTATTTCTAGAATTCCGGTAGCTCTGCAGTATCTGGTTTTCTAACAATTCCGTCGCCGTGGCGGCGGCGGCGCCGCCTCCAGATGTAAAATTGAACATCTCTGACAACATACCTGCCGACTCATATACCGGAAGCCCACCTGTCTCTTCCTCGATTCCAACCAGCGGCGGCGGCGCCGCCTCAAAGCCGGCCGGAACCCTAATCTTATCCCGGCGGATCTGGTGTGTCGCTATATGCTGCTGCTGCTGTTGTTCTTGCTGCGATCTCTCGAATCCATTCGAGAAACTGAAAACGGTCTGATGATAATCCTGGGACATAGAATTCGATAAATTTTGAAATTGAGGAGAATTGTGACCTTTCGATTGGACGGCGGCGGCGACGGTCGGAATAATTGTCGGCGTTGCTATTCCCATATCAGTCTCTTTATCTTCATTCTCGTTTTCTCCGATCAAAATCAAATCCCTTCTCCGACCAAATCCTCCGGCGGCGTTTTCACCTGTCCGAATTAAATCAAACAAAATTAAAAGAAGAAAAAAGAGAAGTGAAGAGGGAGTTGGGTATTTATTGAAATTGAGTGTCGTTTCACAGAGAGAGAGAGGGAGAGGGAGAGAGGAAGTAAAAGTTTGAGCTTTATGAAATGATTTCACCAACACATCACATACCTCTTATGGTTGCTGGTTGTAAAAGATTGCAAAGACATCAGACATCGTTTTCTTTCTTCTGTGGGAAAACAAATTAATAATAATTTATGGAAAAACAAATAAATCACATTCTCCTCTCTCCACACTGCTGCTAAAAAATCTTTTTTTTTTTTTTTTTTTTTTTTTCTCTAACTTGATTTGTCTGAGGTTTCTGAGGCCATCCTTTTTCTTTCTTTCTTGCTTTCTCGACTTTTGTTTGATCTTTGCAGGTGTGAGAGTGGCCTTTGTTCCCTCTGCAATCGTCTTCTTGAAAGGGAGAACTTTTTTTTTTAAAACAAAAAAAAACAGCAAAAACCCACAAGTGTTTTTAATACAAAAAGATGTCTTGTTGTTTGAATATGAATCTTTCGTGCCTCTTCTCTTCTTTCTCTTACAATCACACACCAAATTTAGAGAGACACTGACACAAAGAAAGAGAGAGAAAGACAAAGAGAAAGAGAGAGAGAGAGAGAGGTCACTGTATCTCCAACACATCCTTTTTCCATTTAAATTATTTTTTTTAACTTTCTTCCTCAACTTGACAAACGATTTTTTTAAAAAAAAAAAAAAATCAATTCAAACGAAATTAAAATAATAGCAACACCTAGGATCACAGATCCAGAACAATCAAACCGTTGATTATCTCTTCTATACAAAAACAACGGCTTACAGATCTCAGGACTTTGAGCACCAGGATCTTCCATATGACCAGTACAAACCCTCCAGAATCATCAATCATGATTGAGAAATGACAAGATTGCCCACTCTTCGTGCGAATTTAATATTTAACTGAAAATTGAAGGACTATTGAATAAATTTAAATTTCTAAAACTAACTGTGCAAATGGGTCCAAATTTAATTGGTCACAAATAATTATTGTTGTAAAATATAAGCAATATTATTACCAAAACAAATGACTTGAAGACAAAGTCAATCTCTTAGTAAGAAATTAAAGTAAGACATTATTATTAATTAGTGAACTTATTCCCCCGCACACAAATATATAAAAATGTTCCGATAAAAAAAAAATAAATATATATATATATATATATAAATGTACTAATAACTAATTGGATTAGGTTTATTTATTGAGTACACTGTCACTGACACTATATATTATTCCTTTAGTTAAATTAAATTATATTTCCTCCAAGTATTCATTTCACGATTTTTAGATAGTTCACAGTTAATTTATTTAATTTTAATTTATTAAATATAAACTTTCACATAAATAATAAAATACTGAGATTTTAATAAATACATTCTTAAATACTATTATGTATATGTTAGAAAATTTTCAAACAAAATAGGCAAAAAAAATAGAAAATTTATATTATAAAATATATACGTAAGCTCACACAAACGTGAAGGATGTGTAATTGGATGTTAAATTCTCTATCTCTTTTTACATTTTCAAAATTATTTTATCATATGTTTTTTAACATTTTCGTTTTTGTTAATTGGCATATGATATTATCCATTTATCTGTCTGGATAATGGATATATAAATATATATTCAAAAGAGTGTGTTTGTTAGCAATTTTTTTCAAATTTTATACTATTTAATATTCATATCTTTTTATACAAAAATATATTATTTCATCTCACACAATATTATTTCCAAATTTCTATTAAATTAAAAATAAAAAAAATACCAAAATAACACGTTTTTATTAAACTGATATGCATATATAAATGCTATTTTATTTTGTTATATAAATTTTAATTTTACAAAAAATTATGTATATTTTCATGAAATTAACTTCAATTACAACATAATGTCATAATCGCTATACTCCCAAAATTCATCCAAACATTACTCCATTTTATTTTCTCCATCCGTCCCATAACTATATATTTATTTGTTTTTTACACGGGATTTTAGAAATATTAGTACTCCCTCCGTCCAATTGAAAGGTTATCATTTTTCATTTTCGTCCGCCTCACAACAAGGTTACAATTTCCTAATTTAGTAATTATACTACATATCTAATACTCCCTCCGTCCCAAACATCCTGTAACATTTCCTTTTTGGTACGTCCCAAACACCCTGCAACATTTCCTTTTTGGTATGTCCCAAACACCTGCAATATTTCCAAAATAGGAAATAATTAATTATATTTAATCTCTACCCCGTACTTTATCCCCTCACATCATCCAAATAAAAAAAATAAAATATATATTTCTCTCTCCATCACATTACCTAATTTCTAAATTATCCTATTTAATACTATCCACCTAAAAAGTCATGCCAAAACCAAATGTTTCACCATGTTTGAGACGGAGGGAGTATAATAAATACCCTTTTAATTTACACTATATTACACAAATGTCATTACTTTTATATTAAACAATACTAATAGGGATAATTTTGTTCTTTTCACCACAATCCATTATAATACTAATATTAAAAAATCTACGTGCGACGGAGGGAGTATTATATTGGGATGTAGTAGGAATAAAGTATAAATGACTAAAATAATCTTATTAATATTGTGTGATATATTGCAAGTTGTAAAGGTATTTGTAATATTAGGTATATAATACAATTACTAAAAAAAGAAAATAAATATTTTGTTATGGGACGGATTAAAATGAAAAAATAAATAGTTTATTATACGGAGCGAGTATTAGAAACATAAATCAAATAAAAACATACTTATAATATTCAAAGCCTTACTTTCCAAATATTGTTAAAAATAAAATAAAATTAGTTTGAAATATACTTAACAATATAAGTATAAAATTGAAAAAAAAAAAAAAATAGAAATAAAATAGTTTGGTTTGTGTTGGGTGAGTAGTGAAAGAAACACTTAACTGCTTTACCCATTTAGCAATGCCAAAATTGATACTTTTGAAATAAACCTTTCGCTGACTATGAATTATGATTGGCACAAAAATCCCAATTCTGCCAAATCTTATAATTTGCAGGTGTGTTTGTTGAATCAATCATTTCACTCAAATAACCAACAAAATTTTCTAATTATTTTTTTTTAAGGGAATAAATTATTTTTGGTCTCAATATAATCAAAATTCATCGATTTTGGTTCCAATATAAAAATCTTATCAAATTTGGTTCCACTATAATCAAAACTCGTCATTTTTTGTCCAAATACAATCAAACTTTATATTTTTTGGTCCCACCGTCAACAAACCGACGAAAATCAAACCTTATCTTTATATTTGAAGAAACTGCACAATCTTCCACGTCAATATCTTTCGTTGGTTTGTTGAAGGTGAGACCAAAAATGAAAAGATTTGATTATATTGAGACAAAAATGATGAGTTTTAGTTATATTTGGACTAAAATTAATAAAAAAATTTATATTTTGACAAGAAATGATGCGTTTTGGTTATATTTGGACCAAAATTGATAAAATTTTTATATTTTGACCAAATAAATTTTGGTTATATCGAGACAAAAATAATTTTTCCCCTATTTTTTAATATAATCTGGTGTAAGATTTAATGTGGCCACGAGTGTGGTTTCGCAATTAATCAAAATATATAGTTAACATCTTTTTAGTAATATATTTTTATTATTGAATGCAAATATATAAAAGGTTGTGTCTAAATGTATTTTGAAAGTATTTTGGAGTTCTATTGTAAATAATTAAAAGATGAATTAAAAAAAAAAACAAGTATTTGATATATAATACTCCATCCGTTCCAAACATCGTGCAATATTTTTTTTTTTGTCCCAAGCTCATGACAACATTTTCAAATTTAGAAATAATTAATAATATTTTTATACATATATTAATATACACTTCGTTCTATCTCATCATATCGCTCAAATAAAAAAAATACAAATAATCATTTCTCTCTCCAATCACATCACTTAATATCCAAATTATCTCAAATTAACATACTTAATACTCTCCACCTAAATTCTCGTGTCAAACACAAATATTGCACTGTGTTTGAAACGGAGAGAGTAGTATATATATATATATATTTAATGAACATTATATATTATTGGATAAATATTTATAGAGATAATGAATTTAAAAAATCTATATTTTGGCCTATGTTGTATAATATGTTTAATCTACAATGAGTTTTGTCCTATTATATGTATATGGAGAAATGAAATGAATGTGGAATTATGCAATAAATGTGGCACATGATTGTGTATATATATTTGTATACACGAAATAATGTCACACAATATTTGTTTTAATTTAATAAACATTATTTTAATTGGATACGTAGAAATTAGTATATGGAACTTCTTGGGTGGATCCACACCGTCCATCGTATGGACCACAGTTTCAGACCCACAAATCAACGGTGTAGATCATTTGGCTTTGGCCAAACGGGCACGGGCGGCGTTTTCATTTGACATCCGTCGTGATTTCTTTCGGGATGGAGTCACGTGCACCTCACGTGCAACAGGACCACTTATTTATTTGTTTATTTTTATTATTTTGGATGTATTTGGTTTGTGTTAGAATTTGTATTTTGTAGTTAAATGTCGGTTGAATTTGATGTTTCGTAAAAAAAAATAAAATTATAGAAAAATATATAATTTCAATAGTAAGTCAATTGAAGAAAAAAATAAATTAAAAAATAATCAATATTTGTCACTCGGGAGTCGGGTTTTGTTAATAAATTGAAAAAGGAAAAGCTCAAATAGAACAAAAACTCTAGTTCTTTTTTTTTTTTTTTCTGTAATTTCAAATTGTCGATATTATTTATTTTACATTATTTTAAATAAAAATATAATTTTTTTTTCATAAAATATCACAGTAAAACGCAATTTAAACGAAAATTTAAATCAATATTCTATTTTTAAAAAAATGTCTGAATGTTAAGGATTTGTTTGGTTATCAATTGATTAGCTTCTTGTTGGAAATATGTTTGTACTATTTTGCTTTTGAGTTTTTTTTTTTTTCAACCAAATAGATTTGACCCATAATTTTTAATAAAATATTTATTAAAAAATTAACAGAAATAAATATTTCTCGTTAATTAACATACTAATATCTAATACTTATAAGAATACCAAAAAATTCTTAAAAACAATAAGAGAACTCAACACTTGTTTATGACATTCTCTAGTTTCCTCTTTAGGATATTCTAACAAAGTGATTTGTGTAATATGAATGGGTGTGTATACTTTAGAAATTTTGGAATAATTTTACTGCTTCAATTTTATTTTTTTTCCAAAAAAATCAAACTCTTATTTATTATTTATAATATTATATGAGTAATAAATTTAATTTTAGTGTCAAAATATCAAATTAACACATATCTATATCATATAAATAATTATTTTAATTAAAAATTCTACTATTTAAAATCAAAACATCACAAGTAAACAGACTCAATGTTTTAATCGAATTCTAGGGTGTGTTTGTTTGGTTGTTTTAATTTTGAGTTGGGATTTGCATAGTAAA